TTTATATCATCGTAAAATACATAGATATCAGTGGTTTGCGCACTCTATACGTTTACACCTTCAAATGGATTAATACATCCGGTCCAGGTCACTTAAAAGTACATGTCATGTGTGTAACCGTAATATTGTGGTCCAAGTAAAAGTATTAAAAGGTTATTATATTTCTATCACACTTTTATTTCATAGCTCTTCTCATGACCGTTTTGGAGTCACGTATCGACCCTTATAAAAATGTTCGGATCGTTAATAAATATTCTCACATATTAACCAAAAAAGAATATTTACACGAATACCTATAGTATTGAATTCGAGAATATATTATAGAATGGCCAGCGCTACAGTTCATAGTATCAAGTCTATTAATAAATGTTATGTTGTCTTGATACATACTTTATAACAAACGTAGACAATATCCGGCTAAACAAACGTTTTATTCTTTAAATCGGACACTCATGACTAAATTATAGAAGTTTTTTGTTGTTTTTATTTCCCAAAATTCGCTTATGACTTGCGCCACGCAGCTTTACCAGGGATTGTAGACGCCCTTGGTCGTACGGTGACCGCCGGTCGTAGTACACACATGTCACTGTCCGTGCTATATCGCGTACTATGTGTACTATGTGTTACTTATGGCATTACACACTAATGACACATATGGGGAGATTGCGAATTATACTGTCCCAAAAATGCGACAGTTCAGTAAAATTCGATTTATATTTTGCCAATAATAAAGCGAATCTAAAGCTTTTTTGTTATATTCTCCGATCATCATGTATATACTCTTTTGAATAGTAAATCTTTTCTCTTACTGTAGGATAAAATTTTGTCGTGTTGTAAGAGCACCATACAAACATAAATTTCACGTGGACAAACATCCAAAAACGAAAACATTATCTGTAGGTGACACAGATAGTTGTCCCGTGTGGGAATCGAATCCATACCCACCCGGCACCAAAGTCAAATACCTTGGCACCATGCAGTCATTCAACCAATAACTAATAAGTCTGCTCTACGTAGAAAAACTACATTACCTAAATTAAATGTTTAATGTTACAATCCACTGAATTTAAAATTTATATAACAAAATTACACATTTGTGATATTTTATCCTAATTAAAAATTTTACTGAACTATTATTATTATTATTGAAAAAAACTGTGCTTAATTATAGTAAGAGATGGCATATTAAATGCCATATCCATAAAACGGAACTCAATATAAATCTTTGTATATATAATTCTTCAGTGCGTGTGTATATCACTGAACTTTTTTGAACATTTTTTATATTTTTTTATTTATAAGTTATCGGATTTAAGTTGTGCGTACAGGACGTCTGTCGGGTCCGCTAGTCTAATATAAAAGTATTTTACCGTAATTGCATTATTCAAATAGAAATCCATAATAATATCTTCATTATTTTTCATTCAGATTCACGTACGTTCGATTTTCGTACTAACGAAACGAGTATTTTAATTCATTGCAGATAAAACACCATCCAATATGGAGCCGGTTCATTTATGTGTTGCAGATAACGCAGGGCGCAGTTTCCGGTGTAAACTGCTAAGTGGTGCGCAAAAAAAATCCTTGTAGTCTGCCAGGGACGAATTACTTGTTATCTGTGACTGACATTTCGTGCTGTTTCATTCTAATAAACAATTGCGACATAAATAATAACGCCAACTGTTTTAATAATTGGGGACAGTCCGTCTGTCGTTTATTAAGAAGTATTTTGAATTATAAATGAAACTAATTTTACGGATTTATCGCGTTTATTTTTAATTTTAATTTCCGACGTTTCGAACCCTTTACAGCGTTCATGGTCACGGGACAGACTGAGGTGTTAGACGTCTGATTGTCATAGTTAACCCGGGTACCGTCAGTTTTTGAATTATTAATTTTGTGTCCGATCTATGCAGAGGGAGCTCCCTAATTAGCAATTAGCTAATTGTATTTGTCTTGCAGTATTGGTTCGTTTGGGCCTAAATTTCATTTGATTGATGACAGGATCCCAAGCTGATGGTAGCACCGAACCCTCTTCTCAATTGAAATTTGGGTGTTTTTTAATTTCAATAGCCTCGCGAATCATCCTTGGAAGGAATCGGTGTTCTTTTGCAAGGGTCTGTGGTCTATCAAACCAGATGTAGTGGTTGGTCCGATTTAAGGTGTGCTCACAAACTGCAGACATGTTCAATCTATTATGTTTTATGCCAGCTATATGTTCTTTCACGCGGATTTTTATTGCTCTTTTCGTTTTGCCTATGTAAATCCGTAAAATTAGTTTGATTTGTAATGTGTAATCGCGTAAATACAAGAAATTGTCAAGTATTTTGAATAGTATAATCTACACATATAAAACAATTAAATTAAAGTATCAAGAACTTAATTTATTTAAAATTTACTTAAATTCAAAACTCCAAATTGACATCACGAGCTGCTTATAATACATTATTTTATTATTTACTAGCTGCTCGGTTAGACTACGTTCTTTTTTTTATAGTATTAAGCCCTTCCGTGGATCTTAAGAAACATACAAAATTGAAATTAGCCGAATTGGTTATTGAGTTATGCGCTTATTAACATTCACTTTTATTTATTAAGAAGATATTTGTAGCCGCAAAATACAAGTCAATTAATTCTATATAAAAGTTTACCCATACCATATATTTTATCATAATAAATATCTACATATTAATGTGTACATATTTTTAAGTTTGACTTAATTTACTCTATGTATAATATTTGCTTTAACTAATTATAAATCTTTATTCCGTTTCAAAGAGCGTGCAACTATTAATTAACACTGTAAAATAATTACAGACACGTTCCGAATGAAATATTGTTAACTCGTTTTACAAGTGCCGCAGGGTATAATATTGCTTTAACCTATATCAAATAAATAAAAGAATCACATAAATCACCTCAAAACATTGCTAATATTTTTATTGATCTCGAAAATCGAAATTAGGTTACAATACTAATCTTATCCTTGAAACGAGCAATTCTTGTGTGTATATATATATATAATCAGAATCTCGGAAATTTAATATGTGCATAGATTCGGGGGCGAAAAGTCGATCTAGCTATGTTTCATTTTTAGAAAATGTCCTTTTATCCCTGTTTTCAGGGAATGAAAAATATCGTTCGAATATGACAGTAAATTTCGCCGCAAAATAAATTGTTATAATAGCTCGGTCGGTAATCGGGCGGCCCCAAAACAGACGGCCGCGGTTCGTATCACGATCATTTACACACCTTTGTTTTTTACTTTTTTTTCTATACCAGATCATTTTCTTTATTTTTTATTTTATTTGTTTCCAAAATACATGATTTACCAAAAAAAAAAACCGCGCAAAGCTCGATCCTCCAGGTAGGTACTATATAATATTCTTGTAACAACTGAATAACATCTCAATATGACAGTTCAATGTTTATAGTTTTTAATTAAATGCACGGTCTTAATCTTGACGGACCGCCATTTCCGATTCCCATTTCGCTCGCAATAAAAAAATAAATCACACTAAGTATTTTAATATAACGATGCCTTTGACTTTGACTTTATGAATATTATTCAATCCATTACTAAATTTGATCCGTGATTATTCAAATAGTTCACGGCTGTTTGTAACTTATTTTAATTGAACGGATTTAAAACCGGGAGTTCCGATTTTTTAACTTTGATAGAATAATCAACAACTGCTTGTTCAAAATATCGACGATATTTTGGAATCGTATTTAAGTAAGTAATTTAAAGTAGAACGTTAATTAAATTATATAAATCAAAACAATAAAGGCTACTGCTTGTTTTTAACTGGCTCTTTATTCAAATAGTAAATTCCTAATCTTTACTGGAGTAGATTTGAACTATGACATAACAAAAGTAGATATCATAGGTCGAAGCTCGTGTTTGTTTCAAGCATCTTGTCACGATTTGATTATTTTATTCGAAATAGGATAACTAAAGAGCACGTCGCTATTATAATATATTTTTCCAGTATTCAGTGTTTAATATTTATGGGTAAAGGAGAGAGTTTTTAGGGTTCCGTACAGACCATATTACTAAGACTCCGCTGTCACCAGATATGTCATGAACGGTGATAGGTAGACAGTTGAAATTTTCACAGATGATGCATTTATGTTACCGCTATAACAACAAATTCTAAAAACAGAATAAAAAATAATTAAGTGGTGCTCCCATTCTACAGACATGATTTTTCTTTGCCGTTTTTACAGATAATGGTACGGAACCGTTCGTGGGCGAATCAGATTCGCACTTGGGCAGTTTTTTCACAAGGTTTACTGTCTTTGGTCTCTGTCTTAGAGCACAGGCCAGTTGCAAATAAAAATAAATAATAAACACACTTTATCAAAATTGTTAATTCGGACTGGCATTTGATCATACATTTCTCTACAACCAAATATCATTAGATAAAACCAATAAATCGTCGATGCAATCTAATTGCAGTATATTGTAAACTTTGCATTAATTGAGATTTATAAAATGAACTTTTGATATTGATCTTTATTTATATAGACGCTGATAATTCTAAAATTAAATAATGGTAAGCAACATAAAGAAACGACAGGTCTTACGATTATCATCTGTTACCATGAACAAAACCAACTGTAGAATATTAACAGAACAAACAGAACAACCAATTTTATTTTAGACGATGAAATAAGTCTTACACTTGAAGCCTATGATTGCATTGATTAAATAAGATAGAACTAACGTATACTGCTTAGGGATGTTCCATTCTGGCATTTGATGGCTTAAGTTTAGCCATCAAATGTCTTAACTAACTATCAATGAATCCTTCAGTTCTTTCAGATTTCCAGTCTAAATTGTTTTCAATAAAATCAGCCAGACTAAGAAAACACCAATGGAAGCCTTAAGCTCTTTAACTTTTCCAACCTAAACTGCTTCTTTAACTAAAAAACCAGCCAGAGTAACACTAAACCAATGTTATTGACATAATATTAACCTTTCTTTTTGTTCTCAGGCGATTGCCCACGTGTCCGGCGGTCACATAAACCCAGCTGTGACTTGCGGTCTGTTCGTCTCAGGTGACGTCAAATTGCTGAAAGCCCTCTTGTACGTGGTGGCGCAGTCTCTGGGAGCGGTGGCTGGTGCGGCCTTCATTAGGGTAAAGTACCACCAAAGTTCAAAGAATTCGTAACTACAGCATTTCGTGGCACTGCTTGGGGGAAAAAGCTCTAACATGTAAGCTGTATTTCCATTAAGGTTATGGAATCTCCAAAATCTTATCTTCGTATTCCACGTCAACTGACAAAGTATGTCAGTGACTCTAGCTCCATCATCCCTCCATATTGATCCATTAATGTAGTGCCGGACCTGCAAGGCACTAAAATTTATTTTTTAATTTGTAATTTTCATTAAATAAAAAATTTTCATTTGCTTTAATGAGTCACAAATCCCTCTCGTCTACACGAGTGCAAGATAAATCCACATGATTCCAATTATGGTAAAAGTCTCATATGTTCTTACAAAAAACCCTTAAACAGTTAGCGAGTTTTTAGAACACAGATTGAGCAGCGCTCTTGTATGACCAAAACACATGTATTAAAGTTTATTATTGTTCAAAATTTGTTTTTTATAACCACATGTATGTCTTATATGTGATTTTTGTGAACATATTTATCAAGATGATCTCGATATATTTATATTGGCTTATATCCCTGCAGTTCCTTGTAAGTGCAATGTATAAACTATGTTTTATTAAAAAATATATTCATATCAATTAAAGGCTGCGTCATGCTAGTTCATTAAGCTTGCGTAAGGCGTCTTATTACGAATCGCATTATGTAATGCGGGCCGAGGATCTTGGCGAATTATTACTCATAGTCGCATTGATTAAAACCCGTCGTTAACAAGTCGAGAGCATTCTGATCGACATTCTAAAAGCTATATATGTACACTCGCATTAACGTTTCAATTGCGCGTGGTCTTATGTGCTTGGCGAAGCGTAAAAGAGCAAATATATAAAGACGATCTATGACGAACTAGATATGAGATAAATATTTTTTATGCCTTCCATTTTTTTCATGATTTCAAAGTCCATTCCGAAAGGCGTCGGAGAAGTTAAAGAAAATGCTTTGCTTCCATCGAAGCTTCTAGTAACCCGTTTACCAGTTTATTGTAAACAATTATCTTAATTATGTTTACAGTAAGCGTTGTAATGCATAAAAAAATGAAAAATCTTTCGGATTTTAATAGTTTCATATAAAGTTTATGTTTCGGAAACTTCTTTTGACACACTGGCGTATTCGTTACACCCGCTATCCGCTTGTCCTTATGTGAGCGGTGCATAAATAAGTGTCGTTCGCCCTGACACTGATGATCTTTGAAAAAAGAAACAAATTGGAGCATCGACCTTCGGCGGGGCTCGTCTAACTAGTTCGCTTTTGGCTCAGCCCGTTTCCAATATTGAGACTACGATGTAAGCTGCATGTACATACATGTGATAATATCGGTAGCTCATAAACAAATCTATCTACCAAAGTGTCATAGAGATAAACAATTTCCTATATTCGCATACTAGCCTGTACCAAGTAACTTTTTTTAAAGAAAGAAAATGGCAAACGCACCGGCTTGAATTTGACCATTATAAAACTTGGAGAGGTCTGTAAAAAGTTCAGTAACGTTTATGTTTTTACGACAGAGAAGGCATACACAGCACGCCTAGGTTTGTAGTTGCGTTGCCAAAACTTTACGAAGACGGGTGTCCTGGCTACTTCAGTCACCAAACGAAGAGTCACTCATTTCCACTTTAAGTCGGTCTTCTCGTCTTTCAATGAGGACGTGATCTTTCTCCGTTGAGCTAGCTCTTTCATTCAATAGCTGCATTTTCTTGACGGGGCCTACCATTATAAAGAATGTCCACCGTCTTACTCCTTTGTCTTAAAGTGAGAATCGTTGTTGTGAATTATCTAATAGGTAATTTTAATATGCAATAGTTAAAAAAGTTACGAAAGGTAGATAATAGTAACAATTTTCCGTTGAAATGGTCTAATATGCAATAGTTAAAATGGTTACGAACTTTAGTAGTAAAATTTTCAGTTGATATGGTCCGTATCAATAAGTTAAGAGTGCCCCAGTTTTAAGTTTGCATACTTGTGACTTTATTAGATATCTTAATAATAATGGTCAATGAATCTATACAGATCAATAAAATGGGAGTCTGTTTGTAATATTAATAATAACCGCTTTTTAACATTTTTTTACAATTTCTGTCTGTCTGAAACGGCTGGACCTATTTGAACGGAACTTTCACTAATAAGGAGTAACTTAGCCTACTTTTATACTAGATTTTTTTTAAAATTCTACCGGACGAAGTCGCGGGCACGGCTAGTCTAAAGTAATGCTGTAATTAGTCTATATTGAAAGTAATAATTACATCTATACACATAATTTGCAAAGCGCATCTGTAACTTTTTATCAAGTACAAATTGCGAATCCATTTTTAAATGGTACGTAACAGATTGCTTCTATACATACTGCGCTTTTAAATTAACCGATTAGTTGGCTTACATTTTGGCTTTCATATAAAAAATAACATAACATTTCATATTTACAATCTTTTAAAATTTACATCATTTAAGACAATATATTTTGTTCATTTTTTAATCAAGTCTTATTTAGATTAGAATTAATATTTAATTTTGTTAATGAAAAATTCCATAAAATTGTAGGTATTGATCGTGAAATAAGTTATCTGAAATTCTCCAAACCCAAAAATTAGAAAACTAGTCTTTTTACTAGATAGAGTGATTCAAGAGGAAGGTGTTATATTTATAATACATTGCACCTGTGCGAAGCCGGGGCGGGTCGCCAGTAAGTTTATATGTATCAATCTCAATTCCCAACCTTTGAAATGGTTTCTCGAGACTTTGATTCCGGCACCAAGTACTAATTCACGTGATCTATCGATTAACGACTACACGCAGTTTATAAACTGTATAGCCGCCGTTTAGGAACGTTATGAAGCGTGGATAGGTGTTGCGCAAAATGTTTGCAAGTGTGCGAAGCATATCAGCGGGCTTTGCGGAGATAAATGTGCGTTCAAGAATCATGGCAAAATGTGAGCTTGCTACACTTCAGTTGGAAAAGTTAAAGCCGAGAAAGATTGTATCTAGTGCTATGACGTGCAAAGAAGTACAAAACAAGAGAGGTACTGTTAATAGGATACAACAAAATAGCAGTATTATTTCGCATCCTAAAAAAAATAATTCTTCTCTTTTTATTTTCGTCCTCTATTACTATATGATATCATAATATAAAATCTATTCGTGGCGCCATAAAAAGGAGTTTATCCGTCTGACTTGAACTCTCCGTCTTCAAGAAATTGCAAGATATATCGCTTTCCCTGTATTCAACGCTAACAAAAAAATTGGTCTCATATATTTTTTTATATCCTATCATTTATGCTACATATTGCGCTTAGCCCCAACTACTGAAATATCTGCTTCGTCTTCGCTTTAGAGAATCCTTACTGGAATGTGTTTCCAGTAAGGATTCTCTAAGCTCCTAAGCGACGAGACTGCTTTGCTTCATCACCACAGCTTTTAGTACGTAATATGGACATGTGTTCTGAAATGTGTGCAAGTAATTATTATCTTGTTCATACTGTTATAGCTTTATATCAAAAGGTCCTCTTGTCGAATTTACTCAATCATTTTCTGGTGTTTCTGACTACATATGATTGATGGAGTTTCTTTATAGCTTACTGTCATTTAATTGTTTTAAATAAGAAGTTGGTAAGTGAGGAGGCGAGCACCTAATACTAAGTGTTTACTACTACACGTGGATATGTAAAGCACCCCACGATTGGCAGATGCGTCTCCAACCGTAAAAAAGTGTGCTCCAGTTACTTCAAAACGCGAAAGTATATTACTTTCACTTCACACCGGTCTTCTGTGAGAGCTTAGTACTTCTCCTGACTAGCCTTACCATTCGACAATAAACCATTCACAATGACCGAAGCTGCTGATTGGCTCTACAACAGTTAACTTCTGTCTCTTGTTGACGCTTGTTTAGCAAAAAAATGAATATTTCGTTCCTTCGAGTAACATAAATCTGTTTGTAATCTATAAATGTTGAACTCTTATCAGAAGAGTTCAATATTTATAGATTGTAACATTTTAACTTTCAGCGCAGTACTACACGCTTGTTGCTGTAAACAGTGAAAATATGATTTAGCACTTGTATTTAACTAGGTTCCCCGAAATGTATCAAGGTTTATGTTTGCTCCAGTATAAATATGATTATTTTATTGCAGTTGGCCGTGCCCGAAGACCGGGTGTTGTCTTTTGGCATGACCCTGCCTGGACCCGGAGTAACTGAAGGCCAGGTATGTTTATTGCATCCTTGTTCAAATTGTTTATTGTAATTTAGTAGTTTGTTTTTACTACACTGTATTTTTTTATTAATAGATAGAAAAATCCTAAAGTCGTAAAAATATCTACATCAAAGAAAAATCTGTGTTTACCAATCGATGTGTGCAGTATGTATGGACGCAAAAAAGAGTTTACACCGATTTTGAATTTTCAGACAACCTTCATATTAGCACAGCGGGTGATACTTAGAAGTTTGGTAGCGATGGGATGAAGAATACTTTTTTGTATAATTAAAAAGCTGTTGTAATCCTTGCAGAATCTATTCGAGATCGGTGTATTTCACTCAAAACACTCAAAGTCAAAATTTCTTCAATATAGGCTTTTTAGCTCTCATTGAACGTCAAAAGCTACCGTCGGTTCACTAAAACAGAAATAAAATTACTGTCCGAAATGAACCGGCAAGAAACCCTGCCGTCTTGTTATCTTTTCTTGTAAATGATGTACAAAAAAAATGCATAAAATTAGCAGCAGCCAGGGGACTTGCAAGCGCAGTGAGAGTAATTCCACACATTCACAGTGTAAATATTACCGTGTTGCGTTGTGCAGGCGCTACTTGTGGAAGCGTTGATCACGTTCGTGCTGGTGCTGGTGGTGCAGGGCGTGTGCGACGGGCGCAGAACCGACCTGAAGGGCTCCGCCGCGCTAGCCATCGGCCTCAGCATCACCGCCTGCCACGCCGCCTGCGTGAGTTCTACGCGCTGTTTTTTTTACTCGTGGCTTTCGAATTCGGCCAGTTTCAACGATGTTTTATTTTATTTATGCACGCAAGTCTTTTTTTTTTAATCTAACAATCGATGAAAGAAAAAGAATATTTTATGATTAAATTATTAATTGATAATTTATTGTATTTACGCGACTACAGGTTAGTAAAAACTATTTTTACGCATTCATGGCGTTTATTTTTAAGTTTAATTTCTCTTCATTCAGCCGGTCCAGCTCGTGACCGATGTAAAAGGCTCGAAACTTCAAGAACCAAAATTAGAAATAAACGAAAAATATAGTACATAAATTGTTTATGGTATTTTTTATGAAAGTCATAAATTAACGACGATTACTCTTCACGCACAGATTCCGTTCTCCGGGTCGAGTATGAACCCCGCGCGTTCTTTTGGACCCGCACTCGTGATGGGAGACTGGACAGCGCACTGGGTAAGGCTTACAGAGCTTGAATTATTTGTTATCATGTCATGAATACTAGTAAAATGAGACAAAAGAGCAGGAGATTACAGAGAGTTTATTAGATTTTATCCTATGCGTCGATAACTAAAATAATTAGATAACGTCGAAAAATGATAGTGACCTATTTAGATATTTCATTATCGAAGAGGCTTGTACCCCCTTACGGGGTCCAGCATACCTACAATACAATGTCGATAATACACAAGTACAATTTCATTAATGTTCAAATGGTTATAGTTGTAATGAGTGTCGTAATAGAGTTACAACACCATCATGGATTTCTATGAATAAGAAGAATACATTTTATTTATATTAATTAAAGATGTAAAACATTATGTTCAATTATTATTATTGATATAGATGTTAACGTAAATATTTCTTCAGCGTTCTTATACCGTTTTGCAACTTTTCATCTCGTACAAGAATATTTTGAAAGTGTACGGAAGCGTAAGATGTTTCGTCTAAGTTCAGGTTCAATAATTACTATAGTGAATTAGTTGTTTCAAGGATTGATATATTTTTCAATCCAATTTTATGTGACATGATTTAATTAATTGATATTTTTAGTTTAAATTGGGACAAGGCTTCTACAAAATCAAATAATGTATTCGACAAAAACATAAAACTTTATTCCAATATTTGCCTGTTCCATTACTTATTTTTAAATATTATAGTATATATATATATAGTATACATTTTACTCATATAAATATATTATGAGAAGTTAAAAAAATCTCGTAATTACAACTATCTATTACTCATATATCCGCTGTTAAACTTTTGAAGTTCGTCGGAAAGACGTCAATAATATCAATTAAACATCTGTTGTTTTTACAACTTCAAATTTAAAAGCAAATATTATTGAAGATTTCAATAGTAAGCAAATCATGCTATTTCAATAGTAATCGAGCCAATTGTTGCGAAAGCAAAATCAATTTTAAAGGAATCAATCCGTTTCAAATTTTATCTGTAAATTTTCAACTGCAAGCGACTGATTGGAGCCGCGGTCAATAAAATTTACCATTACACCGACTAGCGGTAGTGTTGTCCGTGTCCAAACGATAATGATAGATGCTCTACTAGCCGCTTTCACTTCCCATCACTTGGATCGCCCAACTCTAAATCACAGGTGTGTTAGGACGTTACGAGAGAGCTTAATGTTCAACTTCTTGTGTGCATCCAACGCGTTACATAATCCCACAATCTAAATCTTGGTTTTGTTCTCGTTGCATACGTCTTTACGTCACATCCCACTTGAAGCATCTAATCCGTTTAGTAATAGATTAAGCTGAAAAGTCAATTGAAATGTAATTAGGTTTTGTGAATTCGCTATTTATATATTTATTTTGTCTGTCCCTTGGCCATGAACAATGTAAAGGGTTCGAAATGTGAATTTAAAATCAAAATAAAATTTTCGCGTCCAAACAAGAAATAAACATAGAATTAATAAAGAAATGTAGAATAAGAAAAAGAAAACAATGTAGATAAAAGGCGGTAATTGTCGGTGTGGCAATCAGCCGTTTAGGTTGGTCATTTGTGGCTAAAGTGTAAGGGCGCGAATCCCGAAGACGTGGGTACGATTACCTCAATGGCGTAAAACTTTTCGTAGTTTATTCTACAAATTTTAAAGAAATCAAAAATATTTAGAGCATGACAGCCCTCTGGGGAATATGCTTTATCTTCGAGCTAAGCTTATTCTTTAGTTTATTAAATATTTAAATATGAAGTAATTATTCGCTCGAACATCTGGTTACTTTAGTTTTGTGGTAATCGTATGATAAACCATACAAATTATTTTCATTGGCCCTGTCGACTCTGGGCCACGATGTTTCCTGTCAATCCAATAAGAGTCGATACCGTCCGTTCTGATGTTCTAATAATCTAATATTCTGATGTTCTAATTCTGAACCTTAACCATAGGTCAGTCCACCATTTAATTAATATTGCGGTTAATCAATTCATCTTATCATTGCTGTTGTACTATTGAGGTAACCAGTAAGAAACACACGAGCACTAAGAAATATTTGGATTGCATCCTTATTAGCATGGACCTAATATTTGCTTAAGTTTTGCTGGGTGTTAAAGGATGTTAGGTACAGAGACCTTATACCTACAGGTGTTTACAGCGCAAATAACTCATAGAACCGAAAAATATTGGAATAAAGTTAACGTGTATTTAGCTAATACTATAATGATTTTGTAGAAGTATTTAGCTAATACTACTATGATTTTGTAGAAGAAGCGTATAAAAGAAGTGTATCATCGTATAAAATTATCTCATCATATCTTAATTAAAGATAATTAACGCACCCGTATTTTTGTTTTTAGCCTGTTTAATTGTTTCAGAACCCAATCGAGGCAAAATTTCAGACAGACAATTATAATTGAGACAATAAGCAGTTTTCTCTTAAATTTTGGCTTTTATTTTAAATAAAAAGACAGACAGTGAAATTTTATTTTTGGTATATATTTTAAGATTAATGTTTGTGCAAATTCAGTGTACTTATAACGTTTAGCAACATTTCTTTTGGCACAGAAATATTTTGAAAGTTTATATATATATAATATTTTGGAAGTTTAGGATGTATGTTCAGTTTCAATAATTATAGTGAATTAGTTATTTCGAGGTTTGATATATTTTTAAATCCTGATCTTAATTTTATGTGACACGGTTTAATTAATTGATAGAGTACTTTAGTTTTAATTGGGACAAGGTTTCTTCTACAAAATCATAGTAGTATTAGCTAAATACTTCTACAAAATCATTATAATATTAGCTAAATACACGTTAACTTTATTCCAATATTTGTCGGTTCTATGAGTTATTTGCGCTGTAAACACCTGTAGGTATAAGGTCTCTGTACCTAACATCCTTTAACACCCAGCAAAACTTAAGCAAATATTAGGTCCATGCTAAGAAGGATGCAATCCAAATATTTCTTAGTGCTCGTGTGTTTCTTACTGGTTACCTCAATAGTACAACAGCAATGATAAGATGAATTGATTAACCTCAATATTAATTAAATGGTGGATTGACCTATGGTTAAGGTTCAGAATTAGAACATCAGAATATTAGATTATTAGAACATCAGAACGGACGGTATCGACTCTTATTGGATTGACAGGAAACATCATCGCCCAGAGTCGACAGGGCCAATGAAAATAATTTGTATGGTTTATCATACGATTACCACAAAACTAAAGTAACCAGATGTTCGCGCGAATAATTACTTCATATTTAAATATTTAATAAACTAAAGAATAAGCTTAGATCGAAGATAAAGCATATTCCCCAGAGGGCTGTCATGCTCTAAATATTTTTGATTTCTTTAAAATTTGTAGAATAAACTACGAAAAGTTTTACGCCATTGAGGTAATCGTACCCACGTCTTCGGGATTCGCGCCCTTACACTTTAGCCACAAATGACCAACCTAAACGGCTGATTGCCACACCGACAATTACCGCCTTTTATCTACATTGTTTTATTTTTCTTATTCTACATTTCTTTATTAATTCTATGTTTATTTCTTGTTTGGACGCGAAAATTTTATTTTGATTTTAAATTCACATTTCGAACCCTTTACATTGTTCATGGCCAAGGGACAGACAAAATAAAACATGATTAAATCCTAACAAACAACCTAAAACAGTTAGTTGTTAAGAGTATTTAGTTCTATATGAGTAAGATGATGTAAATCATCAAAATCTAGAATTTTATACATCGCTTAGTTGATTGAATTTTAATGATGTAGGTATGCGTCTTATCAGGCGCAATCTCGGTACAGTTACGGAGTTTCCGTAATGGTAAATAACACTTGATGACGAGCCTATTGTGCAGGTAGCTTTCCCATGCATGGAGCTGCAGAAAGCGTGGACTGTTGGTTTCAATAGAGAACTCGGGTCCACCATTACATTGTGTAATGCAGAACAATGAAAGTGACTTTAATTCCTTCCTATTCAATCTTGTACATGCGTGCACTGTAACACCTTTACCTGTTAGTTAGTGCTTAGCACCATTGCCACGTTCGGATGCTGTTAAAAATTCGGAATAAAGTGCTTTTACTCGTTGGGACTAAGCTGTTTTCTTTAACTATTAACTATTTTTGTTACACGATATAGTTGGCTGTAAGATATTAAATTTACACCTATTTATTTTCAATAATTGATCACTGTCTTATTTTCACCGATTATTTTAGGCTCCAATAAGAAGCGGTAATGTATTTGATTTGGCTGAAAGTCACTAGCGATAATAGTTTTGTATAAAGCTCGCTCTCTCTCTCTCCCTCACTCTCTCTAATAATAATTAATGTAGCGCCCTTATAAATTTGTGTTTCATTTGCAGGTGTACTGGGTGGGGCCGATAGTCGGTGGCGTGCTCGCTGGCCTGGTATATAGGTTCATTTTCCGCATCGGCAAGGTCGGCGAGAGCGGCTCCTACGACTTCTAAGCTCGAATCGACGGACTCCATCGTGCCTTAGCCGTCATTACACCTTTCGTATTACTAAAGCTTCGATACTCGGCCGCCGCGGATTTGTTTTTAGAAGACTAAAATAATACCATTGGTATACAGTTTATAGCTTGTTGACATAAAATAATTGATAAACAAAACACAGGCCAAGGAAAATCGAATTACTTCAGCAGAATTCTTCAGTCGCGCGCAAGATCACGAACAAATTTTCAAATAGAAATAATTTGAACACGTGTTCGCTTGCGCTTAAAATAAACATACAGTCAAAAAGCAAGTCTTGGTCGATTGTCGGAAATGCGTTGCTTCTTACATACTTTATTCGCATTACAGGTAATACGAGAGGTTAATGATTCAATCGTACATGCTCGTAGATAGAAACGCCTACTTTGAAAGATAAAACATTTTTAGTAAAGAAAACAAATGAGTAATTTATCGACGGGCGTGTACTAATAAACATACATTTTTTACAAATATTTTTAGCATGTTGAATCGACCTAAAGTACGAAATGAGGCAATCTGCGTCACGACAAAAGTCTATGTAAAATTGAAATCGCTGTAATAAGAGTCAGTGGTCGCATGTAATATAATAATATTATTAAAATATTTAGAAATCATAAGATAGGATTTAAATCGTAAGTCTATTTATAGAGTGTGAATAATTTTAATTAAATTAAAAATGTTATCTTTATACGAAATGTATGTACACGTTAATCTTGCGAGTCAGAGTGAAATACGGTATTGCTATTTAATGATTATTTATATCGTACACAACTCGCACGATATCTATTACATAATAAATAATTCACAATAAAGTTGCATTTTATTTTTCTTTAAAACATTATTTTTCCTTTTGTACATATAATACTAGAGGGAAAGCCTCCGTTTCCTCATCAGACCACAATATCACGAGTCTGCTAACGCAATAGTACTTTCGCAGTTAAGTTCCGTTTATGTATATATCATAAATTACCAGATGTATATTTTACATAATGACAATGAGTGAAAACTCTGGGATGTTGCGTCTGTCACTAAAAATCAAACGACAACAATTTGAATGCAAGGCTTGGAAATTCATTACTGTTATGCCACATTCATCGCCATACACGAAACAGACGAAATAAAACTGGGACGTTTATTCGGTTGAACACTAACTGAAATGAGTTTTTAATTGCCAACTATCGTTTAATACAAATGTGCCTTCCAAAAGTGGGTCGAATATGGACGAGTATGGTTTTGGCCTTGTCCTTTATTGCTTTCAATGTAACGTGTGACACATGCGATGATGTTTCTAATCGTAATTAACACGAGCTTAACTTGGCATTTTAATAATTATAATTATGTCCGTAGCAGTTGTCTGTAGCATTACTGTGAAAAACAATGTAGCAAATTCTGCTGTTCTGTTCCCGAAAAATTCTAAGGAAGATGGGTTTTTAATTTAGGTTAAACCATAAGTTTGGTACGTTTAGTTTTTTTTTAATGATCTTTCACTGTTGGCCTTGAGGAGGCCTTAACAGATCCACGGGGCTTGAGGTGGCTGGACGGAGTTGGAGTCCACTCTCTCCAAAGTTAGCAACGCTATTGCGACTTCACGGTAGAGCTTGCCCATGGGTTGCGATAATCACCTAACATCAGGCGAACCGCATGCCTTTTTGAACAATTTTTCCTTAAAAAAAGAAATGATTATTATTACACATTTAATAGGTACATAAATGTTCATTTTTTACCGTTACTGATGTCATTAAAAAATTTTAGAGAAAATGTCATGTCGCTCGTAGCACAATGGGAGCACACTACAAGATCAGAGAATATAACATTAATATATATATATATAATATTAGTACTAAAAATGAAAAATTACCTTACGAAGGGTGACAGTTTTTGAAATTTGTACACAGCAATAGAATTTTTATTTTGTATAATTTTTAAATAAATTTATTTATTTAAACTCTTTATGGAACTTTTAATGCGTTTAATTTCGATTAAGCGAGTACAAAATATGTAAAATATATAGTTTTATTTAACATTGTGTACATTTAAGCAGGTACTGAAATAATTTTTATTTTTATAATAAAATAAAATCTCCCAACAACAAGGAAGTTTGAATATACAAAAATTTATGTATGTATACGTTAAATAATAAAGATAAATTATTAGCATATAATTTTAGACCCTGAAAGTAAATAAATTGACTGAGAAGAAGTACGCACAAATTATTAAGTCATTAAACCGACATTAAACTGGGCCTTATGATAAAGAAAAATCAAACACAGAGTTAACTGTATTAAAGCAATCAAGAAAATCATTTTAATGACGTACTTTAAAAACGGTCAAATAGATATTACCCTATTTAGCAAATTAATATCCCGTCCTAGAGTGATAAAACGCAAATCTCATTAAAAAGACATTAAACCTCTATTTACATAAACATGTGTATATAATATATACTATTTCTTACACACTATTTACAGTATTTCGTAAAGTCATAAACTGTTGTAACTGCCAACACTAAATTTTATATCATAATACAAAAAATATTGACATAATGAAAAAAATTAATTATAACAATAACGATCATAAGTTTCTGCAATGAGTATGTATATATATATACTAAAGAAATGTGTAAGTTAAGCTGTCAATTGTATAAATTACTCTTACGTCTATAAATATTTACGCCTACAATGACTACTGGTCTAATATTGCCTTCGGAGGGCCTCGGAGCGTCGTCCTGTGTAAAAAAAGAAGCCTTAGGCTGTTTTAGTAACATCTGCTAGTTTTTATACAAGCTGATGGTTGTACCCTATAAAAAGCTCATCGTATCCTTCTATTTATATCGGCACAACGACCTGAATAAAAAGCACTACGTTTCGCGTAAGAATAAATTTCTATAAAAGTGCTTAGAAAATTATAAACGTTATTCACTATATTTGTCACATTTATCTGAAACTAATTTACCTACGAATTTTATTGCGGTTTATTATCACAGAGCCGTGACAGCTGAGCGTCCGGGCGCTCGCCTTTAATTCAATATAATCGAGCAACCTGAGCTCGATCCCCGGTGCCGCCACCAATGAAATGGTTAATTTTAAGTGAACGGCAAGTGCTGAATTATCACGTGCTCCGCGCTGAAGGAAATCATCGTGAGGAACCTGCGTATTTTCGAAATAATAACGAAAAAATATTTCGAACATATGTTAAGTCCGCAGAGGGTCTGCGTAGTGTACTACGCCCTTACACCTTCAGTATAGAGGAGGCCTTTGCCCTGTAGTGGGACATGTATAGAGCTCTGATAGCTCAATGTCCGGGCGCTCGCCTTTAATTCAATATACTCGAGCAACCTGAGTTCGATCTCCGATGCCGGCACCAATAAAATTGTTAATTTTATGTGTCGAATTATCACGTGCTCAGCGGTGAAGGAAAACATCGTGAGGAAACCTGCATATTTTATGAAATAATAACAAAAAAATGTTTCAAAGATATGTGAAGTCCACCAATCCGCAATGGGGCCGCGTGGTCGACTATGCCCTAATACCCTCTGTACAAAGGAGGAGGCCTTTGCCCAGCAGTGGGACATGTATTGGCTGATACCTACTTTGATACTTTGGGACATGTCTATACATGTCAATGGCTATCCTTTACTTTACTTTTTATTCTCATTTTAAAACACATCTACGAACACTTTACAGCGTTCCTGTTTTCGGGTTTTTAACATGCATTGAGTGCGAAAAAAAGAAAGTTATTTGGTGATTATTATTAACTTTCATCGATCAGTGTATACGAACACATCTTAATACCTGTTACATTTTAAATAAGCTGGGCGAAACGTGGATGGGAGTATAGTTATTTCAATATTGTCCGTTAGGACAATAAAGGATGTGGGAAATTTAAAGAGGATCAGGTAGCGATATTGACACCTTAGAACATGCGTGCAAAGTATAATTTGGTATGTAAGACTCTTGACGAATATTGGAGAGTAACGGCAAAGATTTCTTTGCAGAAATCAATGATTTGCATAAAACATTTATAAAAGTAAAGTAACCACCTATATGTATATGACCTACAGTTGGGAAAATAGCCCGTGGTCACTGCGGATTGGCGGACTGTACATATATTCGATTTTTTTTGTTATTTCGAAAATATGAAGTAGATATGCCTCACGATGTTTTCGAGTATTGCTTGTTATCTGAAATACATCATCTATTTTTGCTATTTTTAGGAGCCCGATAAGTTTTAATGACGAGGTTAGCAGCTGACAGGCGTATGTAAGTATTTTGAAATTGGAAAAGTGAACAAGATTAATATATCAATAATTGCCTGCCAGTGCAATCAGAGTACAGCAACGAGGTCCGTTTGAGTAAAATGAAACTTCGCACACTAGGCATAATTTTGATGCAGTGTTTGATGTTCATTTATTTCAATTAATAAAAGTTACGTTTAAATAATTATCTTAACCCTTTTCCCTTTCTAAAGCCGCAACCTGAGTACATAAATGTTTTAACGTGTGTTTATAAAGCGTTGTATAACAAGAGAATAAAGTCACATAATCTAGGAGAATCTACACAGAAATCTCTCTCGTTTAAACAAATAATAATAATTATGGGGGGATATTCATTTGTTTTCTCGTCTGGTTGGGTTTATAAATAAAAATAAAAATATAGATATATATTGATTATATAAAATAAATATTATGGATAATTATTATTATTACAAAATGTAAAATTGGATATTCCCGCTTTCGGCTTTAAATGAAACGAGTGGCAAAACAATAACGTTAAACGGCGCGTTATTTAACCATTATCGAGTGCATCTCATGTCACGACACAATCTTCGTAGGGGATTTCGCAACTCTCGTGACTGCCTCGCTCTATCACCGGCGACATCACCGACGCCTGCGCAATGAGCCCTATTAAAAATTTACCTTCGACTTGTCAAGGTCGACGCCTGTACGACAATATGTGTGGTTGCGGGGCTAGAATGCCGCGACCCAAATAACAGAGTTGATCTCAACGCATTTGATAGGTTCGCGATGTGATAGAGCCTGAATGAAAATGTTGAATTGTTTTTTTTTTTTGACAAAAGATGTAGCCGCGCTTACAAACGTTAATTTAAGCTTAACTAGCAAAATATTCTTAAAGTTAAGTTCTTCTAGTTGGAAGAAGTAGCGAAATCTCTACCGGATTTGGTGTACCTCTGCATATCAATGATAGTTGGCGAACGAGCAGGTCAACCGATGGAAAGTGATTTCCGCAGCCCATGGACATCAACAAGACCAACCTTATTGTTACCAACCTTATTATCCAGACGAATCGCTAAAGTACGATACTTCCACTTCTCGCTGGTCTTCAAAATCAAAAATCAAAATCATTTATTCATCGAAATAAGAAACATACATTTCATTTATCGATAGTCATTTTTTTTAATCTACCACCGTTTAGTAATGAGGTTCCTCAAACGGAGAAGAAACAGGCGAAAGAAACTCCGTAGGTATCCTCTTTTTTGTCATTTTTTTTCCTCAAACAAATACGTTGTTATACAGTACATATTTTTTTTTAGATACAGCTTAGGAGCGATCTTCTCATTCTCAACTTCTGTGAGGCCGTGATACATCACCGGACGAGACTGCCCATTCGTGCCACGAAAACCACTACGTGGCCCAACCACGGTAAAGCCACGTCATTGTAAAATCTGTGATTTCTTGACGTTCACACATCGAGTGACTGTGAATTTCGTGTTCACTTGAGCTCGTCTTTACGATAGATCGAGACAATATTTTAATGCGGCCTTGAATTATTTATTAGATGCAGGATCTATCGCGTTTTCTCCAGTTATAATTTTTCTTATAACGGATCTGAGTTGTTTATTCCTTTTTCTTCGTATCATCGTAACAGACCGGTCGTGGCTAATTGGTTACAGTGATTTCCACTTGCCTACTGCATCAGGCCATTTGAGGATTGTTTAGTTCCTCACGTTGCTGAAGCCTTTTTTGATAATTAGCTTCGTCAGGTAAAAAAAAAGTAAGTAAAGTAACAGCCTATACATGTCCCACTGCTGGGCAAAGGCCTCCTCTATACAGAGGGTCTCAGGGCATAGTCCACCACGCGGCCCCACTGCGGATTGGCGGACTTCACATATTTTCGAAATATATATATATATTTTTTTTTTTTGGTTGGTATTATATCGAAAATATGCAGGTTTCCTCACGATGTTTCCTGATAAGTCAGCACTTAAAGTTAAAAACTTCATTGGTGCCGGCACCGGGGATCGAACTCAGGTTTCTCGAGTATATTGAATTAAAGGCGAGCGTCCGGACACCGGAGCTACCACGGCTCTAGTTCGTCGGGTACGAGTACTTACCGAAATAGGTCGGTTGCCATAGCCTCCTCCGTTATCTAGCAGAGGGAACAGTGTGGAGGGAGGCCGAATGGTTTCAGTGTTTCATCTCACCCTTTTTTATATATTTTATGTACATGTTCGTTTAGTTCTGTTTAAATATTTAGGGTCAGTTTTATATAATCAAACAATTTGCCATACCAATGAGATTACTTCCGTGCGTCTTAAGACATATAAGGTCATATTGGGAAATAATCTAATACAGAATGAAACAGACAAAATCGAAGCAGAAAATATTTATTTTCAAATGACAAAAACACTAAAAGCGATTAAATACGATTCAGACATCAAATTTACTATAGACGATTACGCGAATATATTTCGTACGAACTATCGATTATCACGACACTAGGGGGTGCGGTTGCAAGCGGAACAGTGGTGGGGTGAGGGTGGGGAGTTTGCTATAGACGATTACGCGAATATATTCGTTTCGTGCGAACGACACTAGGGGGAGAGGCGTGGGGGGGGGGGGAGGTTGGTCTCAAGCGAACAGTCCACGCGAAAGCGGCGAGGGTTCGCGCATCAACACGCCGCGCAGCCGTCGTAGCCGAGGCATTGGGCGACGGGGGCCCTTCCTCACGGCTGGCCGTCGAGCAGCGCGCGCAGGAACGCGTCCGGCTGCGGCACGTCCGCCAGCAGGCCGGCCGCGTCGCAGAACTCAGCGAACGAGCCGCACGGCAGCAGCTCCTCGGTGAGCGTCGCCACGATCCGCTCGGCCGCCTTCGCGTTCGCCTCGTCGTTGTGCCGTATGTACTCGGCGAGCTTCACCGGCCACTGCTCCGCGCTGGCCGCCGCCACGTTCTGTCGCATGCAATCAGGACGGTTTTTTTTTTTTTTTTATTTTAACAAAGTAACTACAGACTCGTGGTCCGTACTCTTTTTTTTGGTTAACATGTTTTTTTTTTAAATTTCTTTTTGGGCTGTCACCGCCGCGTACATCAACCGGGCTGGTAGCGATGCAGCAGTGAGTTCATATTTATATATATATATATATATTTTATTATTATTATTATTATTTCATACATGTATATAAAATAATTAATATATATATATATATATATATAAATATATATATTTGATTTGGAGGACTCTGTTACGGGTGCATTTTTATTTATCAATACTTCACTGCTACAATTAACTTGGAGCGGATAGAATCTTGACATCGCCTTTATTTACTTACAAGCTGTCCACCGCCCACTTTGCTCGGTCAAACCATCTATTTCAGGTAAAAAGGGTAGGGTAGATACTGGATAACCAACATATAATATACTAAAACCTTCTCTCTTCAACTCTTATGGTATAAGTATTATTCCGGTCGGTTCAGTAGTTTTCGTAATCTAACCGGCTCTCCGTTTATAAGTATTGGTACTTATTATAGAACAAAAAAAAAGAAGGGCCGCGAGGGCGCACCTTGAACATGACCGTGTAGAGCAGGTCGATGACGGCGACGAAGATCGCGTACGGCTTGTAGTCGGCCCATTGCTTGGGGGCGCGGTGGTCGGCGGGCAGCGAGCGCAGCGCGGGCCCGCCGGGGGAGGCGGCCCGCGCCTGCGCCACCACCAGCAGCCGGCTCAGCGTCGCCGTGCGCAGCGACTGCCACCTGTGGCCGGGGATTGATATTTAACGGTGTTGAGAAGTACGAAAAGTCCTTCGCCGCCGTGGGAATCGAACCCGCGTGTTCCAGATGCTTTAAGAAAATGAAAATTTTGAAACGGCTAACTGCCACAACGACGAAAATCTGAATGTCTTTTATCTACTTTTTTTCGCATTCCAAGCAATGCGAGGCGCATCGATTTTCATATATTTTTCAGCATACAAACAATTTGGAATATCGTTTTACAAGGATCGTTCGAACGAATGTCGCCATTGCTATTAGAAATTTTTAATTTTTATAGCGCTAATTTCTAAATATTTGCGGTCACACTTTTACACAACATTCTCTAGTCGCAAAACTCGGCAACGCTTGTACTATGGGCACTAGAAAACTGATAAACGTACTTAAACATACTTTCCTTTTGTAAATAAACACAAATTATACATATATAAATACGCAGACACAAGAAATGTCACATCACACAATACTTTTCCAGTAGAGGAAATTGAACACACACTCTGGCGCGAGGGTTAATTGAACGAAAAATGGAGACGAAAAAAAACTACTCCATTCATAACACCGGGAGCACGTACTTGGCGTGCGGGTAGAGGAGCAATGTGAGCGTGGCGAAGTATAGGGGACCGTCGGCGTCGTGCGCTGATTCGAGCAAGCGCGCTGGGGGCCAGGCCAGTGCCGCCTCCAGGGCTGTCACCTCGCGAGCCGCCACACGGGTCCTGTAATGATATACGAAATATAATCATATTAGTGCATTTAGGAAAGATCCAATGCCGATGTGCAATACTATTTTTTACGACGCAATATTATTTTTAGTATATATCATTCGGCACTGACAACCGATAATGCACATTCAGACAGTTGTCAAGTGGTTCCTTAACATAAACTTTCATAATTTGCAAAAGTAGAAAAAATTTAGGAAAAACAGTACAACATAATGTACATTGACATCTTTAATTTTAATCGGTACTTAAAATACTGTGTGCTATACGAGAAATTGACACAAACAGTGAATAAGAATCTAATTTACCATTTCGGTAACAAAATAGTTGATTAACTCTTGTAAGGTAATTATAATTTTGTAGTAAATAATAAAGTATGTTTTCGCTAATTACATATGACATATGAGTACATATTCGACGTGAGAAACATTATTTGCTTTGTAGAAAAGTAAATTATCTGCCTAGACATGTTCCACTGCTGGGTAAAACTGCTCCTCTGTACAGAGGGTATCAGGGCACAGTCCACCACGCGGCCCCAATGCGGATTGACGGACTTCACATATCGAAATATTTTTTTTCGTTATTATTTTCATAGTGCCGACACCGGGATTCGAGCTAGGGTTGCTTGAGTACACTGAATTAAAAGCGAGCCGCCCGGCTATGGGGACTACGAACATCTATGAAGCGTTCCAGTATTGCTTGTTTTCTACAAAACAACACAATTTTTTTTAGTGAAAAGTTGTCAAGCGAGCAGGTGGTCCACCTGATGTTAAGTGAATACCGCCGCCCATTGACATCTGCTACACCCGAGGATTCCAGATGCGTCGACATCCTTCTGAAAATTGGGCTCCGGCCACCTCACTCACCAGACGAAACGCGAAAGTATTACGCTTCCACTTCACGCCGGTCTTCAGTGAGGTCGTGTTACTTACCCGGACGAGCCTGCCCATTCGTGCAGCAGCCGAGGCTGCTGCGTGGCCCAGTTAAACGCCCTTTAGGAGCCCGATAATTTAATGCATCGCAAGTCGCCTATGGCGGCACTGACGTGTTGATGACGTAGAGCGCCATGTGCACCAGGGCTGGCACCAGCTGCATGTTGGAGAGGGGCCCCCCGCCGCCGGTGTCGTCGTGGAAGGTGCGCCCCCTGGCGAACCGCAGCAGCAGCAGCTTCAGGTCGTGGATGGTGCACGTGTGCCCGATGTCACGGTGCCCGGTGCACTCCTGTCCAAAGGTGCGTTCTCGTTTAAATTAAGTGTATTATAGTAACTGCTCCATCAATCATTAGCACATTAAGCTTTAGTGTGAACTCAGTTTTTAAGTAAAATCAAGATTAAATGTGACAAACACTACACGCTCTCCCCAGAAATGAAAAAATATCAGAGATGCGTTTTAAGGACATCGAGAAATACACGGGCAAAAGACTAAACAGATAAAATTTTGGATTGGTTTCTCAGAGTGAAAGAAAAATTTTCAAAATCGAGAATATAAAGAATAATGGATGACAGAAAACTTTAAGGTAGATCTTACCTTAAGTTTTCTGTTTGATTAATTTTTTTCTAAACGAGATGCCGTTCTTGTAAAATCGAAAACTAAATCGATTTTAAAAAGGATCATAAATAAAATGCGAGCCTGCACCAAGACGCCGGGCAGATGTCAAACATCGAAACTCATATAAATTTCGAAACTAAAGTCATATCAAATATGTTTTACAATTAATTCGTACCTGTAAATACGTGGTGTGCCTGGCCAGGCAGCTGGCGAACGCCGACTCCGGCACATGCGGCCCCCACAGCGGCAGCAGGCCGTTGCATCTAGTCGAGGCGTTTTGCAGCGCCGCACTCTCCCACTCGTCCCTGTTGAATTGTACCATTATTTATACTATCACGCTTTGCAAACCTTACAGGGTGCCCAGGGTGGACGGTAAGCAAATTAATCAAGTGAAACACACACAAAACCGACTTCAAATATCTCGCTCGTTATACATTTTTTTTCTGTTAGGTGACAAGCGAGCTGGCGGTTCACCTGATGTTAAGTGATAACGGCCGCCCACGGATATGTGCAACACCTGTAGAAATGAAATGCGTTGCCAACCGTTAATAAAAAGCGTTAATAAAGTGGGCTAGACGACACCTTGAAGTATAACGCTTCCACTTCATGCCGCTCTTTTGTAAGGTTTGTGATACTTCCTCAGACGGACCTGCACATTCGTGCAACAACTGAAGACTGTTGCGTGGCCCCACCACAGTTAAGACCTACCACAATAAGCTGTTCATAAATTTAAGTGTATAGAAGATAGTAACAAGTCGGAGAGCGGTTCTTATGATCGGCAAAAGAGGACACGGGCGTGTACCTGGCGCGGGCGAGCCTCACCGCCGCCATGTGGCACTCGACGTGCACCACGTTGTAGTGCGACACGGTGGTGTAGCCGAGCGTCTTGCGCGCCCTCACCTCGAACTCCTCCACGGGGCAGCGCTTCGTGAACGTGTACACGCCCAGCACCTGTACACGTTGGGCTAGCGTTAGCGTTCCACGTTCGGGTATTAGCCGTATGCCGGTTCGGTTATTAGCCGGGTATGTGCCATATAGTGTCATATATAATGACAGTTCATTCGCACGCACACAAGGGTGGTTAATTTTTTTTAATTGCTAATAATAGGTCGCTGTTTTCATTTTAGTTTCCTTATACATTTGATACAGAAAATTTTGTTTTTTTTCATCCATATATTTAAATCTTTCGCAAATAACCTTTGCATAATCTGGAAGCTGACTCTTTGAGCTTCTCGAAACCCTATAGCGTTTAATTTTTAAAATTAAACGCTCAATATCATATAATAATGTGTAATACTAAAGTAAATAAACCGTATCGTAATCGTATGATAAAGTAACCACAATGTAACACAGACACATGCAAAGATACAAGAACTGAAATGAATTCGGTGTCGAACCGTTTGCGTACTCGGCTTAAACCTCATTCAATGATTTGCATAACAACTTCTCTTTATGTAGGACTGAAATACAAAGTAACATAAATACAAAATAACATACATATATTAAACACACAAAAGCGGATAACAACGTTGCGCGCAACCTCACACTTTGCCTGGAAGAGCGCGATAGCGAGAGCAGTTTAGCCTGATGGTGGAAAGAGATAGACACAATTTGCAAATAAGAGAGAAAGAGATGGATTTAGTTTCCCATGCACCGCGCTTACCTTGGTGGGCTGGTACTTGTATCCCTCGCGGCATATGCAGCACACGGCGCCCGCCTCCTCGGCCAGGTCGGCCAGCTGCTGCGTGAGCGAGCACTGCGCCGTCACCTGGCCCCGCTCGTTGCTGCGCATGCCCAGGGCGCCCAGCTGCCGCTCGCGCACCGCCATCGCCAGGCGCTTCTTCTCCTGCTCAACCCAAAACGCATTTTTAGATGAGGCTAAAGAGTTTGGTACTCAAGCGTTGGTAGATGATTGTCGTAAACATTATCCTCGACCGGGTAAATTTTAATAAAATCTTCGATATTCACGCTCTGTCGTTTTGTATTGTGGTAGGGCCACGCACCAGTCTTCGCTTTTGCACGAATGGGCAGGTCCGGGTAAGTACCACGTCCTCACAGAAGTGGAAGTATTATAATTCTGCGTTTCATCTAGTGAGTGAGGTAGCCAGTTTATTATAAGATGGCAACGCATCTGCAACCCTACGGGTGTTACAAACGTCAATAGGCGGCGGTTATCACTTAACATCAGTATTTGAGACATTGCTACTACATTAATGTTGCTATAGACAATGTTACCCGACCTGCCGCGTGAAGTCGCGCACTTGCTGCACCTTGGCCGCGCACTGAGGCTGCGAACGCAGCGCTTCCAGAAGGTTCTCCGCTAGGGAGCCCACGTGCTCGCCCGAAGAAACTTGCTCGAGACGGTGCACGATCGGTATCACCTTCTCGCACACCAGCATCTGTCGACAAAAACATGTTTTATTTGGCATTATACCAACTGTTTTAAGTTATAGCGAATTAATTATATACAGCTATATACAGTTTGATACGAAAAGAATAGTTTTGCAGCAACATACATAAATAAATACAATTATTTAACATAACTGGAAAAGGAACATGAATACGCTATGTACACACATGAAAGTAATAGTGTTGAAATAAATAGTGTTAAAGTCGATATTAATATACCTGAGTAGGCTCGTGGTCGGTTGCAAGTCCGGTGAGGAAGCGCAGTATATACTTCAGCGCTGGCCGACTAATGAACTCCTTCAATTCGTCCGAGTCGGTGCACACGAGAGTTGGTTTGACGCACGGGGCGTGTTTCTGAAAAAGAAAATATTTTGAGTGTTTTGCCTGTATACCACAATAACCGTTTTTTTTTTAATACACACGTTTATTTCTTCGGTGCATTAAAAATGTTAAACTGTCTTTACCGTCGATCTTATATAAATGCGGTTTTATGAAATCTATCACTCATGCGTTAACTTACCACGATGTATTCCAACGCGTCGCGGACCACGCCCAACGAGATGAGGTAGTCCTTGAGTGTGCCGCCAATTGAATTCCTCTCGATGTTGGCGCAGAGGACGCAGAACAGCTCCATTCGGAACTCCTCCTCGGTCCACTGTTCGGAGTCCAGTTTGTCGAAGTCCAGTACGGGCTTGAAGTGGTCCACAAGCATCGCCATTTTGAGATCGTTCCCGTAGACCAGCGCCGCCAAGACCCTGGTCAGGTGGCCGAGCGCCACCGAGTTGTTTCGTATACCTAAAAATAAGATTCTGTATTGTTACATGACACATTCACATTTTCTTGAACACGCTGTTAAATATATAAAGGCTTAAGCACGACCGTGAAACTTCTCCATAATTATAAAGACCCATTGCAGACTTGCGAAAATCGTCAGTCCATATTATTGGTAACCATCCTACTATACGGTTGCCGACAACGAGCAATCGTTCACTGGCAAATGAAGTAAACGAGAACGATTTTTTTACGTTTAAAGATTTTACGGCTATTGTTTCATTTCTAATTCGAACGTTTCAAACTGAGATGAGCATTTTTTAATCATTTAATTTATTTCAGAGTGGTATTGATCAACTTGGAAAACAATTAGTACTTTATGAAACTATAATACTTGAGCGCACAAACAAAAAATTAAATTTTATAGGGTTAATAATAACTTACCTGGACACTCAGTACAGTTCAGAAGAGCTTGAACATATTCAGGTCCTCCAAAGGTGAGCGAGAACTGCAAGAAGGATTCCAGACTCTCGCTAGCCGCCACCGATAAGATTCGCTCCATTATCTGCAATATTTAAAAAAAATATTTTAAAGCCAATTAGTAACATTTTTCGAGAAATAAAAACACAACAAGCACATCTTAAATAGTGGGTTCAATTTTATAAACTTTACATGTCATTAATTTTCTCTGAAACAACATGTTTGAGAAGTGAATGAATCAATGAATGACAGTTTGAAAATGAACGAGGAAGAGTGACAGATTGAAGAAGTATGAAATGGATGGCAGTGAATTAATGAACACTCATTTAAATTTTGAGTAGTTAACATTGCCTTGTTTAGAGGCAAAGTACGAAATGAGTGATTGTGTATGAGTGAATACTCTCATCTAAATGTTAAGTAGTTAAAAATACCTTGTTTAGCGACGTCATCACATAAATAGGTAACGAGAGTATATAATCCATACTAATATTGTAAAAGCGAAAGTAACTCTGTCTGTCTCGCTTTCACGCCAAAAATACTGAACCGATTTAAATGAAATTCGGTACACAGATAGTCTAGAGCCCCAGGAAGGACATAGGCTATTTTTTAAAGAAAGATATCTATTCAAGGGCTTCACAACGCGAGCGAAGCCGCGGGCGAAAAGCTAGTAGTGTAGTATATAAGACAGGGCGTCACCTCGAGCAGCTGGTAGACGAGGTGCGCGCGCGGCATGTCGCGCTCCTCTTCGGCGGCGAGCTGCAGCGCGCGCAGCAGCACGGGCAGCGCGCGCGTGTCCTTGCGCGTGAGCACGCGCACGCAGCGGCGCACGCGCGCGCACAGCGCCAGCAGCCGCAGCAGCGTCGAGCACAGCGAGCGCGCCAGGCCCACGCGCTGGATCGCCGCCAGCCGCTGCAGCATCACCTCCAGCCCGCCTGCGAGCGGACGGCGTCTTTGCTAGTTACTCGTACGGAGGATCATCGATATTTGAGCTAGATAGAGTTCACGCTGAACATAGGACATATATATGCCACCTGCATCAATTGACTTCCTCCGCACAAATGAACAGGCTGTCACTCCATCTAAATTTGTCGTTCTACACTGCGATGACCACGGAAGTTGCCTTTCAACACTATCGGTTATAGGTTCTACAAGCCAATAATAGCTGATCCATTGCCACTTCAACTTCTGAGATATTTTCATTATTATCCACATGAAACATTTTACATATAATCAACGACGGCCTCGTCCCCTTCCGTCATTCGCCAAATATTTATTTTACAATTTCATACATATGACAGTTGGTCGCACAATGACAGAATCAGAAATAGGGTAAAGTCCACCAACCGCAATCGGCGAGAACGTTCGCCATGCGATAGAGCTGCTCGTCGTCCACCGCCTCCGCGTTGGTCTGGCTGAGCGTCTCCACGAACTCCTCGGTGGCGTCGCCGAGCAGCCCTCGCATGCGGTACACCACGCGCATCGCGTCCACGCCCTCCCCGGACGTGCACCACACCTGGATAACGTGCTAATATTAACTAACAGTAACAGCCTACTAAATGAAACTATGTTTACGGATTTATCGCGTTTCTTTTTAGTTTTCCCCAACGTTTCGAACCCTTTACAGCGTTCATGGTCACGGGACAGAAATCCGTAAACATAGTTTCATTTGGTAATGTGTAATCGCGTAATACAAGAAATTATTAAGTAACAGCCTATTTATAAATAGGTTATATATTTCAGAACACATTTTTATTCAATGTTCGCAAGTCCCGCTTGCACTAAGGGTACTAGATAACTGATAAACATACATTCAACATAAATACCCAGGCTCTGGAAAAACACTATGTTCAACACACAATATTTTTCCAGTAGGTTCGAACCCATCTCGCTAAGCCAATTGGGTCGTCATTCACTAAATATATTAATAGGGAAAACGAGTTTACATTTACAGCTCGTTTATATAGTAATTAATATTGCTTCTGTTCCCGTGTACCAAATAATTAAGCTAGATATTATATTTCTATAGTTAAAATAAAGTTATGTTAAATGCATGCAATGCACTCGAGTGCATTGCATGCATAAACCTATAAAAAAACCGAAAGACTATCTGTTGTATAACACGACGAACGAAAAATAAAGGAAGATTAAAGATAGAGTTTGTATTACTATTTTCATAATTTTTTTGATTGATTTAATTGATCATACGTACCTTTTTGTATACTTCCTTGACCGGCAAATCGAGCGACATAATTTTATTGCAAACGAGCAGCTCCATTCCGTTGTCATCTTCCAGCAACGCCACTAATTCGCAATCCGTGCAGATCTTGTTCTTAACGTCCCTCATCAGAGGGCCCATGCCGGGTTCCAATGAAGAGTAAGGGTTTCCCAACATACGGCCCTAAGAACAATACACAAATATTATTTATCGATAGTAATTAAAGTTTATTAGTAATAATATTTGAAAAAGGTAGTAGAGTTATTCCATTGCAACACAGATATAAAATATTTTAGAAGTTATAAACCATTTAGTATTTGTCATATATTATAACTTTAGAACAGACAATTTAAGTTTTCAAATGAAATACATACTTAGTATTGTAAAAACATTTCTTAATTTTAAACAAAGATAATTGAATACCTGTAAAAAGTCCTCTTGCTGGGGATCTTTTTCCAGCGTCAAGAAGAACTCGCCAACGTCATTTTCCTCGGGGTAAATTATTGAGCACAAACGCTCGAAAATGAACACCGGAGTGCGGTAATCGTGAAGCGGATACTTTTGCACTGTCTCTATGCAGACCGCCATAAACTCCGCGGTCTCCGTTTCGGTGCCTGGGGAGAATTTCATTATTATATAATATTGAATAAAGAACAAAACAGTTCCATTTTTACAATACGCGATCACTTTATCTTAATGTTTTAAGAGACTTCCAAATGGTTACTACTATTAATCTATTAATAAACTACATAAAACCTCACGTTTTATTATAAATTTCACGGTTTAGGTGTCTACCTAAAAGTTCGGGCAAGTAGGGCCACGCAACTTCTGTAGGGATCATCCGGGTAAGTCCATAACCTCACAGAAGACCGGCGTGAAGTGTAATTATTAAACTTTCGCGTTTCGTCTGGTGCGTGAGGTAGCCGGGGCCCACTATTTAAACGTTGTCAAAGCATCCGCAAGCCACCGGGTGTTGTAGATGTCGCTTGAAAACTCATCACATAAAAAAAACAATCGGGAATAACAGAGGGGATAGTTGCGCACCCGTGGTCATCTCCTCCAGTAGCTCGAGCAGCTTCTCCTGCGTGTCGTCTGTGAGGCGTGTGCGCTGCACTACCAGCCGCCGCAGCGAGAGGTAGCCGCCCAGCACGGCGCCCACCAGCCGCCCTTTATACACGCGCCGCCCGCCCGCCTCCTCCAGGAACATCGACAGCAGCTCCGTAAGACGCTTCAGCGCGTAGCCTGGGCGGTTGAGAGGCAAATGTTCAGCCAGTCATTTGAAAGAAAGATAATAGGATTGGTCAGTAACAACCTCTAGACTATCTGCGTACCAAATTTCATTTAAATCGGTTCAGTAATTTTCGCGTGAAAGCGAGGCAGACAGACAAAGTTACTTTCGCATTTATAATATTAGTATGGATATCTATAGAAATCAATGCTCTCAGCATTGATATTCTACTCAAAAAGAAAGGCTCCAATATATTTTTTTCTGTACTTATAAGTTGAGATAAAACATGGAATTTTACCTTGAGACAGATCTGATGTAAGAGTTGTCTCTTCCAATCGATGGAGTTGTTCAATCTCCTTCGTCATCAAATCGGCGATTTGCTGCAAAACGCCTCTGAGCGCCAAAAATTGTTTCCACGGGGCCTCAGACGCTAAGGCTAAATAAAAATTTAAAAAAAAAAAAACGTTAGAATTCGAATGATGAAATATCTCTGATAAGCAAAGTGTCTGTATCTACTTACTTTGATAGAGTTGTAAAAATTGCTCACTGGCCTCCCCTGCTGTTCCCACTTCAGGCAGGAAACTTGTCAATAAGATCAACACCTAGAACAAAATGTGTTTTAATTATATTTGGTCCTTCAAGCCCCATAATCGATCAAGTGTCGAATCTATCATTGTAAGAATACTCACTGCTTTAGTCCGTTCATAAGAATCGCACAGAGACTTGACCATTTGACAGGCCGTATCCCTAGCGATGCGCGAGCTCGGATCAAACATGACCGGCCTCAGCCATCCTCCGTCTTCTAGGGCGAGAGGTCGCATTCCGTGTGACAGTAGAACCTGTATGTAATTATTATTATTTGTAATCAAATTAGTTTAATCTCGGCATGCACGTGAACCGCCTGCCCGTGTACCTATTTCCCAAATTAAAAAAAAAAAAATAAAGAACTGCGCGAGCTGGTCGCTTGGCGACATGTCAAATTAAAAAACAAAAATAAAAAGAGAACAGCAGGCACTCACGCGGTCGCGCCACTTGGCGAGGTACTTGCGCGCGAGGCGGACGTCGCGCGGCGGCAGCGTCGCGTCTGGCGGCAGCGGCGCCACGCGGGCCGAGAGGCGCGCCCACTGGCGGGGCGGCACGCGGCCGGCGAGCCACGACGCCAGGTCCACCACGAGCCCGCCGGACGTCGCCACGGGGGCAGCCGCCGCCGATTCGCTCTCCTGCTGCGCCGAACACGGTGACACGTTATTGTGAGGATGCCGAGTTCGCATATGAGAATAATATACCCTTATTTAAAGGTTTACTGTACTAAGGGAATAATATACACTATAAACAAATAAACCAATAAAATTACCGGCCGTCGGTATCATAACAGTTATGGAAACTGTATTATTGATTTTCACGACTATCAGTCTTGGCCGATAAGTTGATGCAATGCAATTTTTATTTGCCTCAAATGCAACACCGAGAATTCTTTCTATCTAATATATAAATTATGATTTATTATGTAAAATACATTTATTTGTTACAATCTAAATGTAGTAGAGTCACGCATCAGTTTTACCCGTTGCACGAATGGGCCGGTCCGTCCGGGTAAGTAACACGATCTCACAGAAGGCCGGCGTGAAGTAGAAGTGTTACACTTCTGCGTTTCGTCTGGTGAGTGAGGTAGCCGGCGCCCACTTTATAGGTGGCAACGCATTTACAACGGGTGTTGCAAATATCCATGGGCGGCGGTTATCACTTAACATCAGGTGAACCGCCAGCTCGTTTGCCACTTTTTCCCATAAAAAATATATATAGAGAAAAATATAAATATATATGCATTAGGCATAAATAATGTCTTCTGAAGCACGCTGAAAGTTGGTATAACATTGCGGGAAAACTAATGCCCACATAACGTCTTCGTAATACGATCAAGTTCGTGTACCAGTCAATTAATTAATTCAATTAATTAATACCAGTCAATTAGTTAGTCGATTAATCGTGTCAATGTGGTAATTTTTTTCTGACAGGCGAGGCTAGTTACATATGGTTGTATAAGTACGATTTGTAGTTAAATTAAATTTCCACGGTTAATTACAATAAAAGAACAATACGTTAGTAAGTATGTCAAAGTTTTAAATTACTGGTTACATGGGTATATATCTGGCAACGGTAGTATCTTATGTATTATAATTATTAATTATTTTTACTAGATATAAGGAGTAGTTAAGAAAACAAGAAACCTTAGTTTCCTTATTTTGTTCGTCTGTAGTAGTGGTAGTTGCAGCTGGTGCAGCGGGCGCCATTATCTGTTGCATGTAACCAAGGCAAGGTAGAGCGACTTGTTGCAACGCGAACTGATGCGCTGTAAACCAAATTGCCACAATATAATATAAATTAAATAAAAATAGTCTTTGAACACATAAAATACATATAAAAAATTACTATTTTCTAGCTCTAGTAGTCAAGACTTACAGTTCGGTGACGACGTATTGATTCCGGGGATACCAGCCAAAGCTTCAGTCTTTAGGAAGGCACTAGCTGCCGGTGGAATTCCAGCCACTTCAGTCAATTGCGGACAACACCTGTTATAAAAAAAATACTCAGTTTTCGTGTATAAAACTTTCTATAAATAATTAAATATACAAATATATTCAATCAACAGAATTAATCTTTAACTTAAATATTCGGTGAAAATTGCTTACCACACCCAAAGCTTTACAATACAGCGAAGTCTGACTTCCCAGCATTCGACCGAATCTTGAACCTTGACCAAGGCTCCCAACAGCAATACTAAGGGTCGTACCTGTAGAATTTGATTTTTATTAAATGTTAAAATTAGTTAAGTTGCTTAGTTTATGTAACAAATACGTGAAATTACGTAAAATGAAACTGTTTTAAGGATGTTATCGCGGTAAAATTTTGATTTTAATTCCCGTGACCATTAACGCTGTAACGTAGGAAATTTAAAGTCAAAATATAACACGATAAAATAGTTTCTTTTAACCTTGTATAATATTTGCGACAATTAATTCGATTGTTCGCACTTACAGAGTTGTTGTGGTCCTGCGAGGCGGCGTGGCCCATCAATGAGAGCGTAATACGTTGCGACAGCAAATGGCACAGCTGCTCCGTGGCGGGCAGGTTATCGCGCGTCACCAGGCATATCAATGCACGGACTTCTTCTTGACTCTGTCAATTGTAAATTGGTTATATTCTCAGTTATTAATAGCGATCGCTCTCGAGCCATTGTTTACTAGCTTAGGATTTAAAGGAATTTATCACAAGCATCTAAGCATTGAGTTGAAGTGACAAAGAGAAAGATCAATAGAAAATCAAAATTAATTTCTATAAAGCCACCGGATTAAATTTGTTGAGTCCGAAAAACTTAAATGAAGCCTATTGAATAAAGAAATTTTGACCTTGACTTTGACTTTGAAGGTAAAGGTGTGTTAGGTGTTTCTGTAATTGCCATTTGTCAAATAACTAGAGTAACTAAGAAGCTGCAAGAGAGCTAAACAATGAAATTATATACAAATACGACGTTGACATGACGCTAGCGCACCGAAACTGAATCACTCAAATTACACCAATTGGTGTAGTTAGGTTCAATTCTTATCATCAATCACACGTTAGGTTAGATTGCTATCTCTTTCGGTATCATACATTCTTATCATCAATCACATTCACTCATACGTGTCAAATAATGCAAAGCGAAACAATCTTTCAACGCCGCGCAGTATGGACATGCGTCATCTATATTATTAGACATCATTGGAGCTAAAGAGGAAGTAATACATAATGAATACATATGCACAAACATACACGATCATGGTCCTAGACATTGTGATGGGTAATGCTTGTACCACCACACCTTTATGTCAATGTAGAATAGATAAATGTCAAATGAACCAATCGATGTAAACGAATGCCTTTAACGCACTGAAAATATTAAAATTACAAATACGAACTAAAGTATAAAACTAGATCGAGCATACTAGCGCTTGCAAGTGTTAATATGTAGTGTGTGCAGTTTTGTTATATATTAGAAAATGTACGTCTGTGGCTGTATAGATATCGTGTATTGAATACGACACCAAGGGAGTGTCACCTGGGGCGTTCCCCTGTGCAGGTTGTGGTGCACCAGCTCGTGCACTAGGCCGAAGCGGCAGAGGCGCTCGCGGTGCTCCGGCTGGGAGGCGAGCGCGCGCAGCAGGGTCAGGCACTGCTCGGCGCTCGCCAAAGAGCAGCCGTAGCAACCGCCGCCGGACTCTGCGAGTTGTAACATGTGACATTACCCTTACTTTAGGATGACGTTATCCCGTGTCGTAGGAGTTTTACAAACAAACTTCACATGGACAAACACCAGAATGCGAGACAATTATCTGTGGGTCACACAAATATTTCGTCCCGTGCGGTAATAGAGCCGACGACCCCCGACGCCGAAGCCAATATACTTTAGCAACTGCGCCGCGGGTCGTGGTGTGGCACGATAGCGTATGATGCCGAATATATCACGATTAGGTGTGTCTCAACCTAACATCTTAGATATTTTACTCAATACTATTATTGTTTAAAGTGTAATATTTATATCTTTAACTTAGTTTTAAGTAATTTTTTTTACAACGCCACAAATTTAAATATTCGTATGTAAATTATTCTTAACGAAATAAAATCTGTAGTTTAGTTCTAAACCGTAAATATTAATTCTTAATTTAAGAATATTTATTTTTTTACTTAATACAATTTTACCTTTCGTCAGTTCACCATCGTAGTTCTGGACAAGGCCAGCATACACTGGCAAAGTTTCTCCCTTTAATTGTTCACTTTGGGACCTGTCATAGGTCACCAACTCTTTTCTGTAACAATGAAATGAAGTAAATTATTGTATTATCACTATTATTAAAATTACTTATTCTTAACAAAAGAGAGGTCCTTCTCCATTGTTTGTTTTTAGACCTAAATACCCATAGAATTAAATTGAAATTATGTAGTCATCAGAATTTTATCATTATAGATAAGCTTTTTATTTTAATTCCCCATTTGGTTTACAGAAACTAAGACTACCTGACTGATTAATAACATATAGTGCGTGATTAATCATTGTATTTAATTAGATAATCTAGTAGTACTAAATATTGTGATTTGCATCAGTAGCCGTTGCATTTGTTGACACTATTTAATCAAATGTCTATGAATGTTTTTTTAAATTTTAAAGTTTTTTATCGTGCTAATCTCTGCACTTACTACTTTAGTTTCTACATGTTGTAATGTTCAAATGTCTGTGCTAAAAAGTGTCTAAAAAGGCTGAGGACAATAATTTTTAATAATAAAAACATAACGCATTTTCATACTGCGCAGCGTTTAAAATTTTTTTCGCTTTATATTATATGAAATATAGAAGCGAATGTGACAGATGACATATATATTAAACGGAAAGATTTGAATTGCAATCTAAAAATCAATCGGTGTAATTTGAGTGCCTCAGTTTCGGTATCTACCTCGGAAATGTGTATAATGTCATTAGCTGAGGGGAAGAGACACCAACCTGCAGGCGAGCACCTTCTGTATGATCTTGGAGAGGTCCTCGAAGTAGCCCTTGCTGTCGACGCAGTACTTGTGCGCGAGCGTCTGTATGACGCGGTTGATCTGCGCCCCGCCGAAGGCGCCCGCCGCGTTGCTGTTCTCGTCCGGCCGCGTCTCCAGACGGTGCTCGCTGATCTTGTGCACCAGAGACTGGAGGAGGCATAACCCTTCATACTAGGGGTGTCGCAAAAATGTCGATATATCGATATTTTTGATTTTGAATAACAATATTTCAGCCGATATATCGATATACAATATTCAATTGTTGAAATCATATTTTTTTCAAATTAGAATCTGGCACAGAGTCCGTAGATGTCAAATATTCAAATATGTAAAATACCTTTTTTTTTGAAAATGGGTCCGAAACAGAAAATTACGATATTTTTTTTCACTTTGGACATCCCTACTTTATACACTGCGAGCATTAAGATAGAAATTTAAATATCGTTATGGGGAGCATGTATACAAATACCACCGCGACAATATGGATGAAATTTTATAGTTTATTTGATTATTTGGACAGTAAGATTTTGAGTAGCTTCAGATGCAAGTCAGATGAAAGTCTGGCTGTTTTAGGGGAGGATCCATATAAATTAGACAAATCCATGAACTCAATACAGTAATCCTGTTTATATTTCACGTTTTGGTTGAGTTATCATTGTTTCTACGTTATAACATACTTTATACGTTATAATACTTCAAGTCCCCCGTCTTTTATCAATAAGAAGTCACAGATTTGTCTATATTATCGGAAGTTTTTATTTCGAAAGTACATTTTTTATGTAAGAAAATGGCAAGCGAGCTTCATCTGTTGTGATAATATCTGCCTAAGGACATAATTATGCAACACCCGTAGGGTTGCAGATGCGATGCCAACTTTTATTACATTAGGCCCTGGCTACCTCACTCATAAGAGGAAACGCTGAATCTTAACAATTCCACTTCGGGCCAGTCTTCCGTGAGGTTGTTGTACCCCGGACGCATCAAACGCATACAAAAAGGCATCCGTTAGGATTATACCTCGAGCACGGGCTTGTTGGCGACTAGCTGCCGGTAGACCCGATCGGCCTTGTCCAATAGGGCTCCGATGGTCTGCACCATCTTCTTCCGCTCCTCGTCGTTCTCGATGGTGTCGACGGCGCAGCAAGGCCGCGCGGTCAGCGTGTAGTCGAACTTTGCGTACTTGCAGAAGCCGCACGCGTGGCAAAGGAAGGGATCCTTCTCATCGTAGTTGATTGCCCTGTAGAAAGCGAAATATAACCATTCATTCTCACATGTAGCGATTCGTTTTCTTTAATGCAGTCAATGATCCCAATTCCGCCCGTGTTTCTTGATGTGAACATAGGCCTTCCCAACAGAATGCCACGAATAGAATAGAGAATATAAGCACGATCTTGAGCCACCAGCATCCATCGACTTTCCGCAAATTAGAATTTAATAAATGGTTAAGGTTACTTTTGCAAGAAATTCATGCTATGTTTTATTCTTGATAAGTTACAGATGTACCATACATGTCCTATATGATTGGGATATTCAACACATAATGTCAAGTCCTCATTTCCCCAGATCAAACGGTCTAGCAGAAGTCTCTGTTAAAACTATAAAAAATATTTTTAGAAAATGTGATGAGTCAAATACAGATTATTATTTAGGACTTTTACAACACAGAACAACACCTAGAGGAAACATAAATTCCCCTTCACAACTGTTAATGTCGCGTCAGCTAAGAACCAAATTACCTTCTAAAATAGCTAATTTAAAACCTAAAGTTGTAAAATTTTCAATACATTCACAAAACAAACACAAAAACATAGATAAATCAAAGTTTTATTATGATAAAAATTCTCATCAGTATTCAGATTTTAATGATAAAGATTTAGTATATTTCAAAAAGAATCCTAAAGGTATTTCTTGGTCAAGAGGTACTATTGTCTCAAAGTCCAACTTTCCCCGTTCATATATTATAAAAGATGAATATGGCACTACTTACAGAAGGAATTCACAACACATCCGTCAAAGATACAACAAACAATCATCACAATCAGCATACATACCATCAGAGTCAGACAATCACACTAAGCCTAGTAATATTAATATGTCAAATAATTCTTTGTTAGATAAAGAGGATGATAGTATGATTGTAACAAGTTATTTTAAGTCAAAAGAAAATGTAAATCATAGTAATACTCAGTCACCTAAGTATAGTAGTCGAGGAAGATTAATAAAGAAAAGAAATGTGTTATATTTATAATTTGTATTTTAGTTCAAAGTTATAAGAATAAGTTTGTAAACACTTCATTGTATTTCATTGTATAAGATTGTCACATTCATTTCACTTTTAGAGAAATGTATTTAAAAATTAAAACTATATGTTAGTCAATAAAAGATATTTCCCTCATTTCATTAGTCTTAAGCTTTGATTGTTAATTTAATTGTTTTTAAAAATTGTTAACAAACAAACAAATTACTTGTCATTGTCAAATGTCAACGATAGTTATTTTCATTTGTAAAAAAGGGGCATGTAACATTATTGTCTATGATTATTACTATATATTGGGTCGTTCATAGATATTACTTCCTTCTTATTCTTGTCAACGCCCAACGTGCATATCATGTAAGTGATCAAATAAAGTTTATACAACTAAACAAGTCTTCTTTACTCATTTACAATAAAACAGATCAAATATATTCAGGTGTTAAAATAAATATTTTAGCATTTATACTATTAGTAAGATACATATGGTGGATATTATATGATTGGAAAACAAAAGAAATGTGATAAAAATTAATTCAAAACTAAGAAATACAGCATAAATCCATGATAGTTAACGACTTACCTGCACTTGTGACACTGGAACACGTTTTCGCCGCAGTTTGTGCAGACACCGGGATTTGCTGGCACAGATTGAGAGCACCGTGGACATTGTAATGATTCGCCTAAAACAAACAATTATCCATCAAACGTTATCCGTTAATTCAGGATAAAATACAACAAAAGCTATTAATAATACCCAAACTAAAGTTAACTTCCATAATTAATTCCAGTTATTTTCGCAAAGACAAAATTTGACGGATGTTATAAATTGATATGTAGTTTAAAGTATTAGATTGATAAAATATACTGTTATAGGTAATTCAAAAGCGGTATTTGATTAAAATGTGTAGAAAAAGGTACGAAACGTTTTTCGCCGCTGTGGAAATCGAACCCACGTCCGTCTTAGGGATTCACGACCAGTGTTGCCGTTTGGACAATCTAGTTTATGGCTAAATAGAATAAAAAAGTGGCCAGCTTTTAAAAAAATCGTAATCGAAAAGTAGCTAGAAGTGGCTTGTATCATAATATCCTTTGCCTACTGTAATATTCTATATTGATAATTAAATAATATACAGGGTTAGGGATGTGGGTTTAATCAAAACCGGATCTAATATACTTAAGTTAATTAAGTATTTATTGAAACTAACAATAATGTTTGTACGTATCTACAATTAAAATTTAGTAACTAATTGAAATATTTGAAAAAAAAAAAAAAAAATTAATAATCAATTTGTAGGTCTGCAATGTCATCTGGTAATTCTATAACCTCTTCGTCAATGGGTGATGATGATGTAGATGGTGTTACGATTTGTTTTAAAGGTTTGACAGTTTTTTTAATTTTTTTTAAAACCTCAGGCGGCAAAACATAGTTGTGACAATTTTTCTTCTTGTACATTTCCCAAAGAAGTCCCGCTGTATAGCACTTCTCCCTGGCCAAAGAAAAGTGTAGTTTTAACTCGTTCCATTGTGCCAATATTCTCAACACAGCAGGCTCTATTGATAACCAACGGGTGTCACAAACCTTTAATATTTTTAATGGTTCATCCCCGCAGTTAATTGTTTGAAACAGTGCTTTATATTCGTCTCGGCGTTTTGGAGAAATGGAGAACCAGTTGTACGTCTCTCTTATCAGAAATTCTATGTTACGTGGCAGATTGCTTTCAGAGGCATGGCTGACCGCCAATTGCAAAGAGTGGCAGATGCATCTAACGAGGATCAAATTTGGTAAATTATATTCTCTCTTCAAAATTTCAATTACGCTGTTATTTCGGCCCGTCATGACCGAGGCATTGTCGGTGCCGATCCCAATCAAATTTTATATTGGAACAGACTTTGTGACTCCAAACATTTTACTAAAGATGTGACAATACCTCTCGCATCAGCTCTTTCAATAGGCTCCAGAGACAGAAATGACGACACAATATTATTCGTATTCAGGGTAAAATATCGTATTATTTTTCCCATGTATTTTGAGACGCTAACATCCGTAGATTCATCTAAAATAATACTATATTTCTGCGTGCCAATATCTTTTAGAAGAGTATCCTTAAAATGCGGCGCCAGCACTTGATTTATAACTTGCGTACATTTAGTTCTATGCATTTTTATATCTTTGGCACACTTTGAATCATGAAAAACTTCTTTACAAAGGTCTGTAAGGTGGTCAGTGTTGGATATGGAAGTATGTTCAGCAATGAACAAGGCAAGCTGGCCTTCAGCTTTTTGGCTGTTCTTTGAACCATCATCAGGTGTAGAGGTAAACTGGATCTGTTTATTTTTTGCAATTAATTCACATTTTGCTTTGTGTTTTTTAGATTCTCTGTGCTTACGTAAATCATAAATTTTGGCAGCAATTTCTACATGACAATACGTGCAAAAGGCTTTCGTTGGACTATCCGCTATTGGCTTTATCTACTGTTTAAAGTCTTCGTCATTCTCCCATTCAGTCCTATATTTTTGAATGTAGCTCTTTTTCTTGAGAGGAACATCCATGATATTTCCAATAACTTTCCAAGAACTCAAGACTCTCAATTCACCTTTAAAACTTAACAAAAATGAAAAATGTAAGAACTATCCACGCGTGAGAGGCTACGGCTAAACAAGAACAATGCGATCTATCGTTTCGACTTTCGGTACTATATGAGTGGAGTTGGGGAAACCCCGATCATAGATTACAACTGCGGCGCGGAGAGTGAGCGGACCGCGGTAGTGTTGCCTTCTCAGCAAAAGGCGGTAACCACATGTTTCTTTAAAAGAACTTAGTAGCTAACAAAAATTACCAGAAGTAGTTCGAAGTAGCTAGATTCGTTTTGGTGGCTAAAATTGATTTTTTTTTTGGCTAAAACCTTTGAAAATCGGCTAGATCTAGCCACAAAGTGGCTAAAACGGCAACACTGTTCACGTCCTGACGCTTTAGCCACTAAGCTAAACTGCTGTTCGCCACACAACAAGAAACTTTTCGTACCTTTTTATACGCATGTAATGTTTTATCAAGTGCAGCAGAGATCAGCACTATAAAAATTAAAAAAATACTATAAGCTACTAAAATTACTATACTGCACTATAAAAAATTTAAAGAGGCATTTGAGTTAATCAATGTGCGGAACGTACGCATACCGGTCGCCTGCTGGTTCTCGTAGAAGTCTGCGTATTCCATCATGAGGTTGCAAGCGACGATCGGCAGCGGGAAGTCGACGCGCACCTCAGACTGTCCGGACTGGAGTTGGACGCGCTTCGCCTTGTGCCACATGCCTGAAAAATTGCGTTGGACCATTATTGCGTCGTACAAAGTCAAAGTGAAAGTTTCTTTATTCACTGTCAGGCTTAATTCAAATCTCTTATTAACGTCACAAAAATCTGCCACCATCCCATTTCTTTTCTGGTTTATTCTGTATCGTTAAGTTTATGTTCGTTGCGGTTTAGGATTTATGCACATTTATTGAGGGATAAAAAAAATACCACAATAGTATAATATTAAAAAATAAAAGCCGCCCAAGTGCGAGTCGGACTCGCGCCACAAAGTCCCATTCTTTTAAAGCGTCATTGCAACTTCACGTGTGATGTGTGTGTGTCCCGAACCATCAGATTAAATACCCGTTAGGCGTCACTACATAGTATAAAACAAAGTCATCCTGCTGTCTGTCTGTCCCTATGTATGCTTAGATCTTTAAGACTACGCAACGGATCTTGATGCGGTTTTTTTTTTACCAGATAAAGTGATTCAAGAGGAAGGTTCACATGTATTCGCCGCTAGTTTAAAACAAAATGCTCAGCACTAACCGGGCTTGTTCTTCAGCTCCTGCACCGCCTGGACGGTGCGGTTGTTGTAGTAGAAGTTGATTGTGCGCACCATCTTGCCGCGCTTTATGTCGCCGATGCGCAGCGCGATCCGGCTGATCATGTGGCTGTTCACCAGCTTCACGATCTGCGTCGTCGTCGTGAACTTCGAGTCGATCTGTGACGTGTTACGCGATCAGTTCTTATTGGCTCGGCGCACGGACCCACGCACTCTTTGTGCGGATGCGAAGATTTTCATTTGCAAGGCCAGTGTAAGAAAGGGGACAGTTTGAGTAGGTTTATTGGAATATACTTTGATGTCTAAAAGGTAAGACTTGTAAGGAAGATTCAGAATGAGGCCAATCTTAGGCACACTGACGGACACCGCTTTCTGAGGGACTGCATTTTTAGTATTTGTGTGAAACACTTGATAGGTGAGGACAATTGTAGTATCGATCTTTATCAATCAAACAAAATCACAATAATCGTATCAAATAAAAAATAAAAAATGAAATAAAATTGAGTTAGTCATAACGTTAATTCTACGTTCAATAAAACCGTGAAAATACTACAATTAACAAAACAACCGTTAACAACTACTACAAACAACTAGCAATTGATGCCAAAACACTCAAAACACACCGCCTAATTATTAATCTTACGCATTAGCAACGCACACGACACGAGTACGACTGTGCCTAACTACGACTGAGCAAAGCTAGCAAACAGGCCGGGCGGGCGACTGTACCAACCTTAATCGTGGGCAGCTTGATGGTGGCCATGGGCACCTCCGGGTTGTTGCAGACGAGGCACGGCTCCGACTCCAAGTAGTAGCCGTCCAGCTCGACGAAGGCTCCGAGCGACGCGTACAGCGCCGCGTTCCCGTGCGAAGACAGCAGCTCGTTCTGGCGACGCAGCAGTTCCACGGCGCTGCCCAGATATTTCTGCACAAGTTTTTTTTTTATTACGTGAGGTGGCAAGCGCGCTGGCGGTTCACCTGATGTTAAGTGATCGCCGTCTATGGACATTTGTAACATCCGTAGGGTCGCATGTGCGTTGCCAGATTCAAATTAATTGGGCCCGAAAAAGGCTCTCACTAGACGAAACGCAGAAGTGTGACACTTCACGCTGCGTCTTCTGTGAGGTCGTGGCTCTTCCCCAGATTCGTGTAATAGGGCCGCACAGTATTCTACGCTGGCCCTACCGCAGTAAGTTACATACGAATTACGTTTATTTTAATGTTTTGTCAATTTGTCATTTCTCGAATAAAAGTAATGGAATAAAGATTTATTTCAATATGATGATTAAATAACCGCTAAAAATACTTTAATTATATTATAAGATTAATTTTGAATGGAAGTCACCTTGTGCGAGTTATTGAACAGTGTTCTTTTTAACCGACTTCAAAAAAGGAGGTTTCTCAATACAACCGTATTTATTTTTATTTTTTTTTATGTGTGTTCGTGGATAACTTCGTCGTATTTGAACCGATTTTGATGATTCTTTTTTTATCGGAAAGGAGATATCCCAAGGGTGGGACTATGATAAGGAAACCCGAATCTGATGATGGCATCCCAGAGAAATTGAGGGCCATCTTTGAATGTTACAGGTATTAACAATGTTTTTAATTTTCTGATTGAAGTCGGGTTTTTTTTGTTAAAAATTATACTTGTTATTTATCCTCTGCATTTGTACCTATGTAAATTATAGAATATAACTACAAAGATGTGTGCATGTAATGTTCCTAAACTATGGTTACTGTTAATACGTCGCGTCTACATTTAAATACATATTTGGAAGTTATATTAGATGTAGGACATATTAAATGGCTGTCATATAACGATATATATTAAAAGTAGTATATTTTAGTAGATCCGCTTATAAATATATAAATTATTATTTTCAAAATATCTGTACGAACCTCAGTCTCAATATTCGGTGTCTTTAGTGTAAAATATCCCAGTAAGTCAACAAACTGCGCTGATTTTCGTCCATATTGCGGCTGAGTAGGCCATATCGCCCATAACAAAGAAACCAGTGTCGCTTGTTCCGGCTGTGGTGAGTTACTGCACAAAAAGAAACAATACATATCAATTAATATTCGACCCAAGTGTTGTTGGAGAAGCCAATTTTTTTTTTAATTTATATATATTGTTAGGGGAATAGTGAAACAACGTCACCATGGACGGAAGTGTGCAGCACCGTTAACTTGTTATAAGAAGAAAACCTCTGCCCGATGGAAAATGTCAAACTGCTTATGTTCTGATTTTGAATTGGATAAAATGGGGCCTCATGTAATTTTCTAACAGAATTAGTAAGAACTTGAATTGTTTTGGTTTTTGTAATTGATTTTGCTTTAGTGAGACATAAAAGTATTGTACTTTGTGTTTATTGTTTCTTTTAATCACATTCCACTTCTGGTTCCTAACAATATAATAATAATTTTCTTACTTGTAAATGGCAAGAAGAAGAGCATGTGCTTGCCAACGGACCGCTGTAGAGTTGGTTTCCAGAAGGAAAGCTTTGATGAACATCCTTAACTCGTCGTGAGACACCTATAAAAATTGAAATTTGCAATAATTATATGAAGCCTTTTAAAGATAGTCAATATCAAACTTTGGAAAGAGTCAAATAACCTGTTTAATAATTTGTTGCACGAGTATAGGCACTTTTTGTTCTTGGAACTTAGAGCCGTCGGACACGAAGGCATCGCTGTCCGCACTACGTTCTCGTTCTGGCCAGTCTGTCGATGGCTAAAAAAAAGAAAAAAAGGTAAATAAAAAGAAATACAATAAGCCAAATTAAAAGATGTCCAATTTTGATTTTTTTTTTCTATCGATAAATACTTACCATTTTTCTATAGAGAACATAATATAGCTGGTGAGGACTCTGAAAGTCTTACGTCTCTTGGCTTTGAAATATTTACTGTAAAGTATATATTCGATACTTACGACCCTTGTGTTATGTAGCTTTACAACAGAAATATAAATAGATTGAGCTTATATATCTCATAAGCGCAATTTGTACATTGTACGATTGAATGTGCACTTTGTACATTTGATGATTATACAAGGTGTGTATTCTGTCTATGCGTTAGGGCATCGGATGCGTCAGGTGTGATAGTAGGTAATCATTACACAGTGTTATTATAAAAGTGATTCGAAGAGAACCTCCAAAATCTAATAACTGGCCAAAAATAACCTCATTTCGTACAACAAACTTACAACTAGTATTGAGTCAGTACATATATTTCATCAAAAGCCTTCGAACAAAGTATTCGAGGCACATAACATTTTTTTGGCTTCTTATTTTATTTTAATTTTTAGTTACCTTTAAATAATTTCAATAGTTTCGATGCTGATATCGAAGCATGCACTGTACATATATTTTTGGCGGACGGTATGTATAACTTGCCCTAATTCAGTGTCCCGTTAAGATTGTTGTGCTGTTGGTGTTCTGCGTGCCTAATAAAAAAAAAAAAATAAAAAATAAAAAAAAAACGCACCTTGGCGTCGTGTCTGGGCTGGTGCGGCGCGCAGAGCGCGGCCTGCAGCAGCTGCAGCACGGTGGGCGCCACGTGCGGGTGCACCGTCCTCGCGACGGTCATCAGCCAGGGCAGCGCCGAGCGCCGCTCCGTCGCGCACGTGTGCTGCCAGTTGCCGGTGCGCGCGCTCACGATCTCGGCGCACGCCTGCGCGCGGTTTTATCATCAAACACGCGATCCGATTCGGTTTTAAGTTTTTTTATTACATATGTCATTATCGCCGGCCAGCAAACGTTCACAACGCTGCAGAGTTGCGGTTGCGTTAGTGGCTTTTGAATTAATTATTCACGCAACAGCTATAGCACAATGGTTAAAAATATCAATTTTACACAGAAAACCCAAGAAATAGCTTCAATAGCTTTCATCAGCTTAGCTAGCTTATGCCTGTATCTGTTCTAATTATGGACGGGGTTTGTAGTACTGCAAGGATAAATTCATCACTTTTAATACATATGAATTTCTTGGATTTTACGGCGAATACTATATATACATGGTTAAATGATACTATTTTACGGACCCTTACGTTTAATACAGTCTTGGGATTGTTGCAATATTCTCTAAGCGTATGTTTTTTACGAGAACAACTTTTATTTACATGACAAAACATCGTTTTAACTTCATGCATTTAGCGGGAATTTAAAGCTTTAAGCATACCTTCAGATGGTCCATAAGCTGAACGAGCTTGTCGTAGGCCGGGTCGGGCGTGGTGAGGAGGGCGCGTGCCGCGTTCAGATGCGTGTCCAGCGCGTGCACGTCGCGCAGCTGACGGTACCGCTCGCGCGTGCCGCACAGCAGCAACAGCAACTTGCGCACTTGTTTTCTGTTTAAAGGTAATTTACATTTATTCATTTCAATTCAAACGTATTGTAGTTTGATGAACAGACAAAATTATATAATCGAGGAATTTGAAGTCTTTCCCATTCGAACGAGACAATGGGTTCGCATCCATGTAGCCTTAATTGGTACTACATCTTCCCATCTGCGATTTTTGGTATCTCGACTAATTGCTCCAAAACGACGGCAGCATTAACGGGTACTTTGAGAAAAGGATTTATAGGACGATGGTGTGACCTTTCATGATGTATGAAACAGATGGAGTATTGGGCCGCAAAAGAAATGGATGAGAAATGAATACAGCAGAGATGGATACGTGGTGTGAATAAATGGATTAGTTCCGGAATGAGTATTCAAACAAAGCTTGAAAGTGGCACATTTGATTGAAAAGATATGAAAAAAAGAAGATATGAAAGTATACCTACTTTTTTCATGTCTCGTAGGTATGAAAGTCATACCATCATTTTTTATAGCCTCGTTTAGAGGTCTGGATGAACTGTGTGAAGAAAGATGTGTGTGAAAAACGTGAGTACTGAGGTGACTGCTGACAGGGAAAAATAGAAAAGAAGTTACATGTTGTAACGACCCTTACCTATTATGGGACAAGGATCAAGAAGTGAACTCCACACAGTATCTCTAAATTATTAGCGCTTTATACTATTATTATTTATTATTATACTAATATTATAAATGCGAAAGTAACTCAAGTCAACTCTCTCAACTCAGTAAACGTCTGTCTGTCTCGCTTTCACTCCAAAACTACTGAACCATTTTCAATGAAATTTGGTACACAGATAGTCTAGAGCCTGAGAAAGGACATAGGCATTTATTCATTGGAAAAAAGTGTTGTGTAGGGTTGAAAGATATTTATTTGAGGGCTTCAACGCGAAGCCGCGGCCGAAAAGCTAATTTTTATATAAAATTAACGTTTCTCAGATGTTTGATCACAATGCCACAGTATTTATTAAGCTTTTTCTTTTTCAAACTATTAAATATATTTTATACTGCAGAGAATTTTCACACTTACCTCAACGGTGTTTGCGGATTCATCATGTACTCGCACAGAAGAGTGCGCCAGCGTGCATCAAAGTTTGCCGGGTCGCAGTGTTTATGAATCTGACACGGCAACCGTAACGCCATTTCCATGAGCAACTGCGGGTAGTTGTCAAAAACATCCAGAGCATGGCCTGTAATAAACGGGAGCGGTTATCAATTATCTTGAAAATGAAATAGGAAGCAGTGAGGCGCTTATATTATACTCACTTTTGACATATTCCTTCACAAAGAAAGGTTGCATGTCGGGCAACGGTTGTGGCGGTTGCGGTTTCAGTAGTTGATGACCGGTGGTCGTTGTGCCGGTACCTGTGAGAAATCAGTTGTGTAAATTATGGTTTATCCTCGTATCAGAAAGAATGTCATGTTTAAAAAATTATAAGTATTGAAAGTAAGCGCCTCGTTAGAACTTTTTTTTATTGAAAAAAGAGCAGGCGGTTCGCCTGATGTCAAATGATTCCCGCCACCCATTAACATTCACAACGTCTAATGGATTGAAAAGACGTTGCCAACTATAAAAAGGATCCCCGACTACACGGAACCTAGTGGGGGGTCGTCCTACAGTGCGGTGGCCACTACGAGGCTGCCACTCGACAACCTTTCTTCCCCATCGGTTACCGGTTCTACGAGCTATATGGTCGACGCATCGCCACTTCAGTGACGACTTGTGCAAATGTGCGGGAAGTCAACTGCAGATGGCTCGGGATCATACTTCGTGGCAGACTATGAGGGAGGCCTTAGTTCAGCAGTGGACTCAAACAGACTGAAATGATGATGATGATGATGATGATGATGATGGTGAAGACGATTATGGTGGTGATGATAATGATGATGGGACCTAAACCGGAACTAATGCATAGTCTAAGACGGTTGAAAAAGCAAGCATCGATGATGATGATTATGATGTGACCTAATCCGGACCCAATGCACAAGTCTTAGATGGTTGAAACGGCAAGCACCTGAGGTCTTCTCCTTCCAGTAGGGCAGCAGCGCGGCGAGCACGTTGTAGCAGTGGCGCGGGGCGCCGGCGCGCACCAGCGCCGCGGCGGCGAGCCGCGACACGTGCGCGGCGCACGCGGCGCCCGTCACCTCGGCGCGCGCCGTTGCCGCTCCGCTCGAGCCGGTGCCCGCGCCCGCGCCGCAGCTCTTCCAACGCGCCATCAGCACGCCTGCGGGAGTGCGGCTCTGTTAGCTGTTCTATCGCTTTAAGATGAAGAGACGCGACAGAACGATTATCGAAGCGACAGTATGATTGTTGTTGCAGTCGAAAATCAAAAAATAAATATTTCAATTAATATGTACTCGACGCTTATCGTTTGCCGAATGAAATTCGAGCACTGGTTAAGATGAATAAAAAAAACGATTAGCTTAAACACCGTTTTAGGGACTAGACCGAAAATTTTAACACACAAGTTGTATTGAACTTCGAGTTGTGTGTTATATGAACATAAGTAAGCTAATAGAAATACGTCTAAGATTTCATAAAAGATTGTGTCTGTTGCTGAAAAAGGAAAATCAATATCCTATTTAATTTTTATATTTTGATATGATATTAATAATTCTAAAAAAAAAGTTTAGAATATCAATTTCGTTCCATTTGGTTTTATAGATAACATATAAATATATTATATTTATTTATTTATTTATTTATTTATTTATTTATTTATTCATTTATTTATTTATACTTTATTGTACACCAAAAATAAAAACATATAAAAAGCAAATTACAAATGAATATAAAAGGAAGTACAATAAGCGGTCTTATCGCTCAGAAAGAGATTTCTTCCAGACAACCATTGTGAAAAGAATATTTGCTAATGAGACATAAAGAAGAGAGCAGAAGGAGGTGTACATGAATCACTTATGAACATCGGATGAAGGCATTTATACTTCAATGAGATAGTCAAAGATTTCGGGAAAAATAGGAAAGGAAAAAGGAAAGCGTGAATTCACAGTTCCAAGTAATGAGCTTTTAATTGGTTTTTAAAAGAAAGAAGTGACTTAGCTTGTCGAATGTGAAGGGGCAAAGAATTCCACAAACGCACAGCTGTCACTGTAAAAGATTTTTTGAAGGAAGAGGAATGTACAGGAGTTTGGAGGGAGAGATTGGCAGAAGAACGAAGGGACCTTTCATGGGATAAGGAAAGATATTCGAAGCGATCTTTTAAGTATTTCGGAGTAGAGGGATTAAACAACACACTGTACAAAGCAGAGAGAATATGGGTATTCCTGCGAAGGCGGATTGGGAGCCACTTGAGCTGTGTACGAAAATCGGAAACATGATCATATTTACGAAGCCCAAATATGAATCGAAGACACAAATTTTGAATCCGCTCAAGTTTATTAAGCTGTACTTCGGTAATGTCAAGATAGCAAATATCAGCATAGTCAAGGATAGGCAGAAGTAGTGAATGAGCGAGCGCAACTTTAGTAGCAGTAGGAAGAAAATTACGCAGTCTTCGTAAGGAGCCTATAGCATAGAACATTTTCTTACTAGTCTCATTTACCTGTGGTGTCCATGTCAGACAGGCGTCAAAAAATATTCCCAGATTCTTCACCTTTTTACTGTACGGGATGTGAGTACCGTTAAGAATAATTGGGGGTAAAGAAGACCAGTCGATTTTCGCGGCCAACCTAGAACTCCTGATGACGATGGCTTGAGTTTTCGTAGGATTGATAGTCAAACCATATGCCTTACTCCAATCAGAAATACAAGCCAAATCACCGTTAGTGCTTTCAATCGATATAGGCAGGTTTTCCAGAGACGATTGAGTATAATCTGAGTCATAATCTGGAGATCATCAGCGTACAAGTGGTAGGAAGAGGATAGGTGAGAGCTTATCGTATTAATGAAGATTGCAAACAGAAGAAGAGACAGCACGCCGCCTTGCGGAACGCCGGCAACATTGTTATTCCAGGAAGAGAAAACATATAGTATATTTATATTATACTATACTAACTCAAGAGTCGCATAATGACGAGCTGCAGCTCCCGACGGTTGGTGCGCTCGTGCACGGGCGGGACCACTTGCTCGGGCTGCGACTCCAGTTCGGACACCAGCAGTTCCAGCCTCATGATGGCCAGCTGAAGTTCGCGCCGCTCGCCACGCTCCTGGGCACCGCCCTCCTCGTTCTGGATGTCCAGTTCCGCCACCAACAGTTCCAAGAGACGATCCAGCACCGCTCGGTCGCCCTCAACGCTAGAGTCCAGATCTCCGGCAAGCATAAGGACCACCTAGAATTATAAAAAGTTTAGAGAAATTGCACTGATACAAGTAATATGGAAGTTTGGGTGTGAAGGATTGTTTTCTCTTCAGCGACAACGAGAGAACGTATTGCAATCAAATTTGGAATGGATGTCGCGTAATTGTTGCCATTAAGTTTCGTGAAGCTGGGCCTGATAAATCTTAAAATAACAATTTTGTTCTGTTGCAACACCCAATTAAACAGCGTTATTATAGTGAAATTAGAAAAGAAAATCACCTGAACGAAAGGTATGGCTCGTACATCGGGTAAATTGCGAAGTGTTGGCAGAGCGTCCAATGCAGCGGAGAGAAGAGAGAGTCTTAGAGCATGTAGCTTGCGAGTCTCGCTCTCAGCTTCTATGTTACGGGAAGTTGAAGGCACGGGCTGGGCAGATGATGTTGATGGGCCTGCTGATTGCATTAAAATTATTTATTTGTATGTCTCATTCCATGTATGTACGTAAATATGTATTAAATTAACTTATACTTTATTAAATGATACTTTCTATAATCTCTAAATTTGTATGTAAAATGGCATGTTCAATTCTGTTTTAAATTCATATCGACATCTGATTAATAATTTCTAGATATGAACCGATTAAAAATAAATTACTACAATAACAAAAAAAAAAGTTGTTTTACAGTTTTTTTTATATTTTCGATCCAATTAATTTGTCAATATAATTTCTAATTCTACTTGTGACAAAAGTGTGCGAAACTTAATTTGTAATTACATACGTATTCTAAAATTAATGTAAAACGAAATTTAATGCTTATAATGACGTTCATAAAGTGATTAGCAAACTACTAGCCTGGCATTGCCACAGCCGCAGTGATGACTGTATTGGCTGGCAACGTACCCGTAGTGGGAACGGGGATCATTTCGCCTAAAAATTTTACCAAACGTTTCACTGCCACACAAACCATAAAACAAATATATTACATAGGTTTTCGTGCATCATTCATAAAGGGCGCATTCCAAGCCTGATATTTTAATAAATTGCTGTGTATTATCTGAAAGGAAACTCGTGTACTTACAAATGGTGTTAACAATTAAACTACTAGCAATAATTAACATCAACATTGAGCAAGGCTTTGACAAATTTCTGCTAGCAGTAAGCACATTATCGATCCGTGGTTCTGTAGAACAATATACTCATAAAAGTAAATATTTCTAGAAAAATACTAAAATCTGACCAAATATCAAATCCAAAATCAACATATAAAGATGCTTTCTCACGGTTTACTTGCTATGTAATGTTTCCATTGATTAAGACCCTTAGCACAATACAATTATTGCGTGATCGTATAAGCATTACAATACAGTAGCAATGTTGATAAAGTATCGATACATCGATATATCTTGATCAGATATAACGATACAAAGTATTTAATATCGAAAATCGTATGAAAAACGATATTCTTTTTCAAATTCGAATCCTCAAAGCTCAAAATATTTGAACGGAAGTCATATTACGTGCTTGACATTTACGGCTTCTTGACAAATACTGTTAGTGTAAAAATCTTATAATATTGCTAGTTTTTCTTTTGGGCATATAGTGAATATTTGACCGATATACCGCGGTCGATATTGATATTTTAATAAATATCGATATCTTTGTTCCCTGCCGACATTCCTATAATACAGAACAAGAATATTGTTAGCGTTCGCTGTATTGTATCTCCTTAGCCAACGAACGCATATGCACATGCGCGGCCCTACCCACTGTGGAGGGCCTAAAACCCGATGGTTCTGGCTAGCCCACCGGTTCTGCGTTTGATGAAGCTTTAATAGTCTCGGGACTGAAAGCGTTAACATCAGTTAATACAAGATACAAGACATACCGTAAGCACTAGAGCGTCCGGAGACGCCGCCGATGCTGTCGGCGCCCGAACCGCCGCTGTCGGAGGCGGCCGAGCCGGCCGAGCCGGGCGGCTCAGCGGGCGAGGTGCGCAGCGTGCTGCCGTCAGTGGCCGCAGTGCTGCCCTCGTCGTCGGACCTGCAAAAGTTATTATATTAGAGCACCCGTGGGTTCTGGTTAGTCCACTGGTTCTGCGTTCGATGCAGCTGTAATAGTGCTAAGGACTGAAAGTCATAATAAAAAATATATTAGAGCAATAGACTCCCTCGTCCGACCTTTATTGAATAACACTGCTGTGAACCTTACTACCTTAAACTTTTTACTTGGGTTTAAATTACTAATTTTTCGAATACTTTATTACAGCATATGTGTTAATATTTTTTTATATACTGTGTAGTGTTCGCAAAAAGCGAAAACACATTCCTAATACTAGCATATGATACATTTTTAAAGGGTTTGGAGATGAGAAACCATCAAACGATTTACTTGTAGCTGTACGGTTGTACTTTAACAACTTTTAGAAAGGATGGGCAGATTTTCGGTTGTCTTTTTAAACGGAACGCAAGTGTTTCAATATTTCCACTTTACAGTCGTCTCCCGTGCACCGCATGTCCGTTAATGTAGTAGCAAACTGATACGTAATACCGTAATAAATAATTTTACGACAGCCCAGGACAATTATATCACGCAGATTACTATCTATTCTGTAAAGAGCGGCCAGACATCCGTCATTATTCCGAAAGTGTTATTAAATAAAAATCACTTTTATTAAAGAGAAATCAAACTTCCTTGTAGCTAATATTAAATTCATTGAGTAAATTTTTAAGTTTTTTATAGTGCTAATCTCTGCACTTAAGATTGAACATTAAAACATGTAGAAAAAGTACGTTTAGCTCAGTGGCTAGAGCGTCAGGCCGCGCATGCCGAAGACGTGGGTTCGATTCCCACAGCAGCGACAATCTTATCGTACTTTTTCTACATGTTTTAATGTTCAATCATAAGTGCAGAGATTAGCACTATAAAAAACTTTAAAATTTATAAAAAGCAATGGCGACATCTTTCGTTCGAATTATCGTTGTAAAACGATATTCGAGATTGTTTGTATGCTGTAAAGGATATAACAATAGATGCCCCAAGCATTGCTTCAAATGCTAAATAACAATGTGGAAAGAAGGCGTTAAGATTTTCGTCACTGTGGCTATCAGCCGTTTAGCTCAGTGGCTAGAGCGTCAGGCCGCGAATGCCGAAGACGTGGGTTCGATTCCCACAGCGGCGACAATCTTTTCGTACTTTTTCTACATGTTTTAATGTTCATTGAGTAATATTAATTTCCGTGGTTTAGTTCAAAAACACTGTTAGCGCGCACCCCGTGGGCGAGGCGGTGGCGTCGCTGAAGCCGGGCGCTGGCGGCGGCGGTGCGGAGGGGGCGGGCGGGGCGCGGCGCGGCTGCTCCTGCAGCGAGAGCGCGATGGCCAGCTGCACCATTGTCTCGTCGTCCGCATCTGCCGGGATGTCCAGCAGCGCCTCCAAGCCTGCCACCAACACCAACATCAATAGGAACACAAAGTGAACTGCGAAATAGCCTATACATGTCCCACTGCTGGGCAAAGGCGTTTTCTATGTGGTTATTAGGGCATAGTTCACCATGCGGCCCCGCTGCGGATTGGCGGACTTCACATATCTTCGAAATATTTTTTTATTGTTATTATTTCCAAAATATTCAGGTTTCCTCAAGATGTTTTCCTTCACCGCTGAACGTGATAATTCAGCACTTAAAATTAACACTCACCGAGATTTGAACTCAGGTTGTTCGATATTGATTTAAAATCGGTATAAAATGTAAATACCGCCGGTTCAATATGATGTAAATGGACTAGAAATTGTACTATTAATCAAAAATTTTCACATTAGCTTTGCGAAAGAACACGTTATTCAACAAAACATTGCAATCAAACGGGAAAAGGACGCTGGCTAGTTATTCCACTTTTTTGTTGTACGCATTACGAAAAACGAGATAATATCCCTGATTCTAATGCATATATTAAAATGATTGAATTCACAGTTGTGCGTAGTTGTTATATCATAGTGTATGTATATATTTTGTGTATATCTTTTAAAAGCTTTTTCTTATTCATCACGAACTCTCACCTCCATCCGGTGCAAGTAGCACCATTGGTTCCAGGGCGTCGTCAACGTCCATGAACTGGTTTTCCTGTTGCTCTTCCCGTGTCGCGCTCATATCAGATTCGGATATCACGGCCTCTGTGGTTGAGCTCGTAGGTGGAGCAGTTGTCGCGGACGATCCGGCACCTTGATTAACAAGATAATATATTGTAGTTATTAACAATATAACATATACATTTTTTTGACGTAAAATATATGTTTTACCAATTATATTTTACTTTAATTAACATTTGAATTTACATAACAATTGAGAGAGTAACCAAATAGCGTTACCGGGCGTGGTAGGCGGTGAAGGTATGTATACACGGCGTCGCTTCACTCGTGGTCGCAGCACTCTCATGAGAGCAGCCTTGGCGCCGAAGCTTATTATTTGGTCTTCAGCTAAAAGCAGCGATAGGTAGATTTGGTTGCCGAAATCGATCTGAAAAGACAAAAAAGTAAAAGATATTTTTCTGTGAACATAACATTGATTTAAATTACTAAGGCTCGGTTTCTGAAACATTGGTCATCATAGAAGTTAACTAATCAGCTGTCATCTAATGGCTTTTTAAATGTTATTTGAGTTGCCAAAAGTATTATTAAACTCTCTGAATTGAAAAACATTGCCCTTACTTTAGGATAACATTATCCTGTATTGTAAGGACGTTTCACAAACATACACACATTCCACGCGTACAAACACCTAGATGCGAAACAACTACCTGTGGGTCACACAGGTACTTAGAATACTTGTCCCGTTTGGTAATCGAACCCACGACCCCCGACGCCGAAGCCAATACCTTGGCAAACTGCCCCGCGGAGTCACCAAAAATTTTGCCCAGCAGTGGGATATACATATATACTACTGCGTAGGTCCCGCCGTGCGCTTAGCGCGATCGAAGCACGCACCGCGTCGCTGTCCGAGTGCAGCTGGAAGGCGTGCACCGTGTCGGCGAGCGCGTGCAGCGTGTGGTCCGCGTGGCGCAGCCCGTGCGCGAGCACGCCGCCGGGGCCGGGCGAGGCGCGCACCGCCGCCAGCCGCCACAGCACGCTGCACAGCAACGCGCATAGGTGCGCCGCCCCGCCCCCGCCCCGTTCCTCCCCGTAGTCGCCCCTCCACAGCGCCGACCAGTCGCCTGGGGACAGATTGTTGTTTAGAGTTGATTGCGTTGAGATTGATATGTACTTGAAAAGATTTTTACGTTCCTGTATATGGTGTAAACAAAAATTGTCAATTCTAGGTCAAACGGAAGTACCGTATAGGTTTTAGGTCGAAAACCTAATGGTTCTCGCTGGCCTAGAAATACGAAATTTGGCAAAAAGCAAGGTTTACTTTTTAAAAGGTTCTCAGCACAAATATAGGAAAAATTCCGAAAAATAGAAAAGTTGAAAATTAAGTTAAATTTTGGTACATAAAAGTTTTCGCGAAAATCTAAAATTGCCTTGATTTTTATACACCTAATGGGGAACTATAGACCTCAGTATGTGGTATAAATTTCAAGTCGCTAGGTCCATCCGTTCCTGAGAAAATCGGTGGTGATTATTCACCAACTTTATTATGGTGGTATAATGGTACGGAACGGTTTATTATATAAGAAGTTAGCAAGCGAGCTAGCGGTTCATCCGATGATAAGCGCTAACTGCGACCCATAGACATTTCCAACACCGGTACGGTTGCCACCTTTGAATGAAGCGAGCTCCGGCGCACTTTTTTCGGTCTAGCCCCTCAGCCCGCAAACAAATCAGGACGATAGCGTGCGATAAGGACTCCGTTCCGATAATATTAAAAAAAAAAACATGTTTCAAAACATATTGGATGCTTACCATTGTCTGGCTTGCGCGGAGTGGGCGGGCTGTACTTGACGAGGTGGTGTGGCCGCGCCACGGCCACGCCGCGCGCAAGCAGCACCAGCCGGAAGTACGCCTCGGGGTCGATGTTGCGCGCGTCCGCGGTGTCGCGCAACTCCTTCAGCGACGTGCACACGTACTTCAGGATCGCTTGGTCCTGTCGAGGGGGAAAAGGTGCATGTCGTACAGATTCTACGTTAGAGAAACTCTTAATGGTAAGAAAGAACCAAGTATTTAGAATTCTTTTGGCACTGCCGTATTCGAACGGCACTGTCGTCTTACGGGTACGGCGCCTAAATGCTTTACGGAGTAAGTTACCTAACTTGCATGACGTCATCTATCTGCTTTTTTATTACATTTTTAACAATGGTGCCAAAACCAAACTAAATGTTTGCATACTTTAAATCACGAAACATCTCACAACTAACGTTCATCAGTTAATATCTATAGCAAAAGATCGCCTTTGTTATTAAAATTTATGATTTATTTTTCTTTGCATTCAGAATGAATCATGAAATATTATTTTTTGTAGATAAATAGTAAAAGACTTCGAAGTTGTCCAATCGCATTAATAATTTGTCCGGAAAGGGTCGCTTTATATTAGGCACTAGTCAATGAAATTACAAAATGAAATACTGTAATTTTCAAGTTTTTTTTTAAGGGGATTAGGAGGCAAAGGAACATGCGGGTCACCTGGTGATAAGCGATCACCACAGCCCATGGACACTTGCCACATCGGTGAGTCGCAATTGCGTTGCCGGCCTTTAAGGTAGGAATAGGCTCTCTTCTTGAAGGTCCCTAAGTCGTATCGGTCTGGAAATACCGCTGGCGATAACTCGTTCCCCAAAGTAGTTGTGCGGGGTAGAAAGTTTCGTGAAAAACGCACTGTGGTGGAGCGCCAACCATCAAGGTGGTGTCGATGGTGCTTGGCGATTCGACGACTTGTACGATGGCGAAATTCACCAGCAGGTATCAACCCAAACAATTCCTCAGAGCACTCCCCATGATATATCCGATAGAAAATGCAAAGGGATGCAACATCCCTTCGCAAAGCCAAAGAATCGAGGCGATCGGACAGGATTTGGTCGTCGACGATTGGAGCAGCTCTTCGTTGAATGCGGTAAAATAGGAGGAGCTAGTATTTCGGTGCCCAGCCCAGAGGTGCTAAGTGGCCGGAAGCACGGTAATAGTCACTGAAGTTAAAACAATCCCCAACCAAGACACGATCGGAAGTGAGCAACAGTCTCATACCTTGAACTGGTGGTAGTGCGTCTGGTACACCGCCCGCAGCAGGCACTGCGCCCGAGCGTGCAGGTGGGCGGAGGCGGGGGCGCAGAGCAGCTTCCTGGCCGCCTCAGCGCCCGCCTCCGCCCCCGCCTCCGCTCCGCTCGCCGCGGCCGCGACGGCCGGCGCGCCCGCCGCCAGCTCCAACGCCTCCAGCGCGGCGCACGCCAGCCGCTCCAGCGAGCTCGGCTTCCACATGCCGCTCATGCCCTCCGCCTCCTGTGAATTGTTCCAATCACGGACACTTACAATATTAAAATAAAAGATCATTAAGAAACCAATAGGAAGGGATTGTTGAGTAATGACATTGTTAGTGTCCACTAGTGTGCACTTTTCAGGCACACAGCCCAAGTAAACTTATTTTTTTAAATTGAATCTAATTATTTTTAGTTGATCACAAAAACAATAAACAATAACATTTTTGTTTTATTAGCATTACACTGAATTTAGCCTTCCTAGCTATTTATAATGTATAGATATTACCTGAGCAATCTTGCTTGTGGATGGGCAAGCAGAAGCATCCTCATTCTCCTCGGGCCATCCAAATTGCTCTTTGTTTTTACCATAAACCTGAAAAAGATATTTTTAGTTTAAATGAATCAGATTTATAAACCAAACAATATATAATTATTTTGGCAAAAGCAACCTGCTATAAGTTACGACTTTGAAAATTATCAATAATACCTTAACGGAATCGATCATTGTAACGCCATCAGGATCTTGAGATGGTCCAAAGTTGATAACCAATTTCTTGTCAGACTGTAAGGACTCTTCGCGTGTTAAGGGTATGTCGAACCAACGACATCGTACGACAACCGTTGCAATAGACCTGCCATAAACCTATAACAATAACTAATTTAGAATCTCTTTTTCACACAATAATTTTAATAAGGCGTGCTTATTATTGATATCAATTTAAAGTAATAAGTCGCTTATGAAATTACCTCCACATAAGATGGAGTTCGGGACAACGTCTTGGGTACCCAATAAGATTCTAATACCGCAGATAACCATATTAGGATCCGAGTTAATGACTTCCATCGCGAATCCGCTCATTTTCGTAGACACGACATAAAGACCTGAAAACGTTCACAGTAGAAGTGGGCGATACAAATCGTATCAGATATGAAAACTAGATATTAGTACAATATCCGAATATCGCTTACTGGCTCGTTCAATATCTATGTATTTTACAATATCTGATATTTCCGAAATCTGATGTACCGTGCTCGCTCGCTATACCGACACGAATCGCGATACGGCGATATCATACGCGTTTGCCACAATATCTGATTTTTAAACAGATTTCGAGAGACAAAGCGCGTGAGATACAAATACTCACTAGTTAGAGCGGGATGGCAAGCAATGCACGATATCAGATATCGAGCGACAAAGCGCGTGAGATATAAATACTTACTAGTTAGAGTGGGACGGCAAGCAATGCACGATATCAGATATCGAGCGACAAAGCGCGTGAGATATAAATACTTACTAGTTGGAGTGGGACGGCAAGCAATGCACGATATCAGATATCGAGCGACAAAGCGCGTGAGATATAAACACTTACTAGTTAGAGTGGGACGGCAAGCAATGCACGATATCAGATTTTTAAACAGATATTATGAATAAGTTAAGTAATTTTGAATCTTAACACCATGCAAATAAGATCCGTTTCATTTAAATACTAATCTTGGTATCAGCGATTACTACAACGATATTATTATATTTTTATTGTTTTGTTTAGCCTTGAGCCGTAACGGGCGACAAAGCGCGCAGTTAAGTAATTTTGAATCTTAACAGCATGGAAAAAAACTCTGTTGCATTTAAATACGAATTACGGTATTAACGATGTCTTTGAAATTTTATTGAAGTATTATATACTGAATGTATTATTTCTTACACAAATAATAAAAATATTGCCACTCGATTGCGTGTTCTAAAAATATGTTAAAGTCAATTATTAAGCGGTATAAAAGATGTTAAAATAAATCATTTTTTTATTACTTCAATTTATATTTTTAATGAAATTTTTAATTTAATAATTTAAAAAAAACGCATTTTTAGTAAGACAGGGTTAATTATTAATGATCGTCGAACAAGACTTTCGACGAATAAAGTCAGAGAGCTTACGTTCCTAAACGTGAATTTGAACCCGGAGGGATATAAATAATTATATTTTTTTTTTTTTTTTTAGAATTCAACTAATCAACGTGGATAGGGAACCGTAAAATATCTAGATATTAAAATACATAGTTTCGAAATCTGATATTTGAAATCGATATCGGATTCAGATACGGTACTCAGAAAAAGCGATACGACCCATCCCTAGTTCACAGTATTAAAATTATGTGCGTCGGTTGAGTAAAGCACTAAGTAAATAACAGTTATGCATTGATGTCGCTTACTTGTTGTGTTAAGGCGATTCTTTATCTGTGCTGTGTTGTACACTTGCAACAGGTCGTTGCCACCGAATTCTATGTCCGTCATTGCGACGCAATGCTCGAAGAAATCGATCGGGAATTGAGTAGCTCCGTTTGCGTTAGATTTCGTGGCAGTCTAACAAAAGAGAGAAAAGGTAAGTTTGAAATTTTAACCATCTGATGACGTCCACATCCCATAAAATCAACAAAGTTAATTAAAAACTTTCCATCTACAGTAAGAACTGCCTCTGCATCGGTGACCATCTAATTAGTATACCTGATTTCACAAACGAATTCTACTTGCGAGTGTATCATAAATGGAATGAACGAATTGCTGATCTCAATTTTGCCCGCTTTTCTATGGTCTGAATCGGATGACACATAATTTCGCTTCGGACACACTTACATTCTAGGCATATTCACTACACTACAAGTAGTCTTACGCAGTTGCATACTGCGAATGTGTCATCTTGCGAACCACTTGCTCACCCGTCACCTCTTAAAGGAGCACTCCAACAACTAAAGCTACAATCTTCACAAAAGCATAACTAAAATAGTATTTGTTTTGACATCCAATAACAGCTTAATGAAGACATTTCGACTTTGAGAGTTAAGTATAAACGTCACTCCTTTGACCGACAAGATATTGGCAGAATTATTTTAAGGGAAGCCATTCATTAAAGAAAGAAGAAGAAGAAGACTCTTAGTTCACCTGCTGCGCCTTCCCCTTGGCGTGGTGCGTGAGCGCGCGCGGGCGCCGCCGCGGCGCGTGCGTCGGCTGGATGGCGGGCGACAGCCAGTAGCCGGTGTGCTCCGCGCTGGCGGCGTACATCCGCAGGCTGCCGTCCTCGCAGAGCAGGATGAGCGTGCTCTTCTGCTCGCCCCCGCCGCCGCACCAGTGGCGCACCGCGACCATGTCCGTTATCTTCGCCTTGGCCGGCACGATCTGCGTGCGCGTTGAAGGCAATGTCACTCTATGGACGGGCATTTCGGAGGTCGAAGTATAAAATTTGCTTGTGTATCGCTCATTTAATGCAATCATTAAATAAAACAAAGTTTGGTAATAGCAACGTTACATCAACATTACTCAGATCTGTTGATGATTTCGGTTTAGCATTTGTTTTTCAAAAAAGGCCTCCGAAATTAATACGAGGAGCTCATTTATCGGTAAAGCTACTGTAACTATGACGTCTTGTTTGGTTGTCTTATGTAATAGTCATTGGACAGTAGATTTAAAACATATATTGTTGACAGTCGTGTCGTTAATATAAACATTACATCGCAAATTCAATTTACAACATATGCATCAAGAATGGTTCATCCACGAATTTCAATAAATATAGATTCGCTAAAAAGGTAGGTTAATTTGTAAATGAGAAATTTATAACATACTATTAGTATTTTTTTATGGATGTATAATCCATAAAAAAAATACTCATACAGTTCAATAGAATGTAATAATGATTTATATTGTTTTAACAAACGATTATAATAATTGATATTTTACCTTAATCTCTTGCACGTAAATTGTGGTTGGAGTAAGCATCAGCACAACGGGATTATTGGAGGCCTGCATGACAGCGGTAACAAGGCCCGGGTGTCCGGGAACTTCCGCCCACTGGCACAGCGACTGCACACTGCTTTGCTTGCCACTGCGCCCACCGCCCTCCTTTTGCGATGCGGACGCCGACAGTGTTATCATCGCAGTTCCTGTAAGTAAAATCATCTCAATATCCGGCACGAAGGACCAAATAAACAATACTCGTTGTCCCCAATTGATATTTCAAAATCCAATGTATTATTGTATTGCATGTTACTACTTCTACTTAATATAATTTCTTATATTATTTACTCATTTCCTGCAATATGTTACATCACACATCTTACAGATACAGCAACGACAATGCTTACGTTTTACGCTTTCTTCTACGGTGTTTAGCGGCGCCAGAAAACTCTTTCCTTGCGCGTAAGAGAAGAACAGCATCTTGAGCGTGTGAGAGTAATAAATAGAGACGCCACCGCCGCCAACTAAACCAGCGACGTCCTGAAAGACACCTCAAAATTATTACGTTATAAAATATAAATTCATTTTATGTAACAAAAATCTTTACATTTTAAAACATATTTCTTAAGTACTCGTATTTTGTGAAATAAAAACAATTTATAATTAAAATATTTCTTTTGTTAATGTTATTAACATTGTAGTAAATTAGTTTATTTAATGATTGATATAAATGTTTTTAGATTTATAAAGTATAGAGCATACCTGTATTTCGGGATGTAATACTTCAAGAGTATTAGTGACATAAAAGGTGCCGAGAGTGGCGCGTGACTCTTCACTCATTGGCTGCCAATAGATATGTCCGGCCGAGCTCATGCAAAGCATATGCATTATATCTTCTTGATTCACGAAAGTTACGTCGCGAACCTGCAACATTACAATTTTTTTATGTTGAGTATCAATACTTACTTAATATTATAAAGGCGGAAGTTTGTATGTATGGATGGATGTTTGTTACTCTTTCACGCAAATAATGTACTGTATGGATTTTAATGAAACTTTACAATAATATAGCTTATACGTCAGAATAACACAGACTAGAATTTATATACATATTTTATGTATATGTCTTTCTGTCTGAATGTTACGCCTGCAGCCTATTTTACGCAGACGTAGTCGTGGGCAGCAGCTAGTACAACATAAATGAGAAATTTGAACAGTGACCATGATAAAATGATTACTTCTTACGTTTAAGTTACCGAAACAAAGTAAAAGTTAACAATGTTTATAATCTTTCTTGAAACTATTTATCAAATTAACGGTCATAACTGCCTTAATTTATTGTGCTTCTTTCCAATGTTTAAATTAAAAAAGTTAAACGACCCTGTGTATACTCCAAATTTGTCTTTAAATACTATTATACCTTTCCACTGGGTACGAGGAAGTGGTGCATAGGGTTGTTGAGGTCTTTGCTTAGATCGAAAATCTTGACAAAATCGGATGTAACGAGCGCCAACTGCGTCTGCGAGCCAGGCAGCCAGATTGCTTTTATAACGTAGTTATTCCCTTCAAGCCCAGTGTTTAATACAAGGTGGTCTGCCACAGCACCTGCAACAAAAACGTTTGAGTAAAACAATATCGACATTAGCATTAACTAAGAAAACAAACTACAGGAGCAATCAAGGGCCTGGTCAATCTTAAATAACATTTTGTTTATACTTACCACCACTGTTAAAAGTAAGAACGTGACACTCTTTGAGGCCACACACTGCGAGTAAATCTTCGTTCCAAGCATTGCCACTCAGGCTGAGCACAGTGAAAGGAATCGGCGCAGAGGACAGACGGGTGAGCGTCAGCTTGTGTTTTGACGAGTCCGCTTGCTTTAAAAGCGCAGACAGTTGCAGGACGGTGATTTTTCCTAAAAGACAAATCGCTCATAAACTTTTCGAAAAATCCAAAGTGAAAACAGATTAAAAGTGTAGACATATTAATAAACAAATCATCATCCTTCTGCCGTTATCCCACCTAGTCCCTGGGGTCGGCTCAACGTGTAGACCATGTTGTAAGCGGTTTTGGCTGAGTTTTGTTTACGACCGGCCACCTGCCTGCCGTCAATCCTCCTTGGGAATCAAACACTCGGATGCGGAACAAGTATCTGTGGGTCACACAAATACTTGTTCCATGTGGGAATCGAACCCACGACCTCCGACGCCGAAGCCATTAGCTCAGCATCGGCGCCACCAAAACATGATGTACAAATAATTCAAATATAAACCTTTTTCGTGCGAAACCGCCAGATGTTGGCGCCGTCCATGCGGTGACGCGAGGCAGCACATGGCAACGCGGCGCAGCTTGTGCGCCGTCATCAACTGTCGGATAGTTTGGCCGTTCTCCCCGGTGTACGACATGCGAACATTCTCGAAAGCGCCCTCTTGGGATCCTGTAATTGTTGAATTTATTTATTGTTTATTTTTGTATTTTTATAATATCTATTAAAATACTCCTTTTAGTATAAATTCATCGTTTGAACTAATAACAACTCATGATTTCTTGAAAATGTCGAATATATGTAAAGTTTGTAAATTGGCAGTGTTGTCGCGTTTTAGACAATGCCCTAATGTCCTCTGTACATAGGAGGCTTTTGTGGCATAATGTAATCAAACCTAAAATATATACACTAAAATAAAAATACTATTAAATATCTCAATGAATCATTCGAAAGGGCCAAACTGGTTAGTCCCCGCCAATGACTCAATTGGCCTAACGGGTACTGAACCTGCCTCTTGCGCCAGAGGGTGTGGGTTCGATCCCCACTAATGGAAGAATATTCTGTGATGGACATAGTGTGTTATCAGTTATATGTATAATGTGTATTTATTTACAAAAGAAAAGTATGCTCAAGTATCGGTTATCAGTACCCGTAGTACAAGCGTCGCTCAGTCCGGGGATGCACATATATATATATATATATATATAATACACACCCAGGGTGGGCAGCATGAGCGTGTCGGTGTGCACGAATCGCTTGACGCCGAGGTGCAGCTGGGCGAGCGCGCGCTGTGCGCGTCCGTGCGCGCCCACGGCGGCGCCGCGCTCGCACGCCGCGCGCACCGGCGCCGCCAGCGCGCCCAGCAGCCGGCGCACGCGCTCCACGCACGCGCCCCACGCGCCGTACGACGACAGGTACGCCCGGCTCCCTGCACACAGCCGATGGCCGGTGTAAACGAAAAGCACAACTTATGCCCGGCTCCTATATTCAACGAGCGGCCTTTAGTTACATAGCCTCATAGCTCTCATAACGACTCGTTGTAACGACTTCATAATGACAATGTAACTAACGGCCGTTCGTTGAATATAGGAACCGGGCAATAGTAGATCAACATCTACTTCATAGTACATCGAACATCTACTTTGCCTTGAGTATGGTTGGCAACCCTTGCCAATCATACTTTATAATAACGTCTCCTACTTTTTTTTCCATTACTACAATTTATACCCAAATTGTCCCTGACAAATGAAATAAAATGTGAACCCTTTGAAATGGTAATTACAAAATCCAAATCTACAAGGTGTATTAAATATTAAATTGGAGTTAAAGCTACATAATATATAAAGAAAATTTCAATGATGATAAACATTTTTCAGTGAAAAATAAACTTAACAAATGTTAAAATATTTCTCCAATATTAACTATTTCCTGTAATATTATATATATATATACACTCAAATGCAAAATCTCTTGAAACTTTCAGCCCTAGCTTGGATCATTCATTCGCAACACTACTCTTCAACATGCCTTTTTAATAAAATAAAGGTGAAATGTAAGCGTCAATTAGTAATAAGTTTTAAAAGGTTTGTTAAGCTGGTCTGGGAAGACCCTTGCCTTGTATATTGGTGGCGAGTGCGGGGCGTCGCGGCGGGGCCAGATAGGCCGGTGGTGTTGGGCTGGAGGGTCGACGGCGCAGTGACGGAGCGGGCGGAGTCTCCTCCGAGCCGGTTCCAGTGCGGGCACCGCCCAATGTCACCGACCGCTTCACCAGCGCTTGGCAACTGAGTAAATAATGTAAACATGACAATTAAATGTATGCCACGTGTATAGCTAAATGGTTAAGGTGACTATCACGCCAACTGCCTGCTACATTGTGGGTTCTCATGTCCAAATTTATGTAAACCACAAAAATGTTTGTGAAAGCCCAGCAACCTAATACGACGTTAATTTCCCCCTACTGGAGTCATTTTTAAAACGAAAAACAAAACATTCTTTATATATTTGAGAAATTTTTATAATTATAAATAATAGCTAAAATTTTAAGTTAGTGAAAGTTAAAAAATAAATCAGTAAAACCAAAATGGAAATGTTAAAATGAGAGATTAAAAATATAAATTTTTAATATACAATAAAAGTGCAAGGTATATATAAAAATAAAAAAAAAACAAATGTAAAAATTAATGGTTAGAGTATGATATACTTACAATGGTTAGTCAAATGTACAATGCGTGTAAAAATGCCGAGCCCCGTTTTAAACAAATTCCCGCAATCAAACACAATGTTTCGTAATTAAAGAGCACCTGGAGTCGGGCTTGGCGCCGCAGTCGCAGAAGAAGTTACCGAACTTGGCGTAGGAGACGTCGTGGCCGCGGTGGCAGACGCGGGCGCAGACAGTGCACACGCCTACGCCGTCCACCATCTTGCACGTGTGGCAGTGGTACCAGTGCTGGTTCATGAACTCGCGCTGCGTCACCGTGAACGTGCACAGCTTGTACTGGAGCATCGCGTCTTCGTCCTGCAAGAACGGCGGGTTGTAAATTATGTTACACAAGAATCGTCATCATTATCATCTTTGAGAGTTCACTGCTGAACATAGGCCTCCCCGAAAGACCGCCGCGAAGTATTACCCTGAGCCGCCTGCATCCATTCCCGTATGACGAAAAGCAGCAGTACACATTCATACATTGCTGACGGTTCACCTGATGTATAGTGATAACCGCCGCCAACATTTGCAACACCTGTAGGACTGCAGATGCGTTGCCACCTTTAATAAAGGTGGCCACGGGTACCTCACACAGAAAGCAAACGAAATACAGAATAATTATAAACACATTTCTACTTCACGCCGGCCTTCTGTGAAGTCGCGGTACGGACGAGATGAGTTATCAAATACTCATAGTTAATAAACGGGTCTGAAGTCAGGTTTATTTTGGCATCATATATTAAACATGTATGTACGAAACAACTTACACCATTTTACAAAAAAACATACCACATCGCGTCGGGGCCGTGGTGACACGTTGGAAATACCGAGGTTTAGACTAGCTAAAACCAGGAAATCGTTTCTTGGTAGATGTATTAACTTATATAATAGAATAGGTGACATCCACAAACAATTAAGTTTAAATAATTTCAAACATTTTGTAAAAGCCACCTTAATGGAAAGGGCTTATTATAATGTCGAGGAATACATTGAGGACAAGGATGTGTGGAAATGACTCTTGCTCTGCACTTGCAAGTCCCCTGGCTCCTGCTAAATTATACTAAAATAATTTTGTGTGTATACTTAAATACTTAAAAAAAAATAGAAATAAAATATAAATATATGACCGCAGAGTTTCTTGCCGGTTCTTCTCTTGCAGGTCTAGTTTAGTGAACCGGTGGTAGTTTTTGACGTTCAATAAGAGCTTAAAATAAGCCTATGTTGAATAAAGAAATTTTGACTTTGACTTTGACTTTGAAACCTTTCATTCAAACTTGTGTTTAAAGACCTATAATAATAAAGAAAACTAACAGTTCAACGCAAATAAAATTTGCACAATAAAAAACTGGTAATAAACAATGTGTACACGATTATTTTATTTTACCCAGCAGTGGGACATGTATAGGCTGTTACTTTACTTTACTTTTTTACTTTACACGATTATAGATGAAACTTACGGAATCGTCAGCGCTGGTGTCGTCATCGTCTTGTTGCTCGTCAGTGTAGTCTAAATCAAATCCGAGGTCCGACGGCGACTCCCACGTTGGACTAACAGAACGCCAAGCTATAAAAAAATTCACAATTAGACCACTAAACTTTCTTGTTTCATTTTACTTTTGCTTTACTTTTTATACAGCGTGTCGTTACCGTCGCGACAATAAGTGAACACACGTCTAACGCCACTGGCCAATAATCATAAAAAAATATTAACGTTAAACAAAATCCATAATTAAAAAAAATATTTTTCAAACAAACTAATTAAGTAGAAAAGAAACAAAATTTGTAACATCCTATACAACTCGCGCCACAGCGTCGCATTACAAGCCTCTCCTTCTAACAGTATGTTTTGTCTCTTTTAAATTCATTCAACCCATTCATATGCTTTGTGACCTTTAGTAATGAACTTTACGTTACAGTTTCATACGTAAGGGTGTTCAAAATTGTTTGTTTTGAAAAATTTAGTAACTCGGTAAATATTGATGTTTAAAGAATGTAAACGTTTAATACAATTTTAAAAAGTTATCCTCTATATGTGTGTTCATTTATTGTCGCGGTGGTAACGACACGCTGTATATTTTCCTAGAGGTGGCATTCCGAATAAGAATATAAATAGACAATTCATTTGATATAGGGTGGAGAATGCCAGAACAAATTAATTTATGGTGTAATATCAAATTAGAAGTAAGCTAAGATTAAATTATATCATCAATATTGAGTAACATCACCAGAGTGATTGTAATTAATTAGTATTCTATTAAAAAAATGGTACCTTGCGGAGGCGATGTGTTAACTGCGTGAAGAGCATCGGCTAGATACGACAGCAAAACGCACGCTGATTCAATTTGCGGTGTGAGCGTGCCATCAACCTGTCCTTCTTCTAATTTTTCCAGCACTTCGGGGCTGCTGAGGTTGTCCACGCTGAAGTAAAAAAAGGTAAATTAATATAAAGCATTTGGACTGTAACTTAGAAAATGAAAGAATTATATCGTAAATTGACTCGAATTTGCCATTAAGCGTCCATGCTGAGTCAATTGAATGCTGTTGCATGCGGAGTAGGCATGAGATATACCTGCAACATTCTATACCCGCGCTCAAAGGTACGGGTATCGCCGTATACCCGGTGCTAAAACCCAGTATCAAAATACCTATAGGTATTAGTTAAGTTCAGGCCTCCTTTTGGAGACTCAGTCGATTCAAACGAATTGAACCTTTGGTTGGAATTGGAACATTTAGATGTTTTTTAGCAATTATTTTTTTTTTTTAAATTGAGATTTAATCTGTCTAAAATAAGCTCCATCTTTACTAACGTAAAGAACCCTATTATCAAAAAAAAAAGTAATTCAAAATAAATATTACTGTTTAACCTTATTACGCAATTATTTATTTAACTTATGGTCATACAAATAAAGAATAAATTTATCTCAAGGAATTATTTGGTATAAAATGCCTAAATCATACGTTTCAATTCGGGCATGATCGGGAAGAGCCGCCGTAAGCGTTCGGGGAACTTCGTACCTATTCGGCCGGCGGGTTCTCGCGAGTGTTATATACCGCCACCGTCGGACGAGGCGGCCATACCCAAGCCATACCTATCGGGTATGGAACGGGCCTCTGACGTACATACCCGGTGTGCGTACTGGTATGTTCATACTGGGTATTTATACCTGTGTCAGTATATACGCCTCATCCCTAATGCAGAGCATGGCTGTTTTATTATAATATATTAGCGACTGTGGTAGGAGCACGAAACAGTTTTCGCTGTTGCACGAATGGGAAGGTCCATACGGGGAAGAATCACTACCTCACAGAAGACCAGCGTGAAGTACAAGAGTGAGGTAACGGGGCCCAATTTACTAAAAGGTGACAACGAATCTGCAACCCTACGGGTGTTGCAAATATTAATGGGAGGCGAACCATATATGTGATATCACTTAACATCGGGTGAACCGCCAGCTCGCTTCACCGCCTTCCCACAGATAAAAAAGGAAATATCGGCAATAAGATCGACGCGACCGACCATGCGGCGAGCCAGCCCACTGCGGCGGGGAAGAGCAGCCTGTGGTCGGCGCCAGAGTGCGCGTCCGCCAGCCGGCAGAGCTCGCGCAGCATGAGCGGCGCGCAGCCCTCGCCGCACACGCCCACCAGAGCGCACAGCACCCGCTCGCTCACCTCCTCGCTGCTGCAACGAGTACGTGTTCAATTCCAATTTGTTTACTCCGTCACTTATTATAGACTGGCGACCCGCCCCGGCTTCACACGGGCGCAATGCTGAATGTTTGTTTTCGCCAAACCTCTAAAATTATCAGTGTTTCTTTACTATATTATGCATGAATTATACATATAAGCCTTCCTCTTGAATCACTGTATCTATTAAAGAAAACCGCATCAAAATACGTCGTGTATCGTTGTTGTTGTTGTTGTGCGACTTTGTTTTATACTATGTTATAGATAATAAAAAGTACCTTGATTGTTCACTTTACGAGCGACTGAGATCAACTAACATATTTAATTGTATATTAACCGGTAACCAGGGCCCACTTTTCTTTTATGGTTAGTAATGAATGAATCTGCACCTCAATGTTCTAGATGGTCACGGAGGGCAATAATCGCCTAACATCGGGTGGACTGTCTGCTCGCTAGTCAACTTTTCACAGAAAAAATATAATATGATATAACTAATACAATATAAAAAGAACGCACATAAATATACAATATACTAGGCTTTAAAAAAATCCGACTAACCAGTGGTTGACTATATGTTTGCAGAGTGCGGAGAGCAGCGTTGCGTTGTCGTTCGAAGAGTCAGCGAGTTGTGTGGGTACGGCTTCCGCTAGCGCAACGCCCGCACTATCTTTACTACCGTCCGACCAGCTGCAGCTTTCTGCCACGTCAAACAAATAGCCTTAAACTGATGTTACGAACATTTAAATAAGATAGTTGGAATGAATGAGTGAATGAACAAAGAAAAATTAAAACGTAATGTTCTAACTTAATGTAATATTTAAATAAGATAGTTCGTAATATTGTTATTAATGTTGAATTTAAATATTTTATATTACTGTACCTGAGTTTCCTGATTGTTGGGCGGTATCGGATTGAGCCCTCGGCGCAGGAGACCTGTAAGCGATTACAATGCGTTATTTAAATTCTTATTTGTATTAATTAATGTAGGGCACTATAACACTGTCAATTTGACTGGTATCTTTATAAAATCAATGTCAATCGGTCTCGCTCCGCTGCGCCGTCTCGCTTTCTGAGCGACAACTTCTTTCTCAGTAGATGGCGACACTGTCGTGAAACAAGCTAGGGACAGGAGGAAGGGACCAGCCACTTACGGCTCGTTTAAGACCGACAGCTCGGCCAAGCTGCGCCGGCTCGCTGTCGGAGCGGAACGTCGACGACAACTTTCCTAGTAGATGACGACACTGTCGCAAGGCAAAGCGACGGAGGGGCGAGCCACTTACGGGGAGTCGAAGACCGGTAGCTCGGCCTTACTGCGCTGCACCGGCTCGCTGTCGAAGCGAAACCTCGACTACTACTTTACTAGTAGATGGCGACACTGTCGTGAGACATAGCGACGGAGGGGAGGGATTGGAGGGAGGGGCGAGCCACTTACGGGGCGTCGAAGACCGGCAGCTCGGCCTCGCTGCGCTGCGCCGGCTCGCTGTCGGAGCGGAACACGCTGCGCAGCGCGTTGCGGAACGCGAGCGAGGCGGGGTTCCCGCCGGCGTCCGGCACGCTCGACGTCGGCGTCGCCAGCTCCGCCTCGGTGGGCGTGCCGTTCGCCGTGCCCGACGTGCCGTTCGACGCCGTCGAACCTGATACGTCCCAATATCGTTACGTTTACGTGACATTTTAATTTGACTGTAGCAAGACATGCAGCAGATTCTCTGTTGCACGAATGCTGGCTCATGCGGGGAAGTCCCGCGGCCTCGCCGACCGGCGTGAAGTTGAAGTATTATAATTTCGCGATTCGTCTGGCGAGTGAGTTAGCCCACGCCCACTGAAAGGTTGTAAATGTATCTACTACGCATACGGTTTCGGTGGTGTGTGGTGTTGCAGATGTCCACGGGCGGCGGTAAAATTAAATTCTTTATATAAAGTATCTTCCACTACTCATCTAAACTACTTTTCTAACCTATATCATCTGATATGTTATTCACTTTTTGAAGTGTATGCATCATTCTTGCTAATGCTCATTATAGTTAAGAATTTACCTGCTTTACCAGATATTTTACAGGTAAATAATTACTTTCTTTGAACAATTAGTTGCGAGAAACAAGTTACACTATTTAAAAGATTTATTTAATAGATCTATTTTATTTTTGACACTTTACCGTAAGTAAAAACATCTAAATACAGCTAATAAAATTCTTAATAACAGAGCTAATAGTTGTAGTCTCATATTACTTTAAAAAGTTAATGTTCTTCTTATTATTCTGATTTTTGTTTAGTATTGTGATATAAAGAAGAATGTTTTATTTTGCTCACCAGATGTTGTTAAGCAAATGTGTGACAGCAAATTGGCCAATTTTTGCTGGTCAGCCATGCCAATGGATTTGCAAACCGAAATACACAGGGCCAAGTTGAGTTCGGCTTTGTCACAGCATGTAAATATCTTGATGAATAACCTGCAATTAAAAAAATTATATTTGAATAAGGAATGTTACCAAAAATAAAAAATATCAATGAGGATTAATATTGAAAACCCTACTTAATTACTCTCTCTGTATATGGGCTTCTCGCATTTGGAGCCGTAAGAAGTATTTTGCCGAGAGTATAATTAGAGTCCTCGCAGAAAACAGCTTCGTAAGCCTTCCTTCCGGCCGACCGATCTAGAATCTTCTCCCAGTACCTGACCTATAATAAAAAAAAAATAAGATTAATAATTAATACACGATAACCACACTGTGAGGTGACCTTGGTTCTTAATTTGAATTTTTTTAGCTATTACCATATGACGTAAAGTTTTCTCGGTAGATGGCTGCAAGTGATCCACGAGAACGGTATAGGTCGTTTTCAAGATGTGCTCGTGTATCAACTGCTCCGCCGACGATGTTTGCGGCACTAGGATGTTCAAAGTCGCGTTTAGCGGTTCAGATAAGAACTCCAATCTTCCATCGGTCTGTAAAAAAAGTAGCCAGAATCATTAATAAGTTTTAACGCGTTACTTCATTACATAGTATAAAACAAAGTCGTCCCGCTATCTGTCCGTCCCTATGTATGCTTAGATCTTCAAAACTAAGAAACAGATCTTGAGGCGGTTTTTTTACTAGATAGAGTTATTCAAGGGGAAGCTTTATATGTATATTTTGCACCCGTGCGAAGCATGGGCGGGTCGCTAGTATGTAATAAAGCAATTGCAAAAACGTACCAATGCAGGCACAATCAATCCAATCGCCTTCTTGGTGAGTTTGGCGTTGTCGGCAAGCTTGGGCGCACCAATCTCGAGCAGCTTGGCGGCGGAGTAGGCCAACATCATCAGGGACGGGCCAATCGAGTACTTGCTGTTGGCGCTCATGAGCTCGCAGTGCGACGATACCAAGTTCAGCACCGCACTCTCCGATGGAATGATGTGCGATGCGTAGAATGCCTGAAAAGTGATTATCAAATAGTATATTGGGATATTAACGGTTTAATATATTTTAAAAAAAAACTGATTATGCCAGAAAAATAGCAAGGCATGAGCAGAAAATAATTACACTGCCATTAGTTTGTAACAGACATTAAATTCTAAATTCATTGGTCATGTAGAAATGGATGAACATTTGATTGCACAATTCAATTGTGCTGCTACATATCACTTAAATAAGAACATGGACAGTGTTTTAAACGGTATCATGGAAAGTTTTTAAATGTATTCAAATGTGTTATAATAAAATAGGACTGGTACTTGGTAAGATCGGCTATTAGGCATTGGTCGCCTATCAAACTTATATGTAATTTGTATAGTATGTAGCGAAAGGCCGTTTGTACGTTTCTGTACAATAGCGTCAATATCTTACTAATATTATAAACGCGAAATCTTACTAACACGCGAACGTTTGTATGTATGGATAGATGTTTGTTACTCTTTCACGCAAAAACTACTGAATAGATTTTAATGAAACTTTACAAAAATAAAGCTTATACATCAGAGCAACACATAGGCATATAATTTATAAAGATATTGTGTGAATTGTCCAAAATATAGGTAATGATAAGTGTCAACTGAATAGGAAACAATTCAGCCATCTGCAAGATATTCTGGTGTAAAATGTAAAATAAAAAAACTCATCGTTAATTTCTTTTGGCCGCGCGGGCGTAGCCGCGGTTGGCGGCTAGTAATATATAAAGGCGCGCTCACCAGATTGAGGCAGGTGAGGGGCGGCGGTGTGGCGAGGCGGTCGAGCGCTGCGGCGGCGGCGGGCGGCAGGTGCGCGCGCAGCCAGGCGCAGAGCGCGGGCGCTCCCGCCGCCGCGCCCGTCCCCGCCCCCGCGCCGCACACCGCCAGCCGCGCCGCGCTCACGGCCGCCTCGGACGCGTTGCTCGCGCCCTCCGCGGCGCCGTCCAGCTCCACGCCGGCGCTCAGGCTGCAACCGCCGATCGACGGCGTCAATACATAGTATAAAACAAAGTCGTCCCTAAGTATGCTCAGATGTTTGAAACTACGCAACGGATCTTGATGCGGTGATCGGGTGATTCAAGGGGTAGGTTTATATGTATAATACAGTGCACCCGCGCGAAGCCGGGGCCGGTCGCTAGTTATTAATAAACAAAGACGATTGGAAGCGATAGGATTGCAAGCAATTGTTTTTTTTTTTTTTGTGAAAATGTTTCCTTTACTGTAGGATAACATTATCCTGTGTTGTAAGGACGTTATACATACATAAATTGTACGCGGACAAACACCCAGATCCGAAACAATTATCTGTGGATCAAAAAAATAGTTGTACCATCTTGGGTCGAACCCACGATAACCGGGGCTGAAGCCAATACCTTGGCAATTGTGCCAAGGAGTCATCCAGTTGGCGGTTCACCTGATATTTAACCGCCGCCCATGGACATTTGCAACACACATAGGGTTGGTTGCAGATGCAATGCTACCTTTCAAAATAGTAAGCCCAGTTAACTAACTTGCCAGACGAAAAGCAGAAGTGTAATACTTCCACATCATATGCAATAGTGAAGACTGTTGCATGGCCCTACCTCTGTTAATATTTACTTTATTATTATACCTGTTTATGTACTTACATTTCAGGTATTAACAGTTATTGGTATTTCCCAATCTGGTACTTTATATAATACTTCTACAATTAGTCTATTCAGTAAAAGGGTTAGGGACCCACTTGTGTGACAAAGGTGTAACTCATAATAGTTAATGTTAAGTTGCATGAATCCATTAACTTTATCTAACATCAAGTGGTGTTTATACCATTGGAACAATCAACAACAATTGGAACAATTCAATCAACAGTCTTGGTATTAAATCACATATACATAAACTACTTAGAATCTTATTCGCAAACTAAATGTAACTTTAACATACCGACAGCAATCTAATATGGTGGTTAATAGATCCAAAAGATTGGGCATAAACTGGTGCGCTTCTGCTGCCGACGTCGTATCAGCCAGGCAAACTTTTAGTCTCACTAAAGCAGAATCGCAGGAGATCACGTCAAGCAGAGATGGTAAACCACTCGCTGTAAAATAGAATGAATAAAACTGTATCACAAAAATAAAACAAAAATGACTACAGTAAATAAATTAAATGCAGTATGTGTTATATTTTATTAACTTTTCACAGAACTTACGTGTTATATTTTGTTTGAGATGTTTGATAGTTTCTGATGCAAGCCATGCTGTGTACTTTATATTATCACATGATGCACTCACTCCAGCTAACAAATTTTCAGCATACTAAAACAGAAAAATATGATGTTAAAATCAAAAAGCCTAGATTACTTTTCCTTCTATGTATAGAAATAAATATTCATCAATTCGGTCCTTCTCATAGTATTTCCGACTATTTTTTAATGACAATGCAACACATCTGTTCGTGGCTCGCTGGGAATCTTCTTAAATTATAAAAAACTAATATAGTTTATTCTTTTAACAACGTTTTTTTTTACATCTTTCTGTGCACCTACCGAATCTTCTTTGTACCACCCCAAGGTTGACTGGGAGATAATGCCTTCGGCATTAAGTCCGCCTATGTACAGTTTGTGGAAAAAGTATAAATAAATAAATAAAATAAAAACAAACACCAGATCCATGTAGTGGCATTTAAAAGTGTATTTGCTATACTCACTTGCGTGTACATGCCCTGCTTGACGAGCGCGTCCTTGAGCCAGGGGTTGAAGACCTTCTTGTTGTCGGCTCTTGGAGCCCAGACGACCGCATGCAGAGGCAGCGGCGACGCCAGCTCCGCTTTGGTGCCCGCCTGCAGCTTGTCCATGTGAGGAGTAGCCGGTGGCATGCTTATCACCAACCTGTGTACACATCCAACGAAAAGTTAGTTTCTTTGGTTTATTTAGTTGGACTACTTAAATATAAATTGCTTTATAAGAGCTATTTGACTATGGCAAAACATCTGCAACCCTACAGTTGCAAATGCCAATGGGCGGGGGTCATCACTTAACATCAGGTGAACCGCCAGCTCGATTGCCACATTCTCACATAAAAAAAATTGTATTCAGTCCGCGACATGGCACTGTTACAGAAGATCTGTTTGAAGTTGTTCCAAATGGATATTTATCTCTCAACCCGAGTTCTGTAAAACTTTTACTATAGTAGCAAGCATGTTACTATAAATATCAACATCTTCTTTCACTTATCGTGACACGTAACACGTGAATCATGTTAAGTGGTTTCGGTTGGATTTTATCTGTGAATCACATAAATACTTATACTGTATGGGAAAAATAACTACGATAACATCCGCACAACCAAATCATAAGGGAAACATAGTGAACAACAAACCTCCACGCAGTTTGGAAGCAGTAGTGAGCAGCAGCGAGCGCGGTGGGCGAGGAGTTGTACTGCGGGTTGTCGCAGATGCACGACGAATTAAGCAGCGCCAGCAACGCATCCAAAAGCAGTGGGTACTTGAGCTTGTGCGGCGTGCCCAGCACAAAATTGCACGCCAGCCCGTCGAACTTCGGATTCTCCTACATAATACACATTTATTTAAAAATTATTTAATGTTCCATAATTATATTTGCCCTTTAAAGTATAAAGTACAAATTATGTAGTATGCATATATTATTTGTAAATAATATTGTTACTTAGGATTAAGTTATGACTTAATAATATCATTATTTTTTAGAACATTTCATATAGTTTCATGTTGCTATTGGTAAATAGACATTTATTAAGTTAAAATGATATCCTAAAGTTTTTAAAGTTAAAACGTGTATTCACCGGGTAAAAGATTTATTCATATAAAAATAAATATCATACTAATCACAACTAAACACACTTGAAACTTGATTTGTTATAACGAAAAATAATATAAATACCTGATTGTTTATCTCGGCACTGGTCAAAGCATAGAATTTCGGCCTCATCGATGTCTCATCTTGCGAGAAGCGTCTGTACGCTTGCTCGATGTAGGGTACTTCGCAGTATATGCGTGACTTCATCTGTCCGTTGTCTGCGGTATTCTTTGCGCTATTTGCGGCTGTGTCGGGTGTGGATTGAGATAGACCGGGCGCGATCACAAGGTTCCACTCGATCTGGTAAGAAGACGCGATTAGAACGTTGTCACAGTAACTGAAAGAATTGCTGTATTTTCAAGCTTACCTGTTGCAGCAACGTCTGCGGTGCGTCATAGAGGTGCCGCATGAGATATTCTAATAATAGCATTAGCCGAGTAGTCAGCATGAGCTGGTGCGGAGCCAAGGTCATTGCGCGCTTCCGGTCGCTTATAGCTAGTGTTTCCACCACCTACAAACAAAAATAGTTTAAGTATGAATGAATGAATGAATGAATGAATATACTTTATTGCACACCAAAAATAAAACAAAAAAAATAAGAACTTAATATAGAAGTGATGAGTACAATGGGCGGCCTTATTACTAAGAGTAATTTCTTCCAGGCAACCTTTGAATCTTTAAGTATTCTATTGGAATCAATTAAAGTGTTGAGTAACAATGGAAAAAACAGAATATTTCTTACTTTTATAATGGCATTGGAAGTCATGAGCAGAACAGATTTTTTCTGCATCAATGTCAGCGAATGGAACAAGTAAACCAACAGCTGAGCATGTTCGACATTCAAATCTGTAAAAATTACATGCAAATCAAGATATATCATATAAAAATGATTATACTATGCACATACTGTTTTGGATGACATGGGTCAAGTTAAAGGCAATATGCAATTATAATTGTAGATTCTATGTTGAAAGTTCCTTCAATAATCAATTTTTACCTTCGTAATCATGGTCTTGCGCTGGCTGCTGTTGCAGAGCGCATTCTTGCAACGTGTTGACAATCTTGTGCCACATCACTAGAATGCTATTTTCGCGGTCGGCCGCCGCTTTGCTTAGGACTATGCTGCCCAGGAGTTTCACGACACGCGGTCCCACCTATCATTTGCAATCAGCGTTGATAAAATTAAATACCTTAATAAATATTACATAACTAACTTTTACCGTGTATTGTGGAAACTATGGCAAACTACAGAGCCATAAGAAATGTATTAAGATTCGTCAGAAGAAACTCGTATCTATAAATGTAAATCAATGTTCCATTAACGAAATGTTCCATGACAAGACTGGTTCACTGTGCTGGTCACTGAAGATTAAATAAATGGTATAAAATATTGAAATAGCATTTCTCACTATTTACTAATCAAAATGGTTATTGAATACGCTACATTAATAATAGGTTACGTACTTATTCCATGGAGGCGAACGGCGTGAATTAGACATACTAAAAGCACGGGTGTGAAATATGCATTAGATGCATAAAATTACAATGATGAGTTTTTTTTGGTTTTAAAAAAAAACATTGGCCTTACTTTAGGATAACATTATCCTGTATTATTGGGACATTTTACAAACATAAATTTCACGCGGACAAACATCCAGATGCGAAACAACTATCTGTGGGTCACACAAATATTTGTCCCGTGTGGGAATCGAACCCACGACCCCCGACGCCGAAGCCAATACAACTCCGAACAGTCGTCTTATTTTCAGATAATATTATAGTCACTACTTTTTCCATGTGGAAATCGAACCCACGACCCGACGCCGAATCTGCGAACGTGTATTGTTTATCAACCGACTTCAAAAACGAAGAGGTTCTCAATTCGACTGTATTTTTTTTTTAATGTTTGTTAACTCAGAACTTTCTACTGAGTGAACCGATTTAGATGATTACTTTTTTATTTGAAAGCTGGCGCTTCCCATGTCGTCCCATATTAAGTTCATTGGTATTGAACCTTGGGCTCCGGAGATACGTAGGGAAATGAATAAAGAGCGAGATTTTTGAAGTCGGTTTTGTTTTTCGTTAGCAAAAAAAAAATAGTTTAAAAACAATTTTTAGCCTGTGGCCGTCGGTCACCTGAAGCGGTGTGATGTTGGTGCGGTCGGTGCCGGCGGCCGCCAGTTGCTGGTGCAGCACGGGCTGCAGCGCCGCGAAAGCGGGGGAGCCGCTCAGGTTGTGCAAGTAGCACACCAGCGCCGAGCTGAACGCCGCGTACAACGCGCCCAGCCGCGGCCCGAAGCACGACGATATGGTGCCTGAGAATTATTTTCAACAATTACTTTGATTTATGCAGGCCTCTTCAAACCGATTGAAGTGGAAATCCCTAGAGGAGGCCTATGTTTAGCAGTGGACGCTTACAGGCTGAAATGATGATGATTGTGATTTATCCTTCCCATCTTTAGAAGAATCTTAAAATGAAAAAAAGCTTGAAACAACTAAATTGAATTTTTTTGATTATAGTCAAACGAAATTACAGTATTAATTTATGTACCCGTATCAGTGCGCGCTGTCTCCCTATCTAGGTCCTTGGCAAGGGCGGCGAGCAGCACCTGGTGTGCGTCGTGCAGCTGGACGGCGGCCGCGCCCAAACGCTCAGAACCCTCGCTGATAATCTCCTCGTTCAGCAGAGTAAACGCTTCTGTTGCCAGTGTTATGTACTAAGGAGCGAGAATAAAGTAATCAGAAAAGCATTCACAACATATAGATAATGAGCAAATTTGGCAACGGGTGGTAAATAATAATGCAGTCTATCTACAAAGGTTCTTGTAAAGGTTCTCGAAAAAATCGACAAGAATTGTTGGCAGCTTTTACGAGAGGTCTAATTACCTCACACCACAAAATGCAAATATTAGTAGAGTAGTGTCAAGATCTAATCAGCCCATTCATGGAACAATAGGAGCTTCACCGTTGCGTTCTTAATTGACTCATCAACATTACAATACTAGTTGATCTCAGGTACACGTCAGCAGGGCAAGTTACTAAGTGACTCTACCACAGTCAAAAACAGTAACAACCGTTATAGAGCAAAGTCGTGTACTGTATTTGTATCTTATGTAAAAGATATTGGGTATTAAGTTCCAAGGAGCACCGCAACATAGAAGATCTATTGTTGTCTTGCTCCGAAAACAATGCTCCCTTACTGTAGGATAAAAGTATCCTGATTTCTGAGGATGTTACCTACATCAATAACATTGACATCCAAAACAATAATTTGTGTGTAACACAAATAGTTGTCTCTTGTAGAAATCGAACTCACGACCCCCGGCGCCGAAGCCTTCTACCTGGGCAACTGCACCACGAAGTCATCAAATTGCGTGATGTAACAAGGCGACCGTTAGTTATAACGGAGCAATCACCGAGTAGGGCTCCGCCTTGTCGGGCACTATGGCGTGGGGCCTGGCGGGTACGTCGGTGTTGTCGTTCGCGTCGGTTGCCGTGCGCGCCGCCGCCGCCTCCGCCGCGTCCGGCGCCACCAGCGTCGACTCGAACCACAGCCCGAATAGCGGTTCGCTGTCTTCTGGAACGGAACGGAATACAGGGTTTACGCAACATGGATATGGACTTAGTTTTGGAAGAACTTTTTTTTTGTCAAGTTACTTTGTAACACAAAGCTTTGTATTGAATTCTATCATACATAGCTTCAACAAATTACCATCGTCGGTTTCAGAATCCTCGGAGCAGAGTATCATGTCCTGGAAGTAGACAGTGGAGTCCGAGCGGTCTCTGTCGGCGTCCTGATGTTGCTTCTGCACCACGGCACGCTTCAAGTTGGTCGCCTTTCGATAGCACACCACGCCCAACGCCACGAACAGCTAAAACGAGAGATGAAAAGCTTTATTCGAGGAATATTTTAAGTTTTAAAATAAATTAAATTCATTAAGAAGTTTCTTAAGTTGTCAATTCAAGAAATTATTCTCATCTATGTTGGAGCCGCACCTTCATAAACCTGTTTTCTTATTAACTGTAAACGATGGCCTAATGGATGTGGTGGAGTCTAACAGACTTGCGATGGCCGCAGTTTCGTAACCCAGCCTCATAACTTATATTTTTCTGATACATTAATTGCAAGCATTGCTGCCTCAACTAATAACAATTGATTATATCCAGCTTGCAGCCCTAACATTTAAGACTAATCAACCTTACCAAATCAACTACACCGGTGCAAGAGCTTAAGGAACGAAAAAGAAAACTAAGAGAGAAAGAGACAGAGAGAGAGAGTTGGAGACAGAGAGGGAGAGGGAGAGAGACGTGAAATCACACCTGGTGCAGGGGCGCGGCGTGTGCGAGCCGCAGCTCCCGCTCGTGCGCCGAGTGGTGGTCGAGGATGTGCAGCTGCGCGGGGCACGTGTCCGTGCAGTCGTGCCCGTTGCCGCCGAGCGCCTCGAGGCGCGCGTCGCAGAGCAGCGCGCCGCTCCACGCCAAGCACCGCCCGCCCAGCGCGACCCACACCACGCCGAGACCCTGTTGCCTGTGCGTTTGCAAATGGATTCCAATTAACCTTAATGAGCTAGAACGGTACGTATTATTACAACGCCTGTATAGTTTATATTTTATATTACAACCAGTCACAGAACATAAATAATTCAATGAGAATCTCCACGCCCCGACCTGACCGAGAGAGAATTTTTAATTTGATTTGTAATCACTACTTATATTATTTGCAACAAAGAACATAAAAATAAAATATATTCAACGGAAGAGTTTCCCATCAGCACGAGACTCCACAGAGCGGCATTTTCGTGGACATTTCAAACTTTTTGGTGAAGAAAATTAAAAAGGCTTGGTGTACCATTTGTTCGCTTCTCACCTTCCCTCATAAAAAATTGCAATTGTGAATTTCCATCTACGAGCAGCGCAAAAGTCAACACGTAATTTAAGATCCGAAAATGAAATAGGCTATAAATCGCATATCACAGGACTTATATGGTCATGTAACGAAACTTTGATTTGCAAGCATTTGATGGATTGTAACTTACAAATGTCTATCACGGAAGACGATTATGTTGATTATATAATAATACAAACAAGTCTCTCACATTTTGGTCAGATTGTAGGGCCTCGATGGTACTTTGGCTGGGCTTCTGCCCGGCACCGAAGATGGGCAAGGAGCCCCAGCGAGCGCGTGGTGTAGACCGCAGAGCAGCACCCAGGCGCCGATCATAAGGTGGTTTTGGTATACCTAAATTTGAAAACGTAAATGAATACACATACAATTAGTATGCAGCTAGATTAAAAAACGTTAATTCAATAATTTAATACACTACCATACCTGTGGCAAAAATCTTAACAATAAAGTTATTATTATGAACAGCAAAACTGCGGGTAAAGATAATAATAATGCTTGAATGGAAATCGGCAAAAAATATTTTACATCAAACAGTTAAATGCGAATAGAGTAGATGGATGTTGACTAAATGGCGCAATTGCTATTGGTTTCGGCACTGGGGGTCGTGGGTTTGACTCCCACACGGGACAAGTATGACCCACATATAATTGTTCTGAGTGTTTGTTCCTCAGTAGGGTTGACATCAGGCACAGCTAAAACCATTTATAATATGATTCACATGTTGAGCCGAACACATTTAGGTGGGATAAGAGCAGGAGGAGGAGTATAAGACGAATAGATGTCGCCTACAAGGAGGGCGTTGTTGAAGCGAAGACTAGCTACTTATTTCTACACATTTTGGTTGCATGTCACAAATATCACTCTTACAAAAAGCTACTTATCCTAATCCACAATGCTACTCACTCAAAAAATAATGATAAACACAGCGGAAATCTACACTGAGCATTAATTGAATGGCTCACTCGGTAGCCATTCTTTTCATATACAGCTCTGGGCTTCGAGACAAAATGTAATTAAACACTTACATAACCACCAGCACGAGTAGACTGCTTGAATGTTTCCCCAACAGTGTTGTACAAGCTGAGTGCACTTTCCACCAGCGTAGCTGTTTGTTGCTCACTCTCCTCATCTTTGGGATGCAGAGACGCCTGTTGGAAATATTATGTGTAAGAATAAATAACCTTGCTGGGTATTTCATATCTTCCACTTGAAATCAAAATAAACAAACTATATTACTAGTAACAAAAACAAACTATTAATTATGCATCATTTTACCAATACAAAAAGCCCTATTTCCAAACAAATTTGTGAAGCACTACAAGTACCTAAGGCAGTTATTAGTAAATACGCCATTGATGAGGAAACCTTAGCACAATATTATGCCATGAGATTACAAAATTACTGATAAAAACTATGAAAGCTACATCATCATTAATAAGATTATGCCTCTGAAGAGAAAAACTTCTGTAGAAAAACCTTATTTTCTAATTAGGTACCATAGAATTTTTAAGGGATATAATTTTTATACTGCTATTCTCTGCACTTAAGACGAATTTTCGTCTTACTTCTAAAATTTTTAATTTCATCAATCATTTAAAAACCATAGCATATTAACTTGTGTCCAATGTGTCCATTAAAAATGATAAAAATGGAAGGTAAAAACATACCGCCATGTATATCATGGCACTATCATTTCTGTATCTGTTTGGACTAAAGATAGACCTATTATTTTCGTGAGTTCGGGATTAAACTTAATTTGATTGAGGGAGGTTAACTCTAACTCAAACCAATTTAACAGCATAGCCGGGGTGTGAGTGTAAGTAAAATTCAACCTGAGCGGTGGCACAGAAAAGCCATGCGGTGGCGACGTCGCTGAGGGTCGCAATGCGATCTGGTGAGAACGGCTCCAGGCATGGAAGTGATAGCGCTAGCCGGCAGACGAGCACCTCGTTAACCAGGAAATGAAGGCTGTAAAAGTCGATTATATGATGGTACTAGCGACCTGCCCCAGCTTCGCACGGGTTCAATTTATTATACATATAACTCCTCTTGAATAACGATCTAATAAAAAAACCGCATCAATATCCGTTTCGTAGTTTTAAAGATCTAAGCATACATAGGGATAGACAGACAGCAGGAGGACTTTATTTTATACTTTTTAATGAAGACTAGAAAACAAAATATCAAGAAAAATCTAAAATATGGTATATGAAAAGATTATCTGTCTGAGAGTATAGAAAGGTACAACTGAACCCTTAAAAAACTAAAGTAATAGCAGCAGTTACTACTTTTAATTTTACAAACGTCATAAAATATTAAAAATTGAGTAAACAACATTTACAATTCAATTCAATTTTTAATGTAATGGCCTCATCAAGGATACACAAACGGCCCCTTCAAGGACATTCAAAATAATATCTGACAAGTAATATTTGAACTAGAGGTCTTTGGTATTGAAATTTATGATATCTGTTTAGTGATAGTCTGCACTCAAGTTCTTACAGCACCTTCCGACAATTTATCAATTCAGCTCACATTTAACTTTTTTTTAACATTGTTCATGAACTTGTTCTAAGTGGCCTCTAAGAGGTGGCTTCTAAGAGGTAAGATAGGGCGATAACTCACAGTGAAGCATCAGAGTTAAACTGGGGTGTGAGAGCTGATTCCTTAGCCATTTGCCACCGATTAAGATACCGTTGCAGGCAAGGCAAAGAAGAGCACACCTTCAGCATGGTGATACCAGCTCGATGCTCCATCAATAAAGATGCACATGTTGATGCTACCCACTTCTACAAAACAAAAAATTATATTTCACTTTCAACTTTTTAAGACCATATTTAGGATGATTTAATATTAGTACCAAATTGAATCCATACCTTCATATCAATTGATGCCTGTTGGTTGGCATTTCCTTCTTTTGAACTTTCCAAGCTGTCCTTACTTCCGGGAGACAGAACTGCTGTAGTTGGTTGAACCTGTGCTGAAGGTATCGAAGTGACAGGGTTTCTCAAGGGCATAGTTAACTGCTCTAGAAGCGCATCGGAGCGGCGTTGAGCGTTTGATGGCGCCTTCTCATTGTTAGAATTTTGTGAAGCAAGAGATGTGATAGAACTTGGCAACACAGATGACTTTGTGGTTTGAGTTTCTGCAATGATATTAAAATGTACATTATAATTAAATATAAATTATGACTATAATTACATTTACTAATTCCATAAAAGATTTTTTCTTTTTACAAACCTGATACATTAACATGCGCAGGTAATTTGGCATTTTTCAGCAGAGATGTCAAAATTACTAAATCAGATTGAGGATAGCCGCCTCCGTCAATGCCACATAGACCAACAATTGGTAAAAGCAGCTGCAAAAGACAGAACAACAATATTAATATTTCTTCATTTAAAAACCTTGTGAATTCCAAATGGAAAACAGCTGAAAATATATTGACATTAAATTCAATCACCTGTTTAACTGAAACATTTGGGGCGGCCGTAGTTGTAGTAGTCTCATCATAGGTCGATCCAACTTCAGAGAGCTTCTTGAGAATTTGTTGTAAAATAATCCTGAATGCATCTCGTGCAATACTCAACTGGTCAACTGGTACTATGTAAAAATGACACTTATAAGTAATTATAGGCAACTTTTAAATTACTTTCATATAATAAATTTTACTGTAGGTATTACTATTTCTAATCACACAACATGTTTACCTTTATTTATTTGCTTTTAACTAATCTTTACCTAGTAAATTATAATAAATCAAAAATGAATTAAGGTAAAATGAGATCAGTATAGTATTAATATTAAATAGTCATAAGTTTATAAGCATAAAATTATTTCCTTTCCAATGTAGCATTAACCTCATAATGATTTCTTATATTTTATGGTAATGTTTACAAAAACTTTTGACTAAAACTAGTACAAGAATTTAATTGGAGTTTATTTTTAATTGTATCCTGTTTAGATTTGTATAGAGTATTTTGAGAAAAATCAATGCTATTGACTGTTTGAAGCTTTGGCATTTAATTTTATTTATTTTTAATCACACACATAGATACTCACAATTATTTGCATTAGTGCTGATAAAATGTGCAGAAAGGCATGCAAAACATGTGTAGAACAGGTCATTAATGTCTTCATGGTTTTGGAATTCACTTTCACTGAAACAAAGTGATTGTTAATCAGATATAACATCATGCATGAATTTATATAATAATGATTATTTTTGCAAGGAAAATTTAATGAAATTTTCGTATTTAAATTTTATACCGGTTTTTGGAAATTAGATTCTTATTTTTATATAATGAAAAACATAATTACATATAAAAATGTATAACAATAAATGTATGCATACTCTTTTACTGCTGCAAAAAATTGTGGGTAGTCTTATATTAAGCAATGTCTTTGACCTAATTAAATGTCAATGACAGTAATGAGAAAAGAATTTATATCAGTAAGGAATAGACGGAGCCAATATTGAGTACAAAACAAATTTAGAAAAACAATGACCTGACCGAATATGATGAAGCTCTGCTTTTCAATTTTTTTTATTTCGTGATGAATATACGCATGTTTTAATATTTAACTTGAATAGTTTAAATAATAATCAAACTAACATTAAAATAATGAATGTTATGATTATAATGACTTATTTTCTAAATAAATGATGATTAATGACAAGTAGCCGTCACTGAGGGTGTAATTTATCTTAAGCTCACAATAAATTCATACTACCTTTTAATTATAGCTTGAATAATTTCCACTGCATCGTTTTTATCGAAAAATGGGCCATAAAGCGCCGTTAAAATTGGTTTAACAGTAGTAGACCACTCAATATTACCCCCAGATGCGGCCATTTTCGAGAATGACCTGTCGCGAAATGTCAATTCTCAACTTTTTAAACTTCTTACGTAGTGAGTAGGCAACAGTTCGATACGTTTGCGATCAACGAATCGATTTTATTATACGAAATAATGTCCAAAACGTCGTTGACAAATTCAACTAATTGGTTTCATGGAAGGTTACAACCGTTGATTTAACTTATTCGTTCAATCAACGTACATCTCTACTTTATCAACCAACTTCATAAGAGGAGGAGGTTCTCAATTCGACTGTATTTTATGGTATTAAATGCCGCCATAAGAAAGCAAAGTTTTAGCTTAAAATTAAATAGCATAACTCTTAATCCTGTTGAGTCCGCTGTATTCTTGGGAATTTAAGTAGATTCAAAGGTCCAGTGGAGTACCCATCTGTCATCTCTTGCGAATAGGTTAATCTCCGCTGTTTTTGCAATTAGGAAGGTTAGGCAGCTATCAGACATCGACAGTGTTATACTTGTTTCCTTCGGTTATTTTCACAGCATCTTGTCGTACGGCATTTTGGTAGGACATCTGATATGAATTCCTTAATTATTCTTCAAAAAAGAGCTGTGCGAGTAATTTATATCATTGGAGCACGGAATACACTCAGAGATCCTTTTGAAGAGATTAATGTACTCACCGTCTCAATATATTTATTGTAATATTTTGTATTTTAGACATAATCTCAGTGATAATGTAAAGAATAGTGGCAGGCATAAACTAAACATTACAAATAAAGACAAACTAACTACGCCATTGTTTAGTCTACAAAAAGTAAATAGCTCGTTCATGGGGCAAAGTGTGCGCATGTATAATAAAATCCCACAGTCGATATTAAGTCTGCCACTTCATGAATTTAAACGAAAAATTTAAAGAAAACTATTATACCATTGCGGAATATCTTAACGACGCCAATGTGTGGAGTTAATACTGTTAGGTAAAATACATAATAGGCTAAAATAAGACTATCATATTTGTACCTTCACATTGTAAACTGACATTTAAAAAAAAAAAAAGCAACCGTTGAGTTTCTTGCCGGTTTCTTCTCAACAGAAACTACTTTCCGAACCGGGGGTAACATACGAACGTACTAATTTCTATCTAAAATTTCAACGTTTCATAACAACGTGCAAACGTCTATGTGAATAAGATACTTTGATTTTTAATTTGAATTAAAGAATGTCCCATTACGGGTACATTCCTTGGAAGTAATAAATGAATTTAAATCTGATCATCGCTCGGTCGACTAGGCCGACCAGACACGAACGGTCCTTATCGTGACTGACAAGAAAAAGTTACGTCGTTCCGACATATTATTGCAATACACTCGAGTGATGGATCCGAGGTGTAATTTACTCGAGTTCCTAGGGTATTTTTTTAAACGTATCCAAATAAAAAAAGACTTACTAGAGTCACTCAAGCTCGCAACAACTCGGATGTCATCATTAGTATACATTACGAGTGAGTGCAGTTTGTAGGAGAATAGCTTTAGGCTTAAGCGGTAATAATGCTTTAAAAGTAGATCATACTCTAATATGCAAAATGCCATTTGCCAAGTCATGTTTAGATTAATAACAAATGGTAATAATTTACTTCACTTCTTGGTTAAAAAATGATTTCTGTGTCTATTAACAAATAGCTTTATATTAATACCCGCAAAGGCCTCCTCTATACCCTCTATATAGAGGAGGCCTTTGCCCAGCAGTGGGACATGTATAGGCTGTTACTTTACTTTAAGTTCTCGTGGTTCAATCCAAGATCGGAAGTCCCTCCGCTTATCCTAACAAAACACAGTCTTGTGCAAACTCGTGGCAGTTTTAAGTTTACTGCGACAATATGAATGACAATACGAATGACTCCCCCTCCACTTTGAAACATGTGCCATCCTCCACTTCATGTGGTTTCAAAATAAAATGTCTAAAATGGCAAAGTGTTTTAAATAGTTAATGTACAATATTTTATGTACCTATAGTAAAGCGTGTTCTTTATGTAAATTATGTCTGGGCAGGACAGAATATCAAAGTTGGTGTATCTTCCGTGCTACAACTTTGGGACCATTTTGTCTAAATACTTGTTATTTTTATTTCTGTTACTTTTTATATATTTTTTGCACTGTGTGTAAGTATATTTAGACAAATAAACAAATAAAGAAATTTATTATTATTATAGTGGGATATTTATTTGTTTTCTCGTTTGGTTGGGTTTATGAATAAGAATAAACATGTAGATATAAATATTTTATACTACATAAATAAATAGGATTCAACCAAACGGAAGTCCATACCCAAAGAGCCGTCATAGCTTAGTGTCCGGGCGCTCGCCTTTAATGCAATATACTCGAGCAACCTGAGTTCGAACCCCGGTGCCGTCACCAATGAAATTGTTAATTTTAAGTGCCGAATTATCACGTGCTCAGCGGTGAAGGAAAACATCGTGAAGAAACCTGCATATTTTCGAAATAATAACAAAAAAAATATTTCGAAGATATGTGAAGTCCGCCAATCTGCAGTGGGGCCGCAAGGTGGACTATACCCTGATATCCTCTGCACATTGATAGAGTTCTCTGTACTCTGTAGGCTGACACTTTACTTTTAACCAGACGGAAGCACTTGGCAGGGAGACCGAACGGCCAAGGGTTAGGGAGAAAGAGAGAGAAACCGGCGGAAGATGCGGGCCGTATCGAGGAAGGCCGTACCGCCTTCTGCATTTGAGCTTGAAGCGATTCGTTCCAGAGTCCCAGTTGCCTCAGATGTTCGGAGACTGGGATTAAATGATTGGCAGAAACGACTGTTGAGATAACTTTGGTCGTCACACCACCCCACATGTCAGTCACCGCGTAATCCAATTACTTCCCCTTCTTAACTGTTGTGGTTTTCACGAAGTTTTCGACATATGGAATGGTAATGTCGACTAAAAATACCCGCGACATTTACAAGCACGGCCTCTTGATAGTACTTATAGTACGTCAGTTTCCGATCCACGAGGCCGTATTTCAGAGCGAGCTTCTGGTGTAGGATTCTGGCTACTAGGTTGTCTATGCAGATACTCAGAGTAAGCATAGAACAACCGGAGATAACATGCCGAAACGACTCCGAGGGATGGCGACAAGCTCGACAGATGTCGACGGTGCCATCCGTTTCATTGTTCGTCTTAATTACCTGATTCTGCATTGCACAGACAAAGCCTTCGGTTTCCACAAGGAGGTCACCGAAATGTAGCCAGTTAAGGGAGGCAACAGTATCTACGTAAAGCTCATGTAGAGCGTTTCTCCTTCCATACGGTCTCCCGGTCGGAAATGCTCAGTACTCCCGGGTCCTGCCTTGTTCGTTGGCTAAGGATGGAAGGGTAACTAATGACTACTGTCTAGATTGATCTCATCCAATCTTGCTAGAAAGTACTTGCGGAAGCTGCACACCTCGCGATTGTATGCACCCTCACTATGATACATATTGGGCTTTTTAAGGGTCCAAAAATATTGGGGCCATGAATAATATCTACATCATTATTTTGGGTAACTAAAATGAGAAAAAAGTGCAAGATACCTATTAATAACTATTGTAATTAATGAAATTTTAGATTATATGATGTAGTTTTATTAGTTAATTCAACTATTTATAATGAAAAGTAATTAAAACTAAGTTACATTTATTTACCTTATCATAATTTGAAACTAATCTAAATAATAACTTTGATTACAATACAGGGATTTTTTGGGGCTTTTGAAAATTTTTTTAAATTAGTTGGCAACTGCTTTGGTAATGGTTTGGAATTTGGCTTTGTGTTCTAAATTTACTCCTTACTCTGGAATATTTTTTCATTTTTGACATTGACATTAGGCATTGAGTTTAGCATTAGTGTATGTATATCGAAGTAGGAATTATAACATTCCATTTTAAAACATAGTGACTTGAATAAATGAGCGTCGAAGTTATATGTGAAAATGGCGGAAGTTATTGTTAAGAAACGAAAGCTTTCTACTGAAAATGGCACTGATTTCTCAGGTCTAACTTTATTTATAACCTGTAATTTTTATTTTGTTCCAACTTTTTTAATACTTTTATTTATTTACAGAACCTTTATCAAAGACTATACATATTCAATGTCCCTATTTGGATACAATCAATAGACATGTTCTTGATTTTGACTTCGAAAAATTGTGTTCAGTATCATTGACTAGAATCAATGTTTATGCATGTCTTGTTTGTGGAAAATACTTTCAGGTAAATTAAATTAATCTAGAGATTATATAGCTAAGTATCAAAGAAAAGGAAGTTATTATTGTAATACTGATATTGACATAATGTATTCTGTTTGCCTTGGATATTGTTTTTGTTATGTTTAATACAATAGTTCAAACAGTTTGCATTCTCCATAAAATATAACAACATTAACTACAGTAGTTGAATTGAAATGTTATTTTTTCTATTTTTTAGGGAAGGGGAACTAATACACATGCATATACACATTCAGTGGCTGACGGTCATCATGTGTTTCTTAACCTCCACACTCTAAAATTTTATTGTTTACCCGATAATTATGAAGTTATAGGTAATGTAGACAATTTTTTTTCAGAAAATATCATGGAATTTTGTGTCTCTACTCTTTTCTTTTTCTAGAATGAAAAATATTGAATGTCTTTGAAGCTGGTTTAGTGACTGATAAAATATATAGAATGCAAGTCAAATAAACTGTAAAATGTGATTTACTTCTATAACTTTTATTGTTTATATATCTTTAATATCTATTGTATAATTACTATTAAATAGGTTACTTTATTTTTAGACTCTTCGTTAAATGACATCAAGTACGTTCTGAACCCAATTTTCACACCAGAACAGATAAAACAACTAGACACAAACACAAAAATGTCTAGAGCCATTGATGGTACTATGTATATGCCAGGTATTGTGGGTCTTAATAATATTAAAGCCAATGACTATTGCAATGTCATTTTACAGGTTAGTTGAGACAAGCCATTTAAATACTCTAAGTGATGAAACAAATATAATTGTTATGTATTTTTGATGCCATTTTATAGTACAGTTATTTTATAAGTTTATATTGTCATTTTGTTATAAATATTATCTTTATGATTAGTAGGCAAAAAGATCATAAAAATGTATGTTTTTAGTGTTTGTCACAAGTAAGACCACTCCGTAATTATTTTTTGCGTGAAGAAAATTATGCGAATATAAAAAGACCACCAGGGGATTCATCTTTCTTATTGGTACAAAGATTTGGTGAACTTTTGAGGAAGTTGTGGAACCCTCGAGCCTTTAAAGCACATGTTTCACCCCATGAAATGCTACAAGCTGTTGTGCTTTGGTCAAAGAAAAGATTTCAGTTCATCAAACAAAGTAAAGAACACAAATTGATAAAATACATGCTGTCCAATTCATACAGTAGCATACTTTATTCATAGTTTTAATTTTTAGGTGATCCAATTGACTTCATGTCATGGTTTCTTAATTCTCTTCATATGGCACTGAATGGTACAAAAAAATCCAACAGTTCCATAATCTATAAATCATTTCTTGGACATATGAGAATATATACCAGGTAAGTGTTGTCTAAAGCAGATAATATTCGGTTAGAATAGAATAACTCGATAATTCATATTTATAATAAACACTTTTTTTTTATAACAATTTAATTTAAATATATGAAATAATTTCTGTCTAATATTATGACATAGAAAACTGCCACCGCCTGACGCTGATGATGCTGCTAAAGTGGACCTTAGCAGTGAAGATTATGCTGAAATGATCACTGAGTCTCCATTTTTGTATTTAACTTGTGATCTACCACCAACACCACTGTTTACTGATGAATTTAGAGAGAACATTATTCCTCAGGTATGGTACAAAAAACCTAATAATGTAATAAAATAATTTTATTTTCATTGAAAAAAAAAATTAAAAAATCAATGTCACATAGTGCTATATTTTCAGTGAGCAGAATAAAACATATATGAATTAACAAGTTAGGAGAACATTATATTGACATACAGTTACAGTATACTGCTGAGCAAAGGCTCTCTTAGCAGAGGATTTTAGGCCTTTAGGGCATTGCCTGTCATATGATTCCACTGAGCTTTTGCAGTTTTTATTTTTGAAATAATGTCCTGAATATGCAGGTTCAAGATTTTTTCCTTCACTTCAAACACACATTCATACTAAGTTATCCAAATGAGGGCAAAATATTAAACTTTTTAGGCCTTATTAACATATATGTTCTCATATACATATAATATATAATTCTCGTCTGGGTGGGAATTGCGCGCCGGAGTGCCTCAAGGTGGTGTGTTGTCTCTTCTTCTATTTGCCGTATTCATTAATTCAATTTCTCAAAAAATCACTTCTCTCTATCACATGTATGCAGACGATCTCCAAGTGTACACACAGTCAACTCTTGAAGACTTGTCTACTGCTGTTTCCGCCATCAATGATGACCTGGCCGCTGTCAGTGAATGGAGTAAAATCTATGGTCTCAATGTAAACCCTATTAAGTCCCAGGCTATTATTGTTGGTGGTGTTGGTTTGATTTCAAGAGTTGACTGGAATAACCTTCCCTTGGTAAAATTAAACGACGTTATAATACCGTACTGCACCACTGTGAGAAATCTTGGTGTCCAATTTGACAATTCCCTCTCGTGGTCGGAACAATTGAATCAAGTGAGCCGAAAAACATTTGCTGCGATGAGTTCTTTCCGTCGTTTACGTTCTTTTCTTCCCATTCCAACTAAAATTATGCTAGCACAATCCTTACTCCTGTCCATTCTCGATTATGCGGATGCAAGCTATCTTGATTTAACCGAAGAACAACTAAATAAACTTGAGCGTATTCAAAATTTAGCTATTAGGTTCATATTTGGTTTACGCAAATATGATCACGTTTCTGAATTTCGTTCAATGCTCAAGTGGTTACCCATTCGTTTTCGCCGGAATCTACACACTGTCTCTCTTCTGTACTGTGTATTATTTAACCCTAGGACTCCAAGCTATTTAAAGGAACACTTTAAGTTTCTTGGCCATAACCATCCAGAACTGCGATCAGCTGAAGATCTAATTCTAGCACCACATGCGTACAAAACTAAATATTATAAGAACTCCTTTACAGTTAAGGCCATCTGCTTGTGGAATGAACTTCCTCAGCAAATTCGTCGTTCGAAGACGCTAGACAAGTTTAAAATTGACGTAAAACAACATTATCTATCGCTTTGTAATCCATAGTTTTTAATGGCAATTTTCAGATTTAATTCTCTCGTGTATTTATTTATATATATTATATATGTTTATGTATGTTTATTATAATTTTGTTTATCTTATTATATTTAAGTCTATTTTGGTATTAAGTAAGTTTATTAAGCACACCACCTCCCACTATTCATTAGTTTATTTTTCTTCGTCCTAAGGTTGTCTGGAAGAGATCGCTTTTTAGCGATAAGACCGCCTTATTGTACCTAGCTTTTAAGACTTATTTCATATTAATTGTATCAAATTCTTTGTGGTGTACAATAAAGTATATAATAATAATAATAATAATAAAATCATGAAATTATCCCGATTGTCGTGTCTGCGAATGGGTTGATCCCAGTCAGCCTCTCTAAACATCTGAGGCGACTGGGACTCCGGGACGGATCGCTCCAGGCTCAAATGCAGAAGGCGGTGCTCCTCGATACCGCCCGCATCATCCGCCGGTTTCTCTCCCTTTCGCCCTAACCCTCGGCCGTTTGGTCTCCCCTGCCGATATGCAATATATATCTATATCTTTATTTTTATTTATAAACCCAACCAGACGAGAAAACAAATGAATATCCCCCCATAATAATAATATATGCCTTTAAAATTTGGACATTGAGACCTTATGTCTAAAAAGGTATAATGGTGCACATACAGAGCGTTGATTGGCTATTTACTAACAACCAAAAATTATATAGGTATGCCAAGTTTTATAACCAAATACGCCTGTCGCCAAAAAGGGTTGATTGATAAAGATTACTTACCTTCCACAATCCTTACCAACCTGTTTCATTAACAATAATTGTATACTTGTATGCTTTAATTGAATCAAAATCTCTTTTTTTTTAATTAAAATTGAAATTATACCGATTCATTTAAAATAAACTACATTGAAAACTGATTTTTTGTGCTTTTCTAAACTGTAATAATGCATGGTTATCACAATTAGAAGATCAGTTACATCCATGTAAAAATTACTATATTTTTGACTATGGAATAGTGTTCCATAATTTTTTTCCATCGTTTAATATACAGCGTGTCGTTACAACGGCGACAATATATGAATACACGTCTAACGCTACTTGCCAATAATCATAAAAAAATATTAACGTTAAAAATACATAATTAAAAAAAATATTTTTCAAACAAACTAATTAAGTAAAAAGAAACAAAATTTGTAACACCTATACAGCTACAACTAACTGATTCATACATTCAGAGACTTTTTCATTCGTTGCCACAGCATTGCATTACAAGCCTCTCCTTCTAACAGTATGTTTTGTCTCTTATAAATTCATTCAACCCATTCATATGCTTTGTGACCTTTACAAATGAACTTTAAGTTACAGTTTTATACGTAAGGGTGTTCTAAAATTGTTTGTTTTGGAAAATTTAAAAACTTGGTAAATAATGATGTTTAAAGAATGTGAATGTTTAATACAATTTCAAAAAGTTATCCTCTATATGTGTGTTCACTTAGTGTCGCGATTGTAAAGACACGCTGTAATATTATTATAGCATCTTAAAAAGCTTAGTAAGTTTTTAGAATATGCAAAGGTTAATTGCGAAATAATCGAGTAAATCGCGGTGTAATTTCAATTTAAAAACAAAAGACGTGTTCGATTCCATGTTAAATGAATAGGAAATTAAAATGACTATAGTTCACCTCTTAGAGTTGAGCTCTCTTGAAACATTTGGTGGGTGGGAGTTAAATTTGAAAAATTAATAAAAATTTCAACCGACCCAGTATGCATACATTACATTTAATTTTTTCTTACAGGTAAATCTGTACCAATTACTTTCAAAGTTTAATGGTCAAACATCAAAAGAATATAAAACCTATAAGGAAAATTTCCTAAAGCGCTTTGAAATAACGCAATTGCCTCCATATTTAATATTGTATATTAAAAGGTTCACGAAAAACACCTTCTTTGTTGAGAAAAACCCAACTGTGGTCAATTTTCCCGTGAAGTAAGTTGATTTTTGCTTTGAGAGCATTAGTAATTTTATAGACCAATGAGCAGAACATGTTTTGATATAATTATTAAAAACACAAGAATTCAATATCCTAATCTTCTAATTCCTAATCAAAATTTTATTATTTTACAGAAATGTTGATTTTGGTGATATTCTTACACCAGAAATAAAAGCAAAACACAATGGGAAAACAATTTACGAGTTAGTAGGAAATATTGTTCATGATGGTACACCAGAGAAGGGTACTTACAGAGCGCACGTGTTACATACGCCTACGCAGCAATGGTATACTAGATAATGATTTTTTTATTTTTTATAATACTCTAGTTTTTAAAATATGGAAGAAGCAAAAATCTGGTTTAAATAAACTCTGGACTCTCGCACACTGGGTTCCATGCCATTATCTATAAAAACTTTTCTACTTCTTTTGGCGCGTTTGCCAAAAAATCAGGGTAAAATTTTTACGATACGCGCGCACACCGATCGACTACAATAACGAATAACATTTTTTGATATGTACCAATAATCCTAATTTATTTAAATAAACCGTTATCAAATGCATTTGATGTGTTTACTCTGAAGAAGTAAACTTCTTATGTGCGTACATATACTTTTTTATTTCAGGTATGAAATGCAAGATCTTCATGTTACCAGCATATTACCTCAGATGATTACTTTAACAGAAGCTTATATACAAATATATGAATTGAAGCAGGACTAATATATGCAAAATGTTACTAAATAAATGTCAATACATTTTTTTATATAGCATTTATTACTTGAATATACAAATTCCTGATATTTTAGACACCTCATGACAATATGGCCTATTAGATCTTTATCCTTAAATTGATAACTAAATTACGTTTATCATAAATGTTTGATAAAATATATTATGAAACTGCTAATCATTTCTTTGTCTGATTAATTAGGATGATAGTAATACATTAATAAATGCTTATAAAGTGTAACACATAAATGACTTGCTCATTTTCTTTTCCAATAACTGTTAGACCTAAGTATTTGTTTAAGTTGAATGTTGAAAGTATCATATGGGAATACTTATATCAATGTTGGTCATTATAAACTACTACCTGGAATTTTAATATATTACTTTACAAAAAGTTAATGGCTTTCGCCCTTTTTGCCTGCAACACGTTTAAATTCACCCATGTTTGTGGTACAAATAGGTGAGCCATAAAATGCGAGGTGATGAATCAGTGTAACATCACCACCACCCTGGTTATCTTTTATGAATATTTGAATGTTTTGAACATTCTGAAACTTGACAAATTTCAGAGGCACAGGGTTCCCTTCCAAATCACTAGGTGACAATCTGAAAAACAAAGATATATTAACACATAGTAAATTTAAATTTAATTTTTTACTATATACTTTAAAGTTTGCTTCAGCCCATGTTTGGCGGGTTTAGCCAGTTGTAGGTTGTAAGTTCTATATTTTTGGGATTTTATCATGCAAATATTAGTCACACAATTTGCTCAGGTAACAGCAAAATAGCTAGCTGTGAGATGTTACATGCTCATTTACCAGGTTAGCAACTAATGAGCTTGGGTAACAATCACTAACATTATATTTATGGTTTTAGAAAAATGTTTGGAAATTCTAATGTCAATAAAATATTTATTTTAGTTCTGAGTAAAATTAAAACTTGTGTAAAATGTAATTCTATTCTACTATAATAACAATGCATGTTTTATTGAAACTTACTCTAAGTCTTGCACAGGAACATTTCCTGCTGCTTGATCAAAATCAAGCGTTCTTGGTTGATTGATGAAAAGCTTCAAGAACTTGGGGCCTTTGTCAGCGGGTGCTTTAATTTTTAGTGAGTGAAGTTTTACCACCTAAAATAATGTGTATTACTATAAAAATAAAATAAAGTGCAATATAGAAATAGGTAAATAAAGGGCAGTAATTTAAGCTGATTGGAGCTTATAGGTTGAACAGATAAGAGCCACTTTTGCAATTGGGCAAGGAAAGAAATAAAATCTAAATAAATATAATACATTAAAGGCAGTTGCAGGAAGGAGATGAATAAGGATAGTATATAATCATGAAAATTTTGATTCATTCCACTGCATTAGACTTGATACTGAAGATTTATATTTTTGGTGTATCAGAAGTCTGGTGAAACAGAAAAATGTACAAAATGAGTCAAATAGAAGAAATTAAAAAGCATTGCATATATGATTTATTTACCTGATTAAAAGTAATATTGATGATTAGTTGTTCATCACAGTCACTGGCTAGATAACCTCCACCACTATGAAGAGCATGGGTTAATGGATGGTCATCTGCTTCATTTAAGCATTCACATTCACTCTTAGTGATGAATGTTGCCAGGTCCATCTGCAAATTTAATATATTAAGGAAACAGTAAGTTTTAAAAATCTATATATTGGCACAGTTTAATAGTTTGATGTTGTGCAAAAAAAAACTATCAGTCTTCACATATATTTCCATGGATTATGTTAAATCACTACTTACATGACCAGCAACAGCACTATCTTCATCTCCAGCCTCATCTGTACCATAGTACTGCCTGACTTTAGCCTCTAGTGAGGCAGGATCTGCTCCTTGTAGTCGGTCAATTCTTGTCTGTAATAACATTATATAGTATTTGAGAAATTGTGAGGCTAAGGAGTTTTTATTTAACACTTATGTAAAGTACATTGATAAATATTCATTAAAAAGGATATAAAAGAAGTTATTCACCCGATTCTTATAAAATATAAAGGTAGGCATTGCACTAATGCCCTGGGTACTAGCTGTTTCTGCACATCTATCGACATCGACTTTTAAAAATACCGCTCTAGGAAACTTTGCTGGTAACTGTTCGAAGAACGGGGCAATTCGTTGACACGGCGGACACCTTTGTAAATTAAAAAAAAAAAATTAATTAATCATTGCAAGCATTTGCAATGACTTATATGATACAATGATACAGTGGTTTTTTCAAATCATACGCACCACGTAGCTGTAAAGTCTACAACTACTAGCTTCGTACCAGCATTAGCCATTTCTGTTTGAAAATGAGCTTCATTTTCAATTACTGTAGCTAGGCCCATCTTGAAAACAACACCAAAATCAACTAGGCGACAACAATCAAGGAATGACACTTCAATTTGGAAATTTCAATGGACTTGAATTCAATGACACGATAAGTGACATTGATATGAGTATTGCTTGAAATAAAAAAATGGGTGCGTGTACTCGAGTGAGAAGTTATACTTCTTTGGCATCAGTAAAATAGTTTTTAATTGCATGTAAATAATTAATTACAATAAAATAATAAAAAGACTTGAAAAGTGTATAATAATTATGTATTAAGTCTATTTTTTGTTAATTTATTTTTGATGTAATTGTAGTTCGCTCTTAGCACGGTTGTAATGCTTTTGATTTGACAGAATGGTTGGATTACGCCAGGGTCGGATTTAGAGGTCTGGAGGCCTCGGGGCAACAAAGAAGAACCCCCTGGCTCCAAATTATTTTCCAAATAAAATTATCATTTTTTTCAGTCAAGTTTTCCAATAAATAATTTTTGTGAATAGTCTCTATTGTGGGTGCCCATCTTTTGTGAAGGCCCCGTGACTGTAGCCCCGGTTGCCCTCCCCTAAATGCGGCTCTGGATGATGCAATACACTTCACTGCATCTCCACGACCCCTACTATCGAAAGAATAGAAAGATTGTAAGAAAATTCGATTAATAACTTTGAAGGGGGGGGGGGGGGATGACAGCGTGACGATACGATTCAAGGGCCTAAGATGTAAAGTTTGAACCTCGATTTGAATCGACATCGATAGGGCAACCTACCCAGAGTAAGTATTACTATAAACTTACTGTAAACATAACAAATAAAACAATGAAATAGAATGAGAGTATGTGAATGAGACTGGCAAAAATAATGAAAAAAGGGTAAAAAAAAGATTCATAAATACCTTTTGAAGCTACTAGACATTTGCACCACTGTCCCATAGAGGCAGAAATATAATTATCTGGATATATATTATGTTTATATTTCCTTTTCAGATTCTAAGTTTAACCACATAGGTCCGAACAATGTTATTGAAACTTATGAAATTTTAAAGACTTATGGGGCTTATCAATATGGGTAATATATTTTATAATCTGTGTATTGGTTTTATAGTAATACCGATATTTATTACATGTGTAAACTATAGCCAATGAAACAAAGTTAATGAAATGTAGCAAGGTTGTGTCAGAACAAAAACCAGGTTCAAGCGAAAATGCCTATAATTACCGTCCCATCTCTATTAAAAATAATGCTCAAATATGATAGTTCATATAGCTAACCTTGAAATTTGAAATTAGCATCAATTTGGATTTATGACAGATAGAAAGGTTTATTCTAATGTTTTGGGAAACCTGTCATGACACCATTGGTGTATTCTGTGATCTTTCCATGGCATCTGATTGTGTAGATAATACAATTCTTATTCCCTGATAAGTCAATGGCAGATTTGCGAATACCATGATTGGAATATTGGTAATTGCAAATTTGCCATTGACTTTGTTCCCTCGTATCTCACCGACAGGAAACAAATAGTAGTACAGAATAACTAGCACAAATGGGTGTTCCTAAGGGATCCATCCTGGGCCCATTTCTGTTTTTAGTATAAATGATTTCCCATATTATGTGATTGAAAAAATGTCTCAGATCATCTTTTATGTAGATGACCCTTCTCTGCTGTTTAAAGTTAATAGGAAAGATGAAAAACTAATTTAATCAAATAAATTTTTTGTGTTGGGCTTGTTTGCAACCAATAATTTACTTTTGTTTTCGTTGCATTGTCGTAGTCAAAAGCAATCAGGGTAACTGATTGCTTTTGACTACGACAATGCAACGAATTTTAGCGAAATTTAGTCGCGCCTAAATAAGTTTTACTTGACAAAAAAAAGATAACCAACTCGCAGACTTTCTTGTCTGTTGTTCTCCAGACAAGTCTAGTTTTATGAACCAGTGGTAGTTATTTGACGTTCAATAAGAGCTTACAATAAGCCTTTATTGAAAAACGAAATTTTGACTCTGACTTTCAACTATTGTATTACGCATTCGCGTTCCTTCAGATGCACTTGAAACCAGAATTTGAAAGAATCATTAACAAAATAGAATACTTAAAACTGAATATTATAATGTAAACCATACTGGGGTTGAAATTATTCCTGCCGTAATTTTTTGTGATATAGCGTGGTCGTAAGTGGTTAAAGTGCAACGTGACAAAGCTTAAAATTTTTATCTCATAATTTTTTCCAAACGCGCCAAAAGAAGTAATACTTCACAAATTAATCTAATCGGAAATAGAAACGGATGCTGAAATAGAATTGTAAATAAAATAAACAAAAGTCTATTAAAAATATCGTGGACGCATTTATACCCTTCAATAAATTAGACTATAAGAGACCGCGCCTGCACTTCACCCCGTCATAATATTATATTTAAATTTCCGTTTTTTTATGTGAAATGTTGCGAGCAGGCCGTTCACCTAATGTTAATTGAATACCGCCGCCCATGGACATCTGTTACACTTGAGTGTAGCAGATGCGTTGACAACCTTTTGAAAAATGGCTACCTCACTCACCAGACGAAACGCGAAAATATTATACTTCCACTTGACGCCGGACTTCTGTGTGGTCGTGGTACTTACCTGGATGAGCCTGCCCATTCGTGCAACAGCCGTTATGAAAGCTCCAGAAACAGAAGTAAATACGGATGTAAAAAAGTGTGCGAATCTTCCGCAGTGGAAGCAGAAGCAACGGTCTGTTGTATCACTAAAGTATACAATTAAATACGGGGATTTCCGACTTTGGCGTATACAATTTTTTTTACATACACTGCAACAATTCCTTAATTATAAAGTAAATGAGTGAATAATATTTCATGTGTCTTCGTGTTAACTCTCATTGTTTGGCACATTAGTTATGTTCTCGTCTGATTGGGTTTATGAATAAAAATACAACGACACATAAAATAAAACTTAATTAAACGTTTTTTTCTTTTTAATTCATGAGATCCTTGGAACATGTTGGATCATGCCAAATGTTACCACTCGATTTACTCATCTTTTGGTAAAAGGGATCGCCGAGTTAGAGCTGACCGTATCGTCGTCGTCCACTTGCTTCGTTGTTCTTTATCGATTCGAGTCCTTGGGTTGTCTACCCGTGTATTTGTTCCGACGTAGCTATCACGTCACAGGGCCACGCGCTGGTGTGTACTATAGTAGAGTAAGAGTCAGCATATGTGACACTTAATTTTATTCAAATAGAATATTTTTATTATATCAAAAATTTCCCCATTTTGATAGTAAACTGTTACTAATAGATATCCCCATATACGCACATATTTTGTACATTGGACGCGAGGGAAACTGCAATAAAATTGATATCCGTTGTGACACGGTATCTACACTTGTATATTAGGGTAAAAGTTAGCTTCCAACTTTTTAGAAGATTGTTAGATTAAATATTTTCGTAATTTATAGTTATCCTTTCAAAAATATGCCTGTTTTATACAATAGAAGAAAAGAAGGTTTAAAATCTTGTTTAATATTTAAAAGAACAATTTGAAAAAGAAAAATTCGCTCTAAAAATTCAACGTATCAACATTTATTTTCACATATAATCTTCACATCGAAACAAATACTTAATTTGAATGACCACTAAGCTCAGATAAAGCTCGAGTAATATAAAGAAATGATTGTAAATGGCGCCCCAAGCCGCTTGCGGCGAAACTCATTTCTTTGGTTGTCTCAAATTAAGCCCTGTAAATTCATTTCAATTTTTTAAATTAAGTTCACTCAGCATTACAAAAATACCATGATCTCTATTTTTATAATGCTATAAATATTGTTTGTGGGTTTATCACCAAAGTATAACAGTATATTGGTCTATGTTTATCACTGTTAGGATTTTATTATAAGGGTACCATAGATGTATGCTGTCTCTTTCATTATCAAGCTTTAAATTAAATGTTCTGAACAGAAAATTTTTTGAATAATAAATTTTATACTTTTTCGTCAATTGATATACAAATCCATAAAAGCAAACGTGGAAACAAACCAAAACGAGTTATGAAAAGGACTAGACTTAGTTAGGGATTTACTTCACTGTAATTATCAAACGATCACTTTACACTGCTCTGTTAATCACTTCCCTCAGACATCTTAAAGTATCGTCGTATACTAGACATAAGCTTGAGGACGTAATTTTAAGCCCTTAAAATTCCAAGACCGGCCATTGGTGCATGCCACTTGGATTAGAACCGGCCACTTTTGACTGCTAATCTTAGTGATTGAGAATGAATAAATAACTGAATACTAATACTCTTCTTTCCTCACAACTCCACCTCGTTTGCAGAGGATAGGGAGAGTGGCTTCTCGTCTAACACCATCCTAACACGCATCCAGAGAGGGCTCAATGAGCCTAGTCGGAGCGGCCCTCTCGGGTCGGCCATACACCACAGGCCGGCCCAGTTTGGGTTGTTCTTGTCTTCACCGTGTGGACTAAGACACAGCAGCTAAGACCCTCCGCCACGACTAGGGTTTGGGAAAGCGGTCGGAGAGGACAAAATACAACACATACAGCGGAGCAATTACATTTAGAAATAATATTTTTGCAGTGGTAGCGCAATGCAACAGTATTCGCTTTTGCACGAATGGGCAGGTCCGTCCTGGGAAGTGCCACGATCTCACAGAAAACCGACTTGAAGTGGAAGTGTTGTACTTCTGCGTTTCGTAATGTAAAAAAAATACAAAAAATATTCTAAAATAAAAGAGAAAACAATGTAGCAATATCACATACGTTGTTTTTTTATATTTTGGAGTTTGAACGGTCTAAATGAAAATCTCTTTATAACTTCTCTGTCTTTTACTATTTATCTATGTATTGTACATAAATAAAGCAACCAAAAATAAGGCATATAATAAAAATATAATTTATAATAACAACTTAACTCGAAAAAAAGTTAAACGAACGGTTTGTTTCATCAACAAATTTGCCAAAATCGTAACTATGGCCGATAGGTACTACATTTTTTAACTCTATCGGACACATCAAAATATATATATATATATATAGTATATGCCAATACTGTACCTTCAAGTGGTAAAACGTTTTTTTTAAATACGTGCTTCAGCTCCTGAGATTAATTCCACTCAAATGTGCAACAAAAACTCACATAAATAGTACATTACTATAATTATTTACACTTATTACTATAATTATCTAATAACTGTAATATAATACATACTCATTGTATTAAAAGCAAACATTTCAAGTTTTTACATTCTTTTTCATGTATGTCAACGAATGTCGATTTTAATTGTATAGAAGTGTTGGTAAATTCTTAAAATCTACAATTAAATTCCAGGAATTTACCCATTGAATATAGATGAAAACATTTTACAATAACAATGTTCCAATAGTTGTAAAACAAAAAAAATAAACAGTAATTATTATTTGATACAACAATACATACGATTATTCTTAGCAATTAAACTGAATAATTACATAAAATAAACATTCCTGTGTCATCGATTTCTTACTGCGACTCATTTAGCACTTAGCATAGTCTTAGTTATAGTCTTGTTCATACAAGACATAATTTCGAATATTAACCAATTTATTGCAAATTATGTTATAATTAACTTCCGCATGAGAATAATTATTTTATATCAATAACTTTGTCAGCTGATAATATTGAGAATCATCAGGTGTTGAATTAGGTTTTTCTTACTACCAAAATCATAAAAAATTACAATCAATTAAAATAATATTCTACTTTATTTTAATAAATTAATATTAAAATAAATAACAATTATACTTTACTTCTCATATACCTAACGCAATTGATCGTAATTGAACTTTACGAATCCGAAACATTCTGTATTTTATTAGGTTATTACACAATTCTTTAATCTGAAATAAAATGTAAAAATTAAAATCAAAAGAAAAAAAAACAATGTACCTCATACAAACAAAAATGATATAAAGTACCTATGTGTTTGAATCTAAACATATTCCTATGAATATATTTAGGTTCAAAAAATACTATGAAACATTTTATAAAATATAGAATATTATAAGTCTGTAACTGATATTGTTAAACGACGATTTAACTTAAGCTTTGTTGTCTCAAGATTTGGGTAAGTACATGATATTATGACTATTACCTCATTCTATCCGCAGTTTATAAAAAGGCGGGCACTTTATAGACGACCTCCAGTGTCATTTGAATCTTCGAGTGGATGTGTTAAAGTCGGTGCTCGCAGAAATAAGTTTTCTTTCTTATGATTAATAATTTTTTAGTACAATGTTTTTGCGTTTGTGTTTAAGAATTACATTTTGTTTTATTATAATAATGTTTTCTATCAAGCGAAACGGTGGTGAAGCTTTTACTGCAAATGAATATAATGAAAATAAAAAACAAGCAGAATATAATTACTTCATAGATTTCCCAGAAACTGTTGATTTAATAAAATATTTGCAATCTGTAAAAATGGTAGTTGATTTTGCTCACAGGCACAAGAGCGAGATTGATATGAATTTTGCATTTGCTCTGTCGATTGTCAGCGGTGGGTTTCGTTATTACTCCATGTGCAATTATTTTTATTAATATTAATATTAATATTAATATTAATATTAATATAAGACTGATTGTTCTGTTAATTTGTTATACAGATAATTATAAACATGTTCTAATAAAGACTGGGAGAAGACTACCAGATGAGTTGAAGGTTTATCTCAAAGGATTCCTGCGGCAAAACAATGAGTTGCTGCAATACTTTGAGGCGATGGTAAAGCTAAGCAGACTGGAAAAGAATACAAAGAATGCAATGCGTAAGTTGTATGGATTTTTAATGTTTAAAATCTTTTATTAATAATTAATAAAAAAATAATATCTTTTGTAATTTTTTGATTTTCATATTTCATTATTCATTGTTTGATTTTCATAACTTCTAGTTCAACTCAGCTTGAAGGAACAGAACAGAACAGAAAAGAACTATTTTATTTTATACTTACATTGCCTTTTCAATGTTATTCAAATTTGATTATTTAATTATTGAAATTATAAATCTTTAATTTACGGTTTTAATAACTTTTCTTTCGTCAAATGCTGGATATATTTTGTCATCATCAGTTGTTATTTTATAACTGTACGTGATTTTGCAGTGATTTTTTTTTTCTGCTAGCTTTGATGCCTTTAAACTTCTTGTTTATGTTTTCAGTATCCACGCTATTTCTAAATAGGATACTTGGATACAGGGGTATTGTTGATTTCTATCATAGGAAAAAGTCGCCACTATATCTTCTTAAAAGTTCGTACCCCAGTTGGGATACTTACCAAAATAAAGTAAATCAATACGAAAAATGGAAACCCACCCCAAAGGAAACGGGTGAGTTTTTCTATTATATGGCGCGGTTGCTAAGACATTGGCTTATGCATCGGGGTTCGTGGGTTCAACTCCCACACGGTACAAGTATTAATTTGTTCGACAGAATTGGCTACACATGTTATGCCGACCTAACGTAGTTGGAATAAGTGCTGGATAAAAAAGAAGATAGTGTATGAATATTAGTCATATTTGATTACAGCATCGAAGAAACTGTTGTAGAGCCCCAACATTTTACATAGCATATGATGTACGGATAGGTTGGTTCGACCGGGGAAGCCGAAAAATCTGCGTGAAGTAAAAGTATATTATATTTCTTCCTTTCGCGGATTGCGTGAGGTAACCGGAGCTAAGGGTTGCAGGTGTCCCTTGCTAGCTTAGTTGACAAACATATGAAATAAAAACGAGGAGAGATTATCGCGTCTTTTAATCGGGGAGAGTTATTACAATTTATATTTTTTCTTTTTACATGCAGTAAATATTAAGATCTAAGCGAATATTTAGATTGGACATAAGATTAAAAAAAGCATAGTTTAAGACTACAAATGACAATATGTATGCTCTCTTGCCTTTCACATGAGACGTCAACAACGAACAAAACGTCATTGGACTCTAATTTCCGAATTTAAAATCGTAATACCATCGCTGAATTTGTTTTTAGAATATTGTAGTAAAGCCGTTTGTGTGAAATTTATGATATCAGCATAATAAATATTCTTAAAGCGTATTGTTCATGTAATAAACAAAACAAAGACATTACTGCTCCGTATTGTGTTATGTCACAGAATTCTATCCTATGTTTATAGGATGGAATTCTGTGATATAACATGTTTATGTTCTATATTATCATGTTTTTATTCATGATGTATTCACGACTAAAGAATCCATTACGGGGATGTGTTATATGTATTTTTGAAGTTATACTTCTATGGGCGCGTGTGAAAAAAAAAATTGAGATTAAAAGTTTTTCGATGCACGCCTACACCGACCCACAAAAAGCGACATGATGAAACGAAAAGCATGCAACTTCTTTTGGCGCGTTATACCGACAGCCAAAAGGAGACCGCTTTGCAGGCACCTTCATCAACTTAGCGGCATTACTATGGCAACCAATAACAACTTTTTGACATTTTACCAATAATTGCAAGTTACTTAAAGAAACCGTTATCAATTGCAGTTAATGTCTTTACGCTAAAGAAGTATAACTTCTTATGTGCGTACATAAGGACAAATATATTTTTCTATGTGAAAATTAGCGAGCGAACAGGTGGTTCGCCTGATGTTAAGTAACTACTGCCGCCCATGGACATCTACAACACCTGACGGGTTGTAGAGGAGTTGCCAACTATTAAAAATGTGGGCCCCGGCTTCCTTACTCACCACACGAAGTACGAAAGTATGTACTTCCACTTAACGCCTGTCTTTTGTGAGGTGGTGGTACTTCCTCGGACGAGTGTGCCCATTCGTGCAACAGCAAAAGCTGTTGTGTGGTCCTACCAGTTTCCAAGTCATTATACTATAATATACCTACAGTATAATGTAGTACATGACCTACTGCTGGACAAAGACCACCCTACTATACAGCGTGTCGTTACCATCGCGATAATAAATGAACACACGTCTAACTCTATTTGCCAATATTCATAAAAAAATATTAAAGTTAAACAAAATCCATGATTAAAAAAAATTCAAATAAACTAATTAAGTAAAAAAGAAACAAAATTTGTAACATCCTATACAACTTGCACCACAGCGTCGCATTACAAGCGTCTCCTTCTAACAGTATGTTTTGTCTCTTTTAAATTCATTCAACCCATTCATATGCTTTGTGTCTTTTACAAATGAACTTTACGTTACAGTTTTATACGTAAGGGTGTTCTAAAATTCTTTGTTTTGGAAAATTTTATAACTCTGTAAATACTGATGTTTAAAGAATGTGAATGTTTAATACAATTTTAAAAAGTTATCCCCTATATGTGTGTTCATTTATTGTCGCGATTGTAAAGACACGCTGTATATGTAGGAAATAGTAGCCTACGACGCAACTTTATCGACATTCATTCATCATAATTTTATTAAAGTAAAAACTTCATTAGACACATTCAGCACTTTTGAGATTAGGATGAAGCGTTGAACTCGCGTGACCGTCTAGCACAGATACATATATACAGATTTAAGATGATAAGTGTTGTGTATGTAAGATAGCTATACACAAAGGAGCTAATGTTTACAAGTTTGTAAGTCTAAGAACTTATCACTTCTGAAGGGTTGTCTTGTGACTGACAGTTTTCTATTGTACTTATCTAAGTACGGAAACTCCCAAATGATGTTATTTTCTCGAGCCAAGCTTATGGTAAATCGGCATTAAAATGCAAATAATAATTTTAATGGTTTCGGCACCGTGAATTGCTCTCGAGTCGCTCGAATATATTTTACAAAAATTCAAACTGAACTCCATTGCACTTTTAAGGGTATAAGCAAAATAAAGTAATTAATAACAACTATTTCTCTTCTATAGATAAGTGCCTCGTGTCATTGGCAAAGAATAACCGTAGCAAACGCGTATGCAAGTTGTCGTCTTCGTGTTACACGGTGCTGGTGAACGGCACTAATTTCGGTTATTCCCTAACCCACAGGTGAGTGAATTTGTTATAATAAACGTAGCTAGACAACTTACGAATCTGTTTCTGTACAAGCATAATAACGAAACTGTAATATTGCTCTTGGAAAATGCAGAAACCGAAAATTCATTCTGAAATTTTCAAAAATTTCACCTGAAATGGGCATGAAAAGTTATGATACTGTTTGATTAAAAAATATGCTATGTCGCATATTCGTTAGTCGAAATAATAGTTAGTAGGTATTGAACACTACTATTTAGACTGTAGTGCCGCACGAATGGGCAGGCTCGTCCAGGAAAGTACCACGATCTCGCAGGAGAATGGTTTGAATGGGTTAGAAGTATTGCTTTTGAGGTTTACTTGGCTAGTGAAGTAATCAGGTTCCACCATCTTAAAGCTAGCAACGCATTTGCTATCCCACAGCTGTTGTACACGTTCGGGCGTAATCATTAATGTCAGGTGAACCCTCTGCTCGCATGTCACCGTCTGTAATAAAAAATTAAAATAAACTTTTTGTTTTCACTTTGCTGTTTACGAATTTAAGGAGCGAAAGCAAAAATATCATTCACCACAAGACAAAAGAATACCAATGAATAAGAACAAAGAATACTAATGAACTGGAATTATGAAATGTCAATAGAACATAACAAATAAATTATACTACCTGTTATAAAATCACCATGGCGTGATTTAATTTAAAATTTTTAGTGCTAGTCTCATCACTTCGATGAAACTTAAAAAGTGTGCAGACAAAACTGTCTCAAAATTTTTCGCCGCTGCGAGAATTCGTATCTGCATTCGAGCATTGCTTTAAATGCAATATAAACAAAGTACGTGAGACGTTGAGAACTTCACGCGGTGAGGACCGCCGTTCTACCGCTTAGTTCAGTGTAGAGCTTCTGGCCGCGTAATCTGAAGTGTCGAAAAATATGGCGACAGTTTTACCTACACATTTTTAAGTATTATGGTGTGATTAAAAAAAATACGTTCCCTTCAAGGTTGCTCATATTGCTTCAAGCTCACCGCGGACGAGGTTGCACTATATTTTCTACGCGAGAAGACAAAGAATTGCTTGGCTTGTTCTGCTTGAAAATATTTCGCGAAGCGAACTTCATAGCTAACAATGGATACAAAATGCTCGATTTGATGTTAGAACAAAGTAAGTGTGTAAATTGCGTCTCGTTGTCAATAATGTAAACATTTTTTGGTCAATGTGAACAATGTTGTAATACGTTATGATATAAAAGAGTGTTAAGTTAGTTTAAGACATTTTAAAGTTATTATTAGTTAAAATAGTTCGAATGGGGAAACAAGAAGTTGCGGGGCGACTCAATGAAATCAAGTTATTTCACAAGCGGGCTGACAGAGGAAGCTAATGCTACCCGTTTCACCGGGAATATTTTAGTCCAAAACGTGATAGCCTGTGACTCTGACAACGATAAATAAGAAAATATATTCGCATTACAAATTTTGAATAGTTAAGCCATAGTGACTTAATTGTCAGAACTGCAGAACATATAGTACCATTTTGTTATGTTTGTTCCCGTACCAGGGCCGGATTTAGGGGGAGGGCAACCGGGGCTACAACCCCGGGACTTCCACAAAAGAGAGGCGCCCACAATAGAGACTTCGGAAAAAAAAAAATCAAATTCAGACTAGTAAACACTAGTAAATAACTTTTCCTTTCATATTTTTTTCGCGTTTTACCTTTGTATCTTTAGATCTGTATTTGTTCACTCGGAAAGTTAAAAAGCTCTAAAGGTTCCCTCCGTTAACGCTAAAATTTAATTCTAGATAATTCTTTTACCGATTATATTTATATATTCGTTAAATAATAAAAGAATCTATACTTGGTTTCACAATAAATTATTTATTGAAGAACTGTACTGAAAATAAATTTTTTTCATTTTATTTGGAACATAATTTGGGCCTAGGGGCCTCTACTCCTTTGTTGCCCCAAGGCCTCCAGACCTCTTAATCCGGCCCTGTCCCGTACACTTGCCCGTCCTCTGTCCACTACTGATTTTATATTTATGTTTTGTTCACATAACACAGATATTAGATAATTCAATAGAATTTGTTAATGGTTTTTATTTTAAGCAACCGACGACAGAATGCTTTACAGCATTTATGGTTACGGGACGGACTGAAATGTTTGGCGTCCTGATCTTATTGTAGCCCATATATAGACTTTAAAATAAATATAAGTCACGAGAAAATGAGTAAACAAGTTTTTTAGTTCATGAATGATAGGAATTTATAACATTTTATATCCGAATTGGTCCAAAAATTATTAGATTATTTCTTAACTAAGCCAAAATAGATTCCTAAATACAAAAACTTTCTCTACGAGTTTTAATGTTTAGTTTTTTTTTAAAAAATTGCCCTCAATTTAGGATAACATTATGTGTTGTAAGGACGTTTTACAAACATAAATTGCACGAGTACAAACACCCAGATGTGAAACAACTATCTGTGGGGAACCCACGATCCCCGACGCCGAAGCCTTGGCAACTGCGCCACGGAGTCATCTTAAGTGCAGAGATTAGCACTATAAAAAATTTAAACTTCTAAAAGCAATGGCGACATCTCTCGGTCGAATTGTCGTTGTAAAACGATATTCGAAATTGTTTGTATGCTGGAAAGAATATAATAATGGATGCGCCAAGCAAACTAAAAAACAATGTAGATAAAAGACGTTCAAAAACTATTAATTAACCTCGTAAGATCAGCTCATTTAAAGAAGAAACTGGTAATTTCATATAACAATTAAAAATACCCCGTTGTGAATGATAAAATAAATAACAGTAATTGTTCCCGTTTCAGTGACTCTGTGCTCGCTGGCCGGCTACGCGGACACGCTACGCCGTTCCTGGTTTATGGAAGTGTTGAAGCATCAGACTTCGGTCGGCTGCTTCTCCCCTAGACTGCCTTTAGCGACGATATTTTATCAGAACGCAAATTTAAGTTCATGGAATTTTTCTCCAAAATCGCCGAATATGTTAGGAGGGGCCTGCGACAGGCACTTCACCGCTGTCGCAGTTGGGGCATTGTCTGGCGCGGTTAGATATGTAATGGAGAATAGATATTAAACGAAGGAGACGCGAACAACGAATACAGTCTTCACGTCTTATTTCGGAAAGCTTCTTCCAAATCAGATACGTGTATCTATTGTTCTTTACGAAACGAAGAATCGGCAAATGTAAAACAGCGATTTGAAGCTGTTGCTTAGATTGTTTGATTTTTCTGTGTAGTGATTATTCAGTCATTCTATTTTTTTTATACCTATAAATATGTAAAATAGAATTGAACTTCGCACTAAATTATCGATATAATATGTTTTCGGATAAAGTTTTTATTATATAAATAAAACTTCCTCTACAGACTCGTGGTGTCCGCCCTCTTTTTTGTTTTGGCTTTTACTTTGTTATCAATTATAATATTTGATATTCTTAATGTCACCGCCGCATACATCAACCGGTGGCTTGGTCTAGCAACGTTGCAGCAGTGAGTTCATGCATCCATCGGTTTCCTATGCTTGCATAGCAGTTCCTGACTGACGCCTGCCGTTAGGTTTGAGTGCAAATTGTGAATTGGATGATGTCACCGATCAGCATGATTTCCATAACTTCGCTCAGTCGCATCGTCATCACTATGGCTCCAAAGTGGTTCATAAGGGCTTCGTCGATCATGAGCCGAGTGCAGGTCTCCTTGTCCGGCTCTTTGAACACATTGACCATTGTGCGCTATTTGGTCTCTGCCTTGGCGTCGTCCCGACTCGCAAGCTTTTCGCTGCCACTATTATTGTGGTGATTACAACGTGTGTCAAACTTCTTGACCACCCACGTTGTTTTGCCGCAAACCAGGAACCCCGCTAAGTAATTTTATGGTGGTATGCGTCGGCAGTCTAGTGCCAAGGTGTTCTGGATCTCATGCGTGCTTCCGAGACGGCTTCTGCCATGCTCAGTATTCTGTGGTGCAGCATATGAAGGCTGTTATTGTTTCTCCTGTATGCTTTTAAAATTTCTCTGCATGTCATTAAGTTCACTTCCTCATCGCTCTCGTGACGCTCTGAAACTAGAGGAAGGCGTTTATTATTTGTTCTCTCGGCTCCACTATTGGTACTAGGATTAGCAGATTGACCCTTTTCGGCTCTCGTAAGGCCAACCTTACGAGAGCCGAAAAGGGTCAAGTTTGCCTATTTGGGTAGGATACTTGGAAGGCTTCTTCTTGGCTGTGGTCGCCTGATGGCTCTCTGTAAAGCTATTCAGCCTTTTTTTTGCAATCTCTGATAATATCTGGGTCGCTGCGCTGAATAATTTTTAAGACCGCGTTAATTTTTTGCGTCGGATCTGACCTGGGTCCTTATTTGGCTTAAATTCTTTCTTATTTATTTTGCCATGGACTGGTTGAACCTCCCACTGGCTGTTTTTTCGTTGTAACCACTCAGAGACCCTCTAAGTGCTCCTGGATTGGCTATTGGGTGTCCCCAGTAGTCGTGTTTGCGAAGGAAGTTTTTTCACTTCTGTCCTCATATGACTACACCTTTCTCTGGGGTTTTAATGCAACCTGTGCAGTCTGCGACATCCCCTTTCTCGTGCTGGACCACCTTAGCATTCACACTTATTATGTGGTGTGAGGCTCCACTGGAACCCTCATCTACCTCTCCGAGTTTACACAGCATTGAGTATGCTTAAGCAGCGGGGTGTCTGTTTCACCCCATGCGAATAGTAGGATCGACTTGTTGCGTTATCTTACTGTTCGAAATTGTTGGCCGGCGATCTTAACCGTCAATATCGCGTTATACGTTTTGCGTTTCATGCTTGTGTTGAATGTACTGCCATTCAACAGGGTAGCAAGGCCTGGTGAGATCTTGACGTAGTTATTGGCACTTGCATTGCAGAAGCTTATTCAGAGTCTCTCAGAGTTTTTGTCCATGAAGATACTGAACTACTCCCTTAATCCTCACTCCTGGTTCCCCCTTTTCTCTCCACGTTAGTATTTGTGTCGAGTTTAATGTTTGTGAGTTGTGTGGTTGTGTTTGTATGATTTGTGAATATATTGAAGTCTGCCTGAGTTTGTGTTAATGTAAGTCATGTAATGAAAGGCTTTTTCTCTAATATAATGGTACGTCTGACTTTTGCCTTAAGTGCATTATTTCTAAGATACTGGCTAGAAACGATTTTTTATGTCGTCTGAAGCTTAACCAGAATTTGTCAGCATTTTGTGATTTAATACTCGGAAGTGATCCTAAACCTTATAAAATAAAAAAATGAATCTTTATTTTAGTGCGAAGTTGACCAGAAAAGAAATGTTTATTATTACTGGTCTACTAGGACAATGTCTGACAAAGTTTTTACATCTGGATAGGATGGTCTACTAGGACAATGTCTGACAAAGTTTTTACATCCTGTTTCTGGATAGGAAGAAAAATGTTTTCATGCAGTAGAAAACAGTAAAGTTTTAATTTGTTGGTTACGTGTGTTTACATACCCATGTATAATAACTTTATACTTAGATGATACAAATCAGTACAGAACTAAATTAATAAACACGTGTGAAATAATTAAAATAATATTATCTTGGAAAATTGTTTCTTTCTTTGGAAATTTTTAAAACTTTTCTGAGATATTATTAACGGAATAATAAAACTGCTTCACTCACATAAAATCAGTGTATGTACCGACTAGTTACGGACCAATCGGAGGTCCTTCATGAGGGTGGGAGGAGTGGGGTGAGTTCGTGGTCACGTCCCCTCTTGTGCAAGTGCAGTGCAGCCATTTTATTATTCTTGACTTTCTTTTTATGAATTCCAGTTAAATTTACATCACAGTATTTAGACATCGGTATAAAAATTAAAATTCAACTGTCAAAAATAACTTTATTCTCATTATTGATAACTATTAAACTGGCGAAAGAAAGTCAGTGGAACAGTTATTTTTATCATAATTTGACAAAAAATCGTTTTTGCGTAGAAACCGAGGGATTTCGTTTATAAACCGTGTTCCCAGTTGCCAAGGGAATAGGACTCCACTTTCCAAATTCTGTGGTTTATTAGTTTACACCTTTACTAGTTTATTAGTTTTTAACTTTCTTAGTTAATTAGTTTTAGAGATCTACAATCTACTTAATGTCAGGTTCATCACCTTCATGCTGTTCTCTAAAAATGGAGTCATTTATAAACTGTCAGGTCCTGAAGTATACAGTTTTGTTTTATATAATGACCAATAGTATTGTTTTCGTCAGAATCGTTCAGCTGATGATCTTCTATTTAATCTAAATCGGTAAGGGCACTTGAAAGCGGTGTGTCCCACCTTGTTTGTGCTTTTACCTCAGCGGTAATGTTTCTTCTTTTTTCCTTTATTGTACTCACAATTATAATACAGACAATTGGAACAAAAGACAAAAAACATGTACAAAGGCGAGCTGAACCCTAAAAAGAGTTCTCTTCCAGCAGACCCTGGAAGACACGAAGCCGTAATTATTTTGTATAATATAAAATGTTTCTATGTATGTTTACAAAACTGACTAAGCTTCTTGCTGCAAGAATACTATACGACTATACAATAACGGTACCGTACCTACAATTCCTAAAATTTCGTGTCCTGAACTGTTTTATTGTAATAGTAAAGTTTTGGTTATAAATTTGGTTCGGAAGCAGTAAGTGGACAAACTTGGAGATTGGAGGTCGGTGATAAAAATCCAAAATAGTAGACATAACTTTTTATACTGTGGCCTAGGTCTAATGTCTAAGTGAAGTAGAAGCACTTGTAAACATTTGCGTCTTGTTTGATGACTGAGTTTACCGGGACCTACTTTACCTAAAACTGACCAAGAGCGGCGCTAATCATTTAATATCCGGAGAGTGGCCTGTTTGTATGTCTCATATAGGAGATTATAAATGTAACAGTTATTGCCACGCAACAATTTCATGAATAGGCAGGTCCATCCGGGAATGTGCCACGACCTCAAATGACTGGTGTGAAGTGTTATGCTTATGCTTTTCGTCTGGTGAGTGTGGTAGCTGGGGCCCACTTTATTAAAAGGTGGGGCAACGCATCTGCATCCTACGTATATTGCAAATTTAAATGGGCGGTGGTTATCACTGAACATCAGGTGAAAAGCCAACTCGTTTGCCAACTCCTCACACAAAAAAAAAACTTAAAACTATTAACACATATGATGATGGAGCACTGTCTAAATGAAGTGTTTGCCGATTGTTATTAGTCGTTGACTATTAGTCAATAGTTGTTAATAATCGTGACTGTGTGCGTATAACATGTAATGTTCAGTTTAACATCAACATTGGAGGAGATTGCTTGTAGTTTGTGCAGTAGTTTTTTTTTTATAATTAATTAAATTATCATTATCCATAATGGTCCGATATGTAAGATGGGGTATTGTGTTCTGTTTTATTACGACTGTTGAAGGTGAGAAAAATACCGGCAACTTAGGTAAAAGTAAAAATATAAGGTCTCTTGAAGAACCGCACTTTTTAGATGACAGCCCGGAATTATTGGATCTATTGCAGTATATAAAATCTTTAACACTGATATTGAATTTCGCTTTAGAACAACCGAACGAGGTTGATGTGGACTTTGCGTTTGTCTTATCAATAGCCTATGGTAAGGTAATTTTTTTTGGTGTATAATATTGTTCAAAAGACTGGCTTATTAAATAATTTATTTTTGCAGATAATTTAAATCACGTTCTGGTAAAAAAGGTACATAAGTTACCGGAAGAATTAAGGGTATACATCAGAACGTTCTTAGACATCGATAGCAAACTGCTTCAATATTTTTGGTCAATGATGAGCAAAGGCGAGGGCAAAGTATTAATTTTAAATAGAAAGGGTAAGTGTTCTTGTATAACTTAAATTTATTACTTGATAAAATTATTATTAAATTACTCTTTACCCGCAAAGGTAGTGTTTATGAGTCTATGGACTTGTATGTTTGTTCCTTTATGGCGCCCTAGAAATCGAACGGGTGGTATGATAGTAATCAAAGTTCGTGGCGATACTCAGATCAGACGCCACATCGTGAAAAAGTGTTATAGCTTTAAGAGTAAAAATTCAAACAGCATATTCACCTTTTCATAATGTCTATCTATTACGCTGTCGGAGTTTTTTATGTTTTCGTTACAGGTACTAATAATTATAGGTGTTAAAATTATTAATTAAATAATATGTAGGGTTCGCGCGTAAATATAATTTTTTTTAACTATATTTATAACTAATCTTATATAACAAATTTATAAAATGATCCATTTTACATCGGAATTTTATTCAAAACACGCAATAAACTCGTTAAAGAACGCCATGTTTTTGTATTCACATTTTGCAAATAGCTAAGATATTAATGAGAAGCATAAAAATTAATATTATTGAGTACTGCATTAGGTAGGATACAATAGACTATTGTTTGCTAAATCAACAACCGGATGGAGGTACTCGTATTGCGTTGTTTACAAATTTTATTGTTACAGTATCAACCCTATTTATGAATAGGACTCTGGGAGTTAGGGCAATCAGTGAATTTAACAAGAAAAGGAAATCGCCTCTCAGCAAGTATAGAGATATATATCGACAGTGGAGAAAATATGAAATCAAAGTAAAGCAATTATCTAGATGGAGGCCAAATCCAACGGAAAGCGGTAGGACATTTTAGGTTTTTTTTAAAAATAAAGAACTGCCTAGTACTTGACTGGTAAACGCACTAGCCCAGTAAACAATAAAAATATTATCGTGCTAAATATTCCTAAAATTGAATATTGATAGATTTTGTGAACACACCTTGGTTTGATTAACCCTGGGTTTGTTTACCACTACATTATTTTAGTCCTGTCTTAAAGTAAGTTTTTTTTAGTAATTTGTACAAAACATGATACTAATATATCCAGTAAATCTAACAAAAAATGTAAATAAGCCCTTTTTCCATGGCAAGTGTCAGCCTGAGATTCGTAAGTGTCCAACAGTGTAAACTTAATTTTCTTTACGACAAAGCAAAGTTAATATTTATGCAGTCCTTAACCCTTGCTTTAATCGTATATAGCGACATGCATTACATGGATCGGAAGACATTCGTAACATTGATCTAAAGACCTGTAATCTTAATTGACATGTATTCTTTTGTAGACAAAAAGGTACTGCGCATTCAAATGTGTATATTATATACATAATTTATTCCTATCTTAACTTACTGGTCCATCCTAAAGTTAGCTGGTTATCTACCATTAATTTCACATTTGTACAATTTATTTTGCATAAAAAATTTATAAATAATTAATAACAAATTAATAAGTAAATCAAAGTTGAGACTCTCAGCCTTGATTTACTTGTATGAAGTAATTTTCTTTAGTTTGTTCTTTATACTTTATTAATTACCCCCGACATATGAAAATCTTCCATACAAGACTTCTTTTTTTAAAATTTCTTAGATAAATGCTTGAGAGCGGTGGCGAGAAACAGTATCGGTAAACAGGTGTGCGCGATATCGAATATGTGCACTGAGATGTTGATAAACGGCACAAACTTCGGATATGCTCTTACTCGCAGGTGACTTAATTTTCAGTTGACCGTTTTAACCCGCTTTCTCTCTACATTGATTGTGTCACTCGTAAAGATACAGGCTAATAATTGATTGTTCGTAAAAAAAATGAAGTTTAAATCTTTTTATAATATTTTATCTTTTTACCATATTTCAATAGCTTATCGGGTAAAAGAACAACATATCAATTGGCAATATCACATAAAACCAACTTGAATTTAATTGCAGAGGTACTTTGTATAGCCATATATATAACAAATATATCTGTTGAATATTTTTGTTTCATTTCATTAGGTAATCAAATATTTGGATACTTTCAATTAAATTTCTTGAATATCGAAACCATTTTCATTTTTGTTTTAATGAATGTTCAGTTTCAATATTTTGCAATTGTTATACACGTGACGGTAAGTAGTAGCGTAGAAAGGCCTCCCACAAGGTAGACCTGGTGATCCCAATGACTCGTTGGATGCAGGCTACCGACCGGTCAAAGTAGAACTCAATGAGGGAAGGCAGAAAATAAAGATAAGAAGGAAAAATAATAAACTCAAGTTTTTCATGTTTTCCAGATTACTTTGGTTAATACAAGCTCGGAGAGGACGTGGCTGCTATTTATTGTCCGAAACTGAAGACAAGGAACTAATCGACTTGTTTTGCACGAAGATGTTTTATGAAGCCCACTACATAGCTTCTAATAAATTCGTGTTGTTTGACCTACTTTTAGAACAAAGTTGGTCCCTTAAATCTAAATGTAGTTTTACACTAACCAGTAAAGCTAGAATAACATTCATGTCATTATGTAAAATTTTAAGTAAGTTTCGCACCGTTATTTGGACTGAACATTGGCGGTGGTTATCACTTAATTACAGATGAACCAACTAACTGCTTGCTATTTTATCACATTTTACTTTTATTTTAAAATGCTTTATGACTGTAATAGTTTTTAACCTATTGGAGTGGACTACTAAATGAAACTAAGTTTACGGATTTATCGCGTTTACTTTTTCTTTTAACTCCCGACGTTTTGAACCCTTTACAACGGTCTTGGTCACGGGACAGAATTAAAACAAAAAATAGGAAACGTGATATAACCGTAAACATAGTTTCATTAAATAACGTGTAATCGCGTAAATACAAGAAATTACTATTGGAGGGGACTTAAATATTATTTTTAAAAATACCAAGTATATCAATAATTATGTTTCCTTACAGTAACCCTGTGTTCTTTGGCGGGATACGCGGACATTCTTCGTCGTTCATGGATCTTAGAAATGTTGAAACATCAAACACCATTCGGATGTTTCAGTTTAACATTGCCCGCTCCGAAAGAAATGCCTTATAATTACGAGGAACGCCAAAAACCATGGAGATTCTACGCATCAGGCACGAGTATGTTGGGTGGTGTCTGCAGCAGGCAACTTACTCTTGTCGCTACAGGAGCCGTATCGTCTGCACTTAGATATGTACTGGAGGAGAAATCGTTCATGGAATAACATTACATCAATGCTAACATATAAGATCAGAATAATAAAATCGTATAAAATGATCAATGTGATTAATTGTTAACTAACCGCCATTCGAAATAATGTTATGTATAATATTTTCAAAAATTTTATGCTTGCATTTATGCAATGATTTAAGATTAACATCAGGTTAGGAATTGAGGACACACAATCAGACTAAATTCCTTTGTTTATAAGGACCTGAAATGATGATGATTATGAAAAGTACCTGTAAAACGATCTCAACTATAGATATTGCCCGATGTTTATAAATTTCCATACAATGTTTATTGTAGTGGTCAATGTTTCAAATGAAAGTGAAATAATTGTCATGTAATAAGCAAAAAACGGTATATGGTTATTAGTATTGACGTGAATTCTAAAGTTTAATTTAATCGAGAAAAATTTCTATATATTAAATAAAAAATGTTAAATAAAAAATAAAGGCTGATGAAAATGAAACTAGTTTACGGATTTTATCGCGTTTTTATTTTGATTTTGTAATTTCAGACGTTTCGACGAACCCTTTCCAGTGTTCATGGTCACGGAACAGATGTTAATGTTCACTTAATCCTCCATTTTCATCTTTTCCATTCTTCATTTTTCTTGTCGAGCCAGAGCTGGTCAACTTTTCTACCGCATTTACATTAAACGATTAAGTTATCCTTTGTGGATCCGCTTTTGCATTTAAAAATGTTCGCCAAATGTTAGGGCCTTAAAGATACTCGTGGCAAAGTCGTAAGCCCGTAATAATAAGCTAAGTAAAAACGGTTTTACTATACGAAACGCCAGACTCCTACAATATTTATATAGCAATTAAAACGCGACGGAAAATCAAATGATGTAAATGTTTAGGCGCGAGCCATTCCATACCGCAATAAAACACTCATTTCCTCCCAGTATGAAAAAAGTTATTAAGTAGCCTATAATGGGGCAAAACGTGCCTTAGGATTTGTTGGACCTGCCCATTTATGCAATAGAAGACACAGTCAATGATTAGGAAAAGCGAAACTCTTTTCAAATCTGGCAAATTCGAACTAAATTGATAAAATCGTATTTAAAATTATTTTAAATTCCTGAATTTCAACATCACACTATGTAAGTAATAAAAACAGTATATTTTCCACCATATTGTTTTTTTCCTGTTTAGTTCATATTCTTATATCGCGATAATGTAATAATTAAATAATCATTGGTTATTTTAGTTATTTAAACATTGGTTATTTTGGTGATATCTAATCACACAAATTAATTTGAAGTATTGAATTCCTTAAGTTCTTACTGCGTGGTTTTTATACCTGTGAAAATGTAGATCATGCGTAGTAAAACCACACAATAGCTTCTACTGTTTCATGAATTAGCTGGCTCACACGGCGTGTATCACAGTCCCAGAGAAGTTCGATGAAAATTAAAAGTATTTATACTTTTACCGAGAGTCGTTATAGCTTAGTGTCCGGGCGCTCAAGTCATATACTCGAGCAACCTGAGTTCGAAATCCGGTGCCGGCACTAATGAAATTGATAATTTTAAGTCCTGACTTCACATGGCGTCGAAGAAAAACCGTGTGAAGAAACATGCATATTTTCGGAATAGTAAAAAAAATACTTCGAAGATGTATGAAGTCTGCCAATCAGCAGTGGGGTCGCGTGGTGGAATATGCCTAATACCCTATATACTGACTTCTCTTTTATCTTTTTATATACTTTTGCGTTTAATTTAGTGTGTGACGTGGATTGATCACTTTAAGTGGTGGCTTTGTTCTCTGGATTGACTAACGTTACTGCAAATTCTGTAGCTAACGTGGAACTTCAAAGAGTGGAACTTTTTATTTATTATATTGCTTGCGATCCCCGTTTGAGGTCGAAGGAAACTTGGACCAATTTATTCGTTTCTAGAACTTGGTAAATTTTGGTTTCTTTCGAAAAATTGCCAAGTAAATTTCCCCTCCTTCTCTCTTCCATATCTGTTCAGTGGGGGATGAATTATTGGTCAATCCTGCAAAAGAAAAACTGTACAATAGGTACTCCCTACCAACCATTCGAACGTAGAAGACCTCATAAATTTTTTGAAATTTATGCTCACACCGGGGCGGGGTAGTCAAAACTTGTGTCTGTAGATGAGTTTTTGTTAAAAAAAACCATAGAGAGTGATTTTCTTGAGTCGTGGCGAGGAAATCACAGGTCACACGTTTGTCACTAATAATTTCTTTTCCGGATTACGTGTCCAGACGCTCTATTCACTTTGTTTTTATTACATTTATAGCAATTCAATAAAAACAATGCAGGTTGACGGCGTAAAATTTTTCCACAATTATTTCTGCACTTCTTAACTTTTATCTTAACTACAACGACTAGCAGAAAATAAAATTTCAAGAGCAAAAGTGACATCTCTTGGTAAAAATGTCATTTGAGGGGAAGTGTTTGCTGTAAACGAAGCACTTTAGATGGTGCCAAGCATTAACAATTAAAACTTAGATTTTTCTCTTGTTTATCTGAAATTTAGTGAGCGTGACGATTACGAGGTTGAGGATATCGAACATTTCTCATTATAAAACCTCATAGATTTAGTTAATAAATAGGTTTATTTAAAAATCGCATTACAAAATGGCTGATTATTTATTAGATTAGCTTCATAGTATTCAATGATTATATTAAAACAAGTTGTTATAATTGTCCAACTTAATGTCATATTAGGGGACATTGAAAAATTAAATGACGTAATTTACTTCTATAACGACTATCAATGATTGAATATAGATGGACACGCACTTCCTGCTGATTTTAAGGTCTATTTCACGGCGAACTTCGAAAGTGACAAGCCGACTAGACGTCCTCGCTGAACTTAACAAACTGGATGGTCAATGTCGACCGGAACCGCCGGCAGGTGACTTGAATATTGCATCACACACTTCCTGCGCGAAGGGACTGTACTTGTTCGTGCGATCAATGACGAAGACGAAGAACGCGTTATCACTACATAGTATAAAACTAAGTCGTCCCGCTGTCTGTCTGTCCCTAAGCATGCTTAGATGTTTAAAATGCGAAAAAGTTTAAAATGATAAAAGATTTTGGGGCGGTTTTTAAATTAGATAGTGATTCAAAAGTATGTGTATAATACATTACACCCGTGCGAAGCCGGGGCAGGTCGCTATTTTATTTATGTACTTAACTGCAAAAGCATCAAATAGGTTTTGAAATCTGTAAAAAAATATTTTTGATGTTGTTTACATATATGTATTACAAATAAATGATATTTAATATTTTTTTTATTTTACTTCAGGGTGAATGTTGTATTTATCCTTATTGAAGGTATTCGACTGGCCGTATAAAGACGTAACGTCGCTCCACATTTGTTTAATCGCGTTTCAATATGATAACAAGTAGCCATTACCGCTTGGTAGACCTCGATACTTTACCTCGATTGTTAATAACATTAGTAAAGCGCCAAAAACAATTGCCTCAAAACAAACTTTGCAAGTATATTGATTATTATTAATTTATTTTAGTATTTTACAGTAATGTTTTAGTATTAGAGCCGTGATAGCTAATTTTCCGAGCGCTCGCTTTTAATTCAATATACTCGAGCAACCAGAGTTCAATTCGACTTATTACATGATCAACGGTGAAGGAAAACCGCGCGATAAAACATATTTTCGAAATAATAACAAAAAGAAAATTCGACGATATGTGAAGTCCGACAATCCGCAGTGTTTTCGCGTGATGGACTATGCTTTTTACGTCTTCTGTACAGAGAAGGCCTTTGCCCAGAAGTGGGCCATATACAGCGTGTCGTTACCATCGCGACAATAAATGAACACACGTCTAACGCTACTTGCTAATAATCATAAAAAATATTAACGTTAAAAAAATCCATAGTTAAAAAAAACATTTTTCAAACAAACTAATTAAGTAAAAAAAGAGACAAAATTTGTAACATCCCCTATACAACTACGACTGACTGATTCATACATTCAGAGACTTTTTCATTCGTTGACACAGCGTCGCATTACAAGCCTCTCCTTCTAACAGTATGTTTTGTCTCTTTTAAATTCATTCAACCCATTCATATGCTTTGTGACCTTTACAAATGAACTTTACGTTACAGTTTTATACGCAAGGCTGTTCTAAAATTCTTTGTTTTGGAAAATTTAATAACTCTGTAAATATTGATGTTTAAAGAAAGTAAATTTTTAATATATTTTAAAAAGTTATCCTCTATATGTGTGTAAATTTATTGTCGTGATTGTAAAGACACGCTGTATAGGTGACTTTTAAATTTATTTTAGTATTACTGTAATACGCTCAGCAATTTTGCCCATAATTATATAATTATTAAAGTATTGTATATTTTTGTATATTTTAACGTCTGTTGCTTATACAGGATTTCCTTGTAGGAGTCAATAATCAGAGCAAGTATCATTATTGAAGCGTTAAGAATTTAAGTTGAGTTTGCAGATCAGTCTTTGAGGCTTTTTTGGTCTGGCATTTTTCCGCAGCTTCGCGCATATGTTTTTGTATTTCTTTTCTTCGCTTATATATTTTTTAAATCTTTATTACATAAAATTATAATCGAGGGAATTAACCATAAACTACTCCTGCTAAGTTCCGTCCAAAATCGTAAGGTTGTGCGGTGTATAGTAAGGCTAATACTCACCTAGAAACTCTTACACTTGCGATATTAGCGATATATAATAATGTGTGTTGTTCCTTAACCTTCGTTTTTTGTTTCAAAATATAATCTTTATTTATAGAGAATCTAATAGAAAACATTGTTGCGGATAAATATAAAATCTCGCCTCGTCCAAATAATTGGCATCAATTAAGTATTCAATAGCACAAATTGACAATACGTGCTGAATGTTATTAACTATGAATGTTATCGTTTCGTTGAAATTACATGCTTTAGACTTTGATTTAAAACGTCTTTCCGTTCATTGTTAACACGCGCCTCTACATACAAATCAGCGTTCATTTTTTGCACCTTCATTT